GCCGGACCAGCCAACAGCAGCGCCCTGAGGGGTATGTGTATAGGGGTGAACCCGCATGGCCTGGCAAGCCAAGGGGATAACCTTGAGATGCGGAAGGGAGGAGCCAACATGGGACATGGCCGGACCAGCCAACAGCGCCCTGAGGGGTACGTGTATAGGGGTGAACCCGCATGGCCTGGCAAGCCAAGGGGATAACCTTGAGATGCGGAAGGGAGGAGCCAACATGGGACATGGCCGGACCAGCCAATAGCGCCCTGAGGGGTATGTGTATAGGGGTGAACCCGCATGGCCTGGCAAGCCAAGGGGATAACCTTGAGATGCGGAAGGGAGGAGCCAACATGGGACATGGCCGGACCAGCCAACAGCGCCCTGAGGGGTATGTGTATAGGGGTGAACCCGCATGGCCTGGTAAGCCAAAGGGATAACCTTGAGATGCGGAAGGGAGGAGCCAACATGGGACATGGCCGGACCAGCCAACAGCGCCCTGAGGGGTACGTGTATAGGGGTGAACCCGCATGGCCTGGCAAGCCAAGGGGATAACCTTGAGATGCGGAAGGGAAGAGCCAACATGGGACATGGCCGGACCAGCCAACAGCGGCGCCCTGAGGGGTATGTGTATAGGGGTGAACCCGCATGGCCTGGCAAGCCAAGGGGATAACCTTGAGATGCGGAAGGGAAGAGCCAACATGGGACATGGCTGGACCAGCCAACAGCAGCGCCCTGAGGGGTACGTGTATAGGGGTGAACCCGCATGGCCTGGCAAGCCAAGGGGATAACCTTGAGATGCGGAAGGGAGGAGCCAACATGGGACATGGCCGGACCAGCCAACAGCGCCCTGAGGGGTACGTGTATAGGGGTGAACCCGCATGGCCTGGCAAGCCAAGGGGATAACCTTGAGATGCGGAAGGGAAGAGCCAACATGGGACATGGCCGGACCAGCCAACAGCAGCGCCCTGAGGGGTATGTGTATAGGGGTGAACCCGCATGGCCTGGCAAGCCAAGGGGATAACCTTGAGATGCGGAAGGGAGGAGCCAACATGGGACATGGCCGGACCAGCCAACAGCAGCGCCCTGAGGGGTACGTGTATAGCGGTGAACCCGCATGGCCTGGTAAGCCAAGGGGATAACCTTGAGATGCGGAAGGGAGGAGCCAACATGGGACATGGCCGGACCAGCCAACAGCGCCCTGAGGGGTACGTGTATAGGGGTGAACCCGCATGGCCTGGCAAGCCAAGGGAATAACCTTGAGATGCGGAAGGGAGGAGCCAACATGGGACATGGCCGGACCAGCCAACAGCAGCGCCCTGAGGGGTACGTGTATAGCGGTGAACCCGCATGGCCTGGTAAGCCAAGGGGATAACCTTGAGATGCGGAAGGGAGGAGCCAACATGGGACATGGCCGGACCAGCCAACAGCGCCCTGAGGGGTACGTGTATAGGGGTGAACCCGCATGGCCTGGCAAGCCAAGGGAATAACCTTGAGATGCGGAAGGGAGGAGCCAACATGGGACATGGCCGGACCAGCCAACAGCAGCGCCCTGAGGGGTACGTGTATAGGGGTGAACGCGCATGGCCTGGCAAGCCAAGGGGATAACCTTGAGATGCGGAAGGGAGGAGCCAACATGGGACATGGCCGGACCAGCCAACAGCAGCGCCCTGAGGGGTACGTGTATAGGGGTGAACCCGCATGGCCTGGTAAGCCAAAGGGATAACCTTGAGATGCGGAAGGGAGGAGCCAACATGGGACATGGCCGGACCAGCCAACAGCAGCGCCCTGAGGGGTATGTGTATAGGGGTGAACGCGCATGGCCTGGTAAGCCAAGGGGATAACCTTGAGATGCGGAAGGGAGGAGCCAACATGGGACATGGCCGGACCAGCCAACAGCGCCCTGAGGGGTACGTGTATAGGGGTGAACCCGCATGGCCTGGCAAGCCAAGGGGATAACCTTGAGATGCGGAAGGGAAGAGCCAACATGGGACATGGCCGGACCAGCCAACAGCAGCGCCCTGAGGGGTATGTGTATAGGGGTGAACCCGCATGGCCTGGCAAGCCAAGGGGATAACCTTGAGATGCGGAAGGGAGGAGCCAACATGGGACATGGCCGGACCAGCCAACAGCAGCGCCCTGAGGGGTACGTGTATAGCGGTGAACCCGCATGGCCTGGTAAGCCAAGGGGATAACCTTGAGATGCGGAAGGGAGGAGCCAACATGGGACATGGCCGGACCAGCCAACAGCGCCCTGAGGGGTACGTGTATAGGGGTGAACCCGCATGGCCTGGCAAGCCAAGGGAATAACCTTGAGATGCGGAAGGGAGGAGCCAACATGGGACATGGCCGGACCAGCCAACAGCAGCGCCCTGAGGGGTACGTGTATAGGGGTGAACGCGCATGGCCTGGCAAGCCAAGGGGATAACCTTGAGATGCGGAAGGGAGGAGCCAACATGGGACATGGCCGGACCAGCCAACAGCAGCGCCCTGAGGGGTACGTGTATAGGGGTGAACCCGCATGGCCTGGTAAGCCAAAGGGATAACCTTGAGATGCGGAAGGGAGGAGCCAACATGGGACATGGCCGGACCAGCCAACAGCAGCGCCCTGAGGGGTATGTGTATAGGGGTGAACGCGCATGGCCTGGTAAGCCAAGGGGATAACCTTGAGATGCGGAAGGGAGGAGCCAACATGGGACATGGCCGGACCAGCCAACAGCGCCCTGAGGGGTACGTGTATAGGGGTGAACCCGCATGGCCTGGCAAGCCAAGGGGATAACCTTGAGATGCGGAAGGGAGGAGCCAACATGGGACATGGCCGGACCAGCCAACAGCGCCCTGAGGGGTACGTGTATAGGGGTGAACCCGCATGGCCTGGCAAGCCAAGGGGATAACCTTGAGATGCGGAAGGGAGGAGCCAACATGGGACATGGCCGGACCAGCCAACAGCGCCCTGAGGGGTACGTGTATAGGGGTGAACCCGCATGGCCTGGCAAGCCAAGGGGATAACCTTGAGATGCGGAAGGGAGGAGCCAACATGGGACATGGCCGGACCAGCCAACAGCGCCCTGAGGGGTACGTGTATAGGGGTGAACCCGCATGGCCTGGCAAGCCAAGGGAATAACCTTGAGATGCGGAAGGGAGGAGCCAACATGGGACATGGCCGGACCAGCCAACAGCAGCGCCCTGAGGGGTACGTGTATAGGGGTGAACGCGCATGGCCTGGCAAGCCAAGGGGATAACCTTGAGATGCGGAAGGGAGGAGCCAACATGGGACATGGCCGGACCAGCCAACAGCAGCGCCCTGAGGGGTACGTGTATAGGGGTGAACCCGCATGGCCTGGTAAGCCAAAGGGATAACCTTGAGATGCGGAAGGGAGGAGCCAACATGGGACATGGCCGGACCAGCCAACAGCAGCGCCCTGAGGGGTATGTGTATAGGGGTGAACGCGCATGGCCTGGTAAGCCAAGGGGATAACCTTGAGATGCGGAAGGGAGGAGCCAACATGGGACATGGCCGGACCAGCCAACAGCGCCCTGAGGGGTACGTGTATAATGGGTGAACCCGCATGGCCTGGCAAGCCAAGGGAATAACCTTGAGATGCGGAAGGGAGGAGCCAACATGGGACATGGCCGGACCAGCCAACAGCGCCCTGAGGGGTACGTGTATAGGGGTGAACCCGCATGGCCTGGCAAGCCAAGGGGATAACCTTGAGATGCGGAAGGGAGGAGCCAACATGGGACATGGCCGGACCAGCCAACAGCGCCCTGAGGGGTACGTGTATAGGGGTGAACCCGCATGGCCTGGCAAGCCAAGGGAATAACCTTGAGATGCGGAAGGGAGGAGCCAACATGGGACATGGCCGGACCAGCCAACAGCAGCGCCCTGAGGGGTACGTGTATAGGGGTGAACGCGCATGGCCTGGCAAGCCAAGGGGATAACCTTGAGATGCGGAAGGGAGGAGCCAACATGGGACATGGCCGGACCAGCCAACAGCAGCGCCCTGAGGGGTACGTGTATAGGGGTGAACCCGCATGGCCTGGTAAGCCAAAGGGATAACCTTGAGATGCGGAAGGGAGGAGCCAACATGGGACATGGCCGGACCAGCCAACAGCAGCGCCCTGAGGGGTATGTGTATAGGGGTGAACGCGCATGGCCTGGTAAGCCAAGGGGATAACCTTGAGATGCGGAAGGGAGGAGCCAACATGGGACATGGCCGGACCAGCCAACAGCGCCCTGAGGGGTACGTGTATAGGGGTGAACCCGCATGGCCTGGCAAGCCAAGGGGATAACCTTGAGATGCGGAAGGGAGGAGCCAACATGGGACATGGCCGGACCAGCCAACAGCGCCCTGAGGGGTACGTGTATAGGGGTGAACCCGCATGGCCTGGCAAGCCAAGGGGATAACCTTGAGATGCGGAAGGGAGGAGCCAACATGGGACATGGCCGGACCAGCCAACAGCGCCCTGAGGGGTACGTGTATAGGGGTGAACCCGCATGGCCTGGCAAGCCAAGGGAGATGTGCGATTGGGGCCAGCTAAAGGGCATGTCGAAGGGTACAGGTTACGGGGGCGGTGAGGGATCCGTCAGCCCGCAACATGAAGCGCTCGAGGAAAACCCTTGAGGGGTCTCAACCCCCAGCCGCGACCGGCCAGGCGGTTACCACTGGCCCGGAGAGCAAAGCGGAATGTGGCGGGTAGGTTAACGTAAAGCGTCGATGGGTTTGGATTGTGGGGGTTTAAATCTCCGCTTTTGCGTAAAGCAGCAGAAGAAGTTGGAGCGCCAGGCTTCGGCTAATATATTGCCAACCCGCCGTACGTAGAACTTCGATCCTGTCATCTGAACCATTACAATCAGCAAAGCCGTGCAGCTGCACGAATGAAAACAGAGACGACGAAGGTAGCTCTGTGCTTCTCGCAACTGTCCAGCGGCAGGGCACGTAATATATTGACCCCCGACATCAGCAGCAGCAGTAACATCAGTCAGATGCAACCCAACAAGGGACCGACCCGCCGGGTCACATATCATACGCCATCTCCTCTCTCAGTTTATCTAATCCCTCCGTCACCATCAAACTGCGACAACAATCGAGAACTAGGACCCATGTCTCCTTCTTCTTCCTCAACTTGTCCGCGGCTTGCCTGATCCGGTACTAACCGACGCAGGTCTTGAGGGTATGATCTCAGCTCGAGCAAGGGCGGACCGATGGTACGACGGTGTACGGCATGGTGGGTGCGAATTTCCAAAGTGCCGTACAACGTCCCACACGGTCCTCTCGCCCGGAGCACCCCTAGCGCGTTGTGTGGCTCTTCAACAATACGATAACAACATTGCCATGCGTGCGAAAACGTCGGCAACATAAGAGCCAACGGATAGACACCAGGACAGGATACTTAGGAGGACCTAGGATACCCTCCGCTGACATATGGCCTTTGTTGCTTCCGACACAACACAAACGACAATCGTTATAAGCTTGTTCCGAAACCTTCAGACACAACCAAACTGCGCTTTCACGAGATGAATAAGGGGGCTGCTCCCAAGCTAAACTCAATACTCTTGGGCAGTACTCGAGCTTGCAGGAGGCTGGCATGGATCAAAGGAAGCCCTCAAAACAGCTACTCACTCCCTCCTTCAACGTAACCGTGACGCCGCACGACAATTCGCACATGAGGCGCAGCGGCAAGAACAGGAGAGCCTCCGGAGAAGACGTTTTTGCACAACTCTGCGTCGTTGTCAGCCCGCAAATCAAAGGATCATCGGTATAATAGCAAGGGCATATTGAAGAGAGGAGAAGAAAAGAGCAATTTCAGCCGTACACTTCCCTGACCAACAGACCAACAAGACACGCTGAACACGAGAGACCGCAAGCAACTGTCATTAGTCATACCACGCATTATCTGTGACAGCAGCAACAGCGGTAAAGGGGCAGCAGTACGGCCACAGTAACAGCGCCTCCAAAACTGTCAACAACGCATTGTGTTCAACCAGTGCTTAAGAGTCGCTCCCTAGCTAACGCCTCGAATACCCCCCGTACAGGCGCTTTACTCCGACCTGGCAAGGTAGTTAGCCATGCAACACATGCAAACGCACGGGCACGAAACGGACCCTTCACAGCCGGCAGCTTCCACCGTGGCTACCTGGCCATTGTGAGATGCAACCAGCAAACAGGTTTAACGACATGATAAACGCGCAGTCAAATAGTCCGGTCTGCTAAACAGCCACAACATAAGTCACATAACAGCCAGTCGTCACGGCCAACCACATAGCCCAGAGCACGCAGCAGTTGAAGGCAACACGCACCTTCTGCAGTAACCCTCTGGAATGGGGATGCCAGATTGATACCAGACACTCCGCATGAAAGGAGGAACAAGACCATCACGCACAAGTTCCAAATGAACCATGCAGCGCGCCATGCAATGCGCCAAGGTGTCAGGTCCAAATGCACACAACTGCCCCTCCCAGCAGCACGCAAACACGCATAAGCTCTCGGTTTCTAGAGTCAAGGCGTCGATGCGCACATGTCAGCTGAGAGCCCCCTTCCCCCTGCACCCGCCTACACACCCAGACACTTCCCAGCAATCACAGGTAGCCCCTACTCGCTGCCAGTTCTGTCCCCCCACCCAGGCTGCATGAGTGCAGCTGCCTTATCCGCCAATACCCCATCCCACAGCAAACAGCACCCACAGACAAACGCAAGCAACCCACTTACTTAGGCCACAATGGGCTTCCCCGTTTCCGGGTCCGGCCCAGCCCCCGCTTTGGTCCAAAGCACATGCTGCTGCTTCTCCTGTCCCTGCTCTGCCTTTCCCTGTGCGTCCGCATAGCCGTAACCCTCGCCATCGACCGTTTTGGGTGCCGCCGCTGGTGGCGGAATGTCGGGGGCGTTGGACGAGTATTTGTTGTTGCCGCTGGCGGTGTAACGCAGGGCCCGAGCCACGGGACGCATGGGGCCGAAAGACAAGAGGTCCGCATGGAACCCCTCGCCTGCAAAGGAAGAGGAGGAGGGAGGTTGTGAGAAGAGAGGGAGCAGGGGAAGTGTTAAGTACGGAAGAGCGGCTGGCGTGCGGTTGAGGCCGACTGACAGATTCCTCCGCAGCTGCCTTCCTACACTCCTCTTTCTATAGGGTTGTAAGGCATGGTTGTAGAGTCCCGGCCGCCCCCGATGCAGGTGAGAAGAGGAGCAGCGGCGGCCGAATCGGAGCCGCCCCCGAAAGGAACATGCAACCGGGGAATGAAAGGCCTCCGACATGCACACTTCAGGAGGGCCGCGCGAGCGCAAGGAAAGGAGTTGTGCCATCGGCAGGGATAGCCGCCGCCGGGCCATCAGTAGACGACCTCTCCTCACCTGTAACGAACCCAAAGCCCGGCAGCCTCTTCAGCGCCCCCGAGATGCCCGGACCGTTCACGCCCGTCACCGTACGCAACAGGTAGGAGGGCACCGCCCACATCAGCGCGCCGATCAAGCTCCAGCCGCTTGCCACCAGGAAGTAGTCCCAATCGTAGTTTACATTGCCGTACCACACGTACCTGCAGGAGGGCGTGTACGGCGAAATGTACGGCGAGATGAGAATTCACAACAGTAAAGAAAGCGCCATGGGGCCCACGGCATGTGTTGCTACCGGAGCCGTGCTACCGCAGCAGCAACCCCGGTACGGCACACCTCCCGCACTCACCATGCGCCGTACCGCACCGACCAGCCCTTGTCGCTCGCATTCCAGTGACGCCCGATGCCGTACGCCGTGACGGTTAGCATGGACACCGCGAATCCAAACACCAGCGCGCTCTCCGTGAAGAAGCGCTTGAGTCGCTCCGAGAGCCCCAGTGCGACCAGCAGGAAGCAGCAGGTGGTGAGCATGTTGGTCATGAGGAAGAGGGAGAGGATGCGGTAGCCTGCAGGGGGGTGAAGGGGGGAGGCGCGGGTGGGGTGGGGCAGGTTAGGGCGACATGGGATTGAATGGGGACAGGAGGAAGGAAGTAAAAGGGCATAAGACCAGACACATGCAGCAACGCCAGCAGGGTGGTAGCTAGACAGCACCTAAGCAACGTCTGCCTGACTTTAAGGGGCGGCGCCGTACGCTGTTGCTTGTTACTCACCCTGCAGCGAGATGACGATTAGCGGGATGTTGACCAGCAGCACGATTGCGCGCGGGAAGGCGGTGTGCTGCCGCTTGAAGAAGTGCTGCGCGAGCACGGAGGCGATGCCGTTCTGCAGGGAGTCGATTGCGGATTCGTTCATGGTGGCGGCCAGGATGAGGCTGATGACGCCAACCCAGGAGCGGACCTGCGGGAGATGGGATGGAGGGAGGCGGGAGAGGGAAGGGGGCGAAGACGAGGTTGAGGAGGAGAGAAATGTGGGATGTGGGTTGAGGGGCAGATATCGCAGAACGTTTAAACTGACTGTGACATGCAGGTGTAAGGGGTCTTCCCATCGAATGGGGCGACCTGGAACGGTATAAACCGTACGACACACCGCCGCCGGACAACAGGAACAGGACCGTGACAGGCCAGGACGGCCCGAGTGTGCAACACCCTGCGCCCACCTGCACTGAGGCGCCGAACGCGTTGTCGTCGTCACGCGCAGAGGCAAACACCTGGAACAGATACAGGTTGCTGTCGGTATCCCATGTCACGTAGCCGGCCCACGCTGCCAGCCAGCCTCCAAAACCAAACAGGAACACCGCCACCGTGATCAGCGCCGCACCCACACCGCCTCCAAACACCACCGCGCGACGGCTGGTGGACGCCCAAACCTTCTGCCACATGGCTTCGGAAAACACGGTCGAGGCCATGAGCGAACAGGGCATTGAAAAGATGGCGCTGTAACCAAACTTGTTGGCACCAAGCGGCCATCCGGTTTCGTAGGTTGTGTCGTTGGGCAGCGGTTTGGGCAGGGAATCGGGGCGGAAGGTGACTGCGGTGTAGATGACGAGGACGAGGATAAAGAGCGCGGTTAGGATGCCCTGCGCTTGGTCGGTGATGATGGAGATGTAGACGCCTCCGTAGGCGGTGTAGAGCATGGTGAGGATGCCGACCACGATGACGATGGGGTAGTCCACGGAGCCCACGAAGAGTTTGAAGAGGAGGCCGATGGTGATGTACTCTGCAAGCACTGTTGTGGTGGACAGAAAAGGGGAGGGAGGGAAAGGAGGAAGGGAGGAGGTGGGGTAAAGGAGGGATTTGTGGGCTTTGGAGGAGGATAGTTGGTGAGGTAGAGGAGCAGCGGAAAGCAGCGTGGGACCGTGGGTCACAAGCTGTGTCCTGGAGCTCTCAGTCACGGTATCTTGATAGATATTAAGATACTTCACACATTATTTGCCTAAAGGCACTCGTTCGCCAAGGATGTAGGATATAACCCGGCCTTAACCGCGGTGACCCCAACGCGGCACGTCGTACGGAGTTAATGGGTGTACAATAACGGTTCCCCATCCATACTGTACTCACTGGCAATGCTCATGTTAAACAGGGTGATGATGGTGACAAGCGTCCTGGCCACTGGTCCAAATCGCTTCCCCACAAAGTCGGGCATAGTGCAAACATCCGGGTGCATTTCCTGGATGCGCGCGCCGAAGAGCGAGATGACGAGGACGGGTATGCCCGAAGCAAAAGCGTACATGGCGAGACCGACGATGCCTGTGTAGACAGCGAAGGAGGGAGGTGCTGTGATGCACCAGGCACCCACAGCTGAAGCGAAGAATGACCAAGCAATCCTCCATCGTGACTGCGTTCCACGAGCTGTGATAAACTCCTCAGCTGTTTGATCGCGATTCTGCTTCCTAATCCGAAGCGTGTAGCGTAACACCGCATACACGGCAAAGGCCACCTGCAAGCAGGCCGATGGTCGTCGCTTAGTCGAACATGAAGAGCCAAACGCGATGAACTAGATAGTCTACCTGCGCGAATATGCAAGTCACATAGGAAATGATAAGGTATTTCCTGGATTCCTCCATCTTTGAGGCTGCGATGCGCTGCGCGGTGACGGCGACAGACCGGCGACGGCGCAACTAAGCGATTCCTAAAGAGGCGAGACAAAGACCGATAACTAGCAACGTATGATGTTCGCTGGACTTTGTATGTATCCTACAGCTTCGGTCAAACAAGTCGCCGGGCTGCCTCGTAATAGCCGTGCGAGTAACGAGCCCTAAAGTTTGGCTCTGTTGCGCAAGTCAAAAGGTTCCGATATCAGTGGACGCCCCTACCCACTGCAACTCTGCAGCAGTACTTTCTTTGAACCTACAGCGCTCTTATTCTGTCGATTGAGGGCGCCGTACGGCATTCGCACCGCGGCTTGGTATAACGCGATTTTGAACAGGAAGGCTGTCCCTTGATCTTGACTGGATATGTGCATACGCGCCGATGCTCTTCGGGAACTTGTTAGACATCATGGGCTTTTCAGCGAAATGTTGCGCGCCCTGCATTATGGCCCCAAGGGTCGGCTAGCCTGCTTACCCCTATCCGCAAAGCAAACCGAGGCACGGGTGTGGAGCTCGTATTCAATTGGAATACACACATGCCTCTTCAGTCTTCACTCTCACATAAGGCCCGTACCACCGGTAGTAGAGGACCAACAATGGCGCCCATCTTCCTTACAGCGAGGCCTCAGTATGGGTTTACGGGCAATAGAGTGTCGCTGTTTCACAGCTGAAGTTGTACGCTGTACCGGGGCAGGGCTTATTGGCTGCCGGCGTGCCGGGCCAGGGGCTCCTGCTGGATCTTGCCGTGGAAGTTGTCAGCTTTGGCTTGCAAACATCGCGGCGTGCATCCCCTAAGTGACTCTGACATTGACGGGCTCGGGTGACAGCCAACCCAGAGGTCCCAGACTAACTGCCACTGGCCGGCAGTACGACAAACCGTCCAACTGTAGAGCTCTCCTTTGCGCTTCCCAGCCGGCGCGAATGTGCTGTGGTTCGAAAGCATCCGGTTAAAAGTGATAATGATGATGAAATATTAACATAACAATTCGACGTTTTAGCCCTTAGGCTTCCCGGGGCTGGACTGAACAAACTGGACAAAATGGGGAAAGGCGGTGATAGCGCAGACGCAGAAGAGAATCCTGGTTCCAACACCAGCGGTACAGACCTGCTGGAGCGGCCTCGCTTCGCGCCCTTCTTGTCAGACAACTTCAACGTCGCGGAGTTTACTTCTAAGGTTCTTGGTGGCTCGCATACTACGGCTTCTGCCCAAACAGAACAGCTGCGCGAGGGCGTGAACCAGTTGGAAACCGCATTATCCGATGAGGTGGTCTCGCGCAATAAAGAGCTCCTCCACCATGTCCGGCGCATGCTGGACGCGGAGAACTCCGTCCGCGATGTCGTCCTATCCGTGGATTCCCTCCAAAGCGCTGTCCGGCGGATCCGTGCTGAAGTAATGGGACCCTATGAGCAGATCAAGCACAAGACACAACAGCTTCGCAATATCCACGCGACCGTGGACATCCTGCGGCACGTAATTCACCGCCTAAAGCTGGCTCAGAAGCTTCGAGCGCAGCTGGCGGGTCCGCCTGCTCAGGTGGACCTGGCCAAAGCTGCCAAGCTGATTACCGACATCCGGCACGTTGACCGCGAGGTTGACTTGTCAGGGATTGAGGCGGTGGCTGCAGACGCGGAGTTTCTGGAGTCAGCTCGCAAGTCGGTGCACGAGCAGGCGGAGGTAGGCTCATGGGTGTTGTACGGGTGGTGTAAGGGAGGATAGGAAAGGGTGAGTACTGAGAAGGATGATGTTGGTCAAGGGTGACCCTCCTGTCAGTGATACGGTATCTTGGGTTCACAATGTAAGTCAAAAGACTGGACTACCTCAGGATTCGCTATCCAGACACGTCTGCGGCGTTTGTTTCCCTGGGGAGCGTCAATACGAAGCCCAGAGGTCCCGCCTTCACCCGCCCTCCTCCATTATCACACCACACTTTGGAATTTCTTTTTCCACCTGCTCGAGCCCCTCCTGACCTCCGCACCCCCCTGTCCCCCTCCCCTCCCCGGTCAGGCTGCCCTTGTGGAGGGTGTGGAGGCTCTGAGTCAGGCGCGGGTGGGCTCCGCGCTGCAGGTGCTCTTCAACCTGGAGGAGCTGCAGCAGGTGGGGGGCGGAGGAGGGGCAGGGTGGAGGGACTGGGGGTAGGGCGGAGGGATTACCGTATGTGTAGAGGGCTATTCGTACCGGAGCGGAGCGGAAAAGAAAAATATCCAATGTGTTGTGTGACAGTTGTAAACTAGCTGACAAGCCCTGGGGGGCGGAGGGCGGAGGGACTGCGTGATGGACGGAGGAGCCGGGCGGGGCCCAGGGCGAGGAGCGGCGGGGTGTCGTGGAGGGGCCGGCGGAGAGGGTAGAACCACCCGTTGTGGGGTCATGCAAGGGGCGGCAGGGCGGGTGAGGGGCTGAGGAGGTGAGCTCCTCAACTTCCATGAGCTGGCGCGTCGGGGAACGGCGTGCGGAGGGCTGTTGGCGATCCTCACGAGTTGCCTCCACCCAATCTCCCTCATTGTCCTTATCTTCACCCCGCCTCACTCCTTGCCTCGCAGGCCGTCTCCTCCCTGCTGTCGCGCTACCTGCACGACATCGAGCGCTCCCTGCGTGCGGCGCTGGACAGCCGCCACCTCGCCGCGCAGGCAGCCGCAGCGGCAGCTGGAGCAGCAGCAGCAGGCGGCGGCGCGGCAGCAGCAGTGGGAGGGGCCGGCATGGGGTCGGGGGGCGCGCATGCAGGGGGCCATGCGGGCGGCGGCGCGGCGGCTCAGGAGCGCATGTGGCAGTCGCTGCGGGAGGTGTTGGAGCTGGTGTGCAGCGCCACCACCGCGGTGTGGCACCTGCAGCGGGTGGTGGCGAAGAAGCGCGACCCGCTGAGCCACGTGTGCTTCCTGGATGAGCTGGTGGGGCCGGGGGAGCCGCTGCTGGTGGCGCGGTTCTGGTGAGGAGGGGTAGCGGGCGGGGAGAGGGAGAGGTGAAGGAGGGAAAGGGAGCTAACCGGTGGTGTTGGTGGCCATGGTACGGGGGGGGCAGAGATCTCGCTCATGCCCTACTCCCAAGCTCCGGAGTACATAACCGGTTTGTTTCCACCTTCGCCTGGCTCGGTAGCAACTCCGCCACACTCCACCATGTCGCCCACCTCCTGCAACCCCTCCCCCGCCCCCCTGGGCCGCAGGTCGGACCTGGTGCGTGTCACCGCGGACGCCTTCGCCTCCGTGTCCAGGCCGGGCAAGGGCGGCTTCGTGCGCGACTGCCTGACCGCCGCCTACCCGCGGCTGGCGGGCTACGTGGAGGCCATGTTTGAGCGGCTCACAGCGGAGACAACCATCAAGGTGGGAGGGGGAGGGGGAGGGGGAGGGAGAAGAAGAAGGGGCGTGCAGGGAAACACCCCCCTAGCGGACTGGGGTCAAGCTGTGGGGCTGAGGTGTAAGCCGGTTCGGGGGGTTCAGGGTACAGTGTGCTGGTAAAAGAAGGCTTCTGCCCCTTCTCTCTGTCTGACCCCTCCCCTACTGCTGGCCCTCACTGCCGGCGTGCACCGGGTTCTTCCACGGGTTGCAGGGTGTGCTGCCCGCAGTGGGTCTTCCTCAGCTGCAGCAGCTGCTGGCCGCCACGGGGCCCTTCCAGTCGGCCTACATGGCGGGCTGCCTGGCGCGGCTGACGGATGCGGTGGCGGCGGCATTCCCGGGCAGTGCACGGCAGCTGCCCTCGGCCACGGAGGTGCAGCGGTGCATAGGGTGCGCGGGGGGGGGGCTGGGAGTTGGAGGAGAAGGGGTGAAGGCTGGGGAGGAGGAGGAATAGGAGGGAGGGGGAGCTATTGAATGGATTTGAAAGCTGATCCGTTTTTCCCATTCTTTGCCCCTTCCTGCCTCTTACCCTCCCTCCCTGCTTTCCTTATAGTTTCCTTTACACTTCCCTCCCTCCTCCCTCCCCCCTCAGCCTCATCCACGAGGAGCTCAAGACCGGCTCCTCCAGCCCCCAGCTGGCCGCCATGATGGCTGCAACTGCCGCCAAGGCCCTCAACCTGCTGGCGGAGCGGGCAGAGTACTCGGCAGCATCGGGCCCGGAGCTAAGGCAGCTCACACCCAACCCGCTAGAGGCGCTGCAGCAGCAGCAACAACAGCGGGGAGGCGGGGCCTCCGCCATGGGGGTGGTTCCCAACGTGGCGCAGTTGAGGAACATCGCGCTGTGCTCACACCTGCAGGAAACGCACCGCTCGTTGTCTGCGCTGCTGGCCCGGCTGCCAGCGACGGCGGCGCCGGCGCTAGGCGGTGCGCTTGCAGCCGTACAAGCGACGGCGGTGGATGCTGTCGGGCCCATTTTTAAGGCCGTGGTTGAGGCATGCGAGGAGCGCTTGCTGCGCATGCACGAGTGGCCGGGTTACAGCCGCAACCGCAGCGGCGGTGGCGAGCTGGAGGAGGCTGGCGCGCCAGGTGGTGGTGAGGTGACGTCCACCTCCCCGCATGTGTCGGAGGTGGCGGCGCTGCTCGCGGACTTCAGGGCGGAGTTCCTGTCGCGGTTTGTGCCGCCGCCCTCGCCCGCAGTGCCCTCGTGTGCGGCGGCCCTAGTGGAGCGCATGGCGTGTCGGCTGCTGGTGTTTTTCGTACGGCATGCTGCGCTGCTGCGGCCGCTGTCGCAGGCGGGGAAACTGCTGGTAGGTGTTGGTGGTGTCCGGGGTGGTGCTGTGCGTCGCAGATTTTGCGTGTATGGGGATATGCGGGGATTCTGTCGCTGAGGAGGGATATGGCCTCGGGGTGGCTGACGATGCAGCGATGAAGGGGGAGAGCGGGAGCACAACCGTCATTCGCGCATGTCTACTCACGCATGTCCTACGCCTTGCGTCAGCCCCTTTCCCGACGACTTTTCTTCACCCCCTGTCTCCCTGCCCCTTGCCGGGCCAGGTGGCCAAGGACCTTGCGGAGCTGCAGGCGGCTGTGGGGCAGCACCTGCACCCCCTGGAGCAGCTGGGGCAGCCCTACCGCGCAGTCAAGGCCTTCCGCTCGCTGCTCTTCACGCCGGCAGCCGCGGTGGCAGCCAACCCGCTGCTTGGGGAGCTGCCGCCCGCCATCACACTGCATCACATTTTCTCAAGGTGGGGCATGATGGGAGCCGGCTTCCGCGGGGAAAGGAGACAAGTACACGTACGACTAAACCCATCCTGGTAACATGGATCATAGGCTGCTGCCTGGTCCTGTAACTCCCTCTTTACATCCCCTCATGCGTCATACCGGAAGCTATGCGGCCCGTAATTGACATGCGGACCGTACAATGCCGGTAACCCAAGGCGCTGCTCCCCCCATCCCAATCCCCCTCCCGCTCCCGTACAGGCTGCCCGCCGCCATCCAGGCCCCTCACGAGCGCTCCGGCCTCACCGCGCTGCAGTACTCCCTCTGGCTGGACGGGCACACGGGGGAGGAGTGCGTGCGCAGCATCGGGACGGCGCTGGCGGCCACATCAGCGGAGGCGCTGGCGGCGGCGGCGGTGGACGAGGAGGCGGCGGAGGCGCTGGCGTTGATGCGGCGCATTTGTACGGCGGGCGATGGAGCGACGGTGGTGGCGACGGCAGCGGACGGGGCTGCTTCATGATGGGGAGTAGGGAATGTGTAGAAAAGCGCGGAGGGTGGTAGAGGTGCGCTTGTCTGTAACTCTATGCGTGCATGCGGACGACATGGGGAGCACAGCTGGTGTGGCGCGGAGCCCAAGCGGCGTTACCGGCATTGGCCGTGGTTCAGGGTGCGTGCTTTACAGGGGCTCCTTAGGCCTCTGCCAAACTCGGGTCTTGCAGCTGAAGCAGTTGGCCCGGCTGTCAGCATGTGTCTCCTGGATGGCAAGAGTTCATGACAGCTTGATGCGTCGCAGTACATGCTATGTACATGTCTTTCTGGTGTATCAGAACAGCTCTGCCCGGCGAGCATCTCTAGGCTGAGGACTTTGCCGCCCAGAGGGCAGGTTTGGGTAACGTACCGGTAGCTAGGGGACGTAGGGCGTAGGGCGTACGTTGCTGCGATAGCGATTGTCGGTACAATGGGTCTGTCTGCGCAACGCAACACAGCGCCGTCACAGGTCAGAAACATTCCGTTACACGCCCAAGGCGCCGGTCCATCTGCCATGCAGTAATGACGGCCTGCATAAGCCATGTCGCCCATCCAAAGGCTTAATAGCAGCGACAACCAGACACACTGACCCTCGTACGTTCTAGGAGGCCTCCAAACTGCCACACTGTCAAAAAACACAGCACAAAACGAGTTTGCATTCGTCGGCATATGGGGATGAAAAAAATAGTACACGTGACCCCATTCATCGGTACCTATGCGGTCGTGCCCCTGCATATTCTTCAGACTCGCCCGTCTTGCAAGACGTGCAGACGAAACGACACATCACAGCACACAAACACGCAGAATCGTCCATGTTCCTGCCCACAGCGTTGGCGGGCCCGCCCCTGTTCCGGGAGTGTACGAAAACACGCCTACGAATGCCCGCGAGGTAAAAAGCACGCCACTTGACCTATGACAGTAAACACCTACACTCCTACAGCGCAAGCACAGTCCAAACTGACACGGCTGAAACAATGCCTGATAATGTACTGGATAAGATAGCCGCAGCAGCTCTCCGGCCAACATGTCCCCTAAAACAGCCCGCCGACCTCGCACCCACCTAGGCCAAGCACACCCTATAGAACCCAAACCCATACAAAGAGCCCAAGCCACCGAGGAAGTTGACACAGTCCTTGTGACGTCTTTGGACCCCCCCCCTCATCCCACACCCCTGGTTGCTCATCCCACCTCACCCCTGGGTGCGTCCCTTATTATCTTCTCCACCCCGCACCGTTCCCAGGTCCACCAAATATTCACGTGACATGAATCCCCTGAGCGTGAAAGCCTCCTACTCCTTGTGCCGCATTACCACTTGCCGCTCAGGAGGCGAGGAGCAGTTACGTAAGAAGGGGTCAACACGTTCCCTCGCCGCCCTTCACCCATGCACCCATGCAGTTACCCCATGCAGTGGTAAGCCCCAGCAGGACAGCCACATGGATATGAACCCCCTGGCAACGCGGCCCCAGCCATGCACGGTCGTCAACTGTGTACTGTACTCGCCGCACATGCAGCACTACCTGCCTAGCTACCCTCTGTCCATTGCAGCCGTTGCGATAGAAGGCCGACAGCCTAACCCCCTTAATGGCCGCACCCGCTTGAGGTACCGTAGCAACTCCTACTCGGGTGCAGTCCGGCGACCAAAGCTCTCGTACAACCCACCAACCTCCACATCCGGCCTCCCATACCCCACACAGCCCCTCCACACCTCCCATACTCCCATGGGCTTTTACCTTACCGCAAAACCTCTACCATCTTTGGCATGTAACCTCCCAGTGATGCAAGTTGCATTTTTCCATACGAAGCGTCTCCGTTAAACGAACCGGTCTCCCTTATACAACCTCCACCTCTTCTCTTTTCCATCCAAGTACTTCCCGCTTGCGGTCTTGCCACACTACACACCTTACCATAACCGCCACGCTCTTCCTCACAACCCTCATGCCCGCCCATCATCATCATTACGCCACCAGGTTCCGTTTGGGGCGGTACACCGCAATCTGCGCGGAGCAGCTCTGCAGCTTGCCGTACAGGTCGGTCTCGATCATGTCGAAAAACTTGACGATGCGGCTCTCGATGGACACAGTGGAGTTGATGACGCGCACGCGCGCATCCGTGTCGATCGTAAGCGACTCGCTGCACTCCTCCACCAGCCCCGACAGCCGCTCCACCTGCGGCGGCAGCACACCAGCCAGCGGGGCAGGTCTAAAGCATTACCGTAGAGGCGCCCGACTTACACCTGAGCCGCACTCTCCCCGTCAGCACCCTCCGTCCCGCCATGCTGCACTAGGCACCTACATCCAAAGCCGCCCTCCCCCATTCCCACACTCCCACGCCTACCTCCTCCTCCAGGCGCTGCTGGTAGTCCTCGAACAGGTACTGGTTGCGCCGGTTGTCCTGCTCCGAGAAGTCCTCCTTGTACATCTCGCCTGACGTGTTGGGTGGGTGTTCGGGGGCTAGGTGGGTGGGTGCAGGACACCACACAGCCAGGTTGGGACGAGCCACATAGAGCAAGCTGCCCAAGAGCTCTTGAGCCACAGTCCGGTTGGCAGTGCTGTGTGTGTCTGTGATCTCTCACCCCACTCCACCCCACCCCCATACAACAGCGCGCTTGCAGCCCGCTCACCACCTCCTGCTGCGCCCGCCCGCCCGCACCCGCACCCACGCCCACTATCCCTGTATCCCTAGCAACCCACGCCCCACCTCCAAAGAAGAAGTACGCGAATGCGTAGCTGTTGGACAGCACCCCCCGCGCCACCTTGAGCTGGTCCAGCGCCCGCACCAGCCAGGTGTAGTCGCGCGCCTCGATGCCCGTCTCCACCATATTCCCGATGCGGTTCAGCAGGTCGGCGCTGGGAGGGGGGGATGGAGGGGGGGATGGAGGGGGAAAGTAAATGAAAATTGAAGCAACGGAGGCGGCAGAAGGAGGCAGGCAGGGGCCAGATGGGGGAGGGTATTGGGGTAGCGCGAGACGGGCAAGGGAGGACGCTGTCAGCACGACAAGAGCAAGCTGTGGCCATGGCAAGTTGGCAATCCAATAGGACTGTGGAAATCCGTTGGTTCATAGTTATACTAAACAATTGGCAAGCAAGGGGTAAGGTGGCAAAGACTTTAGCAGGAGGTCTTATACAGTCTTCCTGGCCCCTCTCACCGCTTGATCCCCTCCTTGCCGTAGCTGTCCATGTGCAGCTTGTAGCGCTCAAAGTAGTGCATGTAACGCGCGTGGTTGCGCGAGGCCTCGTCGATCTTGCGGTCCATCTCGTCCTTCCAGCGGCCGCAGCTGTGGCCCTCAATCTTCTGCCAGGAGTGTGCGGTGCCGGTGGCGGCGCCGCACAGCCAGCAGAAGGCCTGGAGGTGTGGGGGAGGTGTGGGGGAGAGAAGGCGGGAAGATGGGGAAAAGAAGAAAAACCCCAATGTGTGATGGGGTTGCAGGAGAGGGGACAGTTTGGGGATAAGACGCGGGGTCTAGGCGGGGCCCGATGCGGCGTAGTGTGCCGTGGGATAGAGGGAGAAGGAGGAGAGGGAGCGCTGCAGGAACATGGTAACTTATGAGTGTGGAGGCAAGGATTAGGATGGGCAAAGGGCGTGTACTTTGACTTCAGGCTTTAATGATGTGAGCCACGCGAGCTCCCACCCACCCACCCTGTGCCCCACTCCTCTTCCATCGCCTCCTCCGCCACCTCCTGCACCCACCTGCCCGCACTTGCACATCACCAGGTTGCACCCGCCGTTCTTCTCCACCGGCTTCTGGCACTTGGGGCAGGGCTTGGTGTTGGCCATGAACCAGTTGCGTGTCTCGCTGTCGCCGTGGATCTTCTCGTCCCACTCGTCCCACATCTTGCAGGTGCAGGGCGTGTGCGGGTCCTTCAGGCACTTGAAGCAAAACACCTTGCCGCACTTACACTCGGGCTCCACGAAGGGGTCGCCGTCCACCTGGGCGGGTGACGGGGGGAGGTCAAAATACCATACCGAACCATTCCATCATGGGAAACCACAGGTCAGGGCAAGACAGTGGGGATGGGCGGGGGTGATGTGGCGGTAAGAGGGACGCGGTCAAAGGTATTGACTGGAGGCGATAAAGAGGTGCTGTTGATGCTCGCAGTGTCCGCGTAGCCTCCCTTTCGCCAGCAAGCCGGATGGGCGGCGGGGCAGGATTCGGTCCGGTCCCGTTGCGCTACGTGGAGTGGCAGGGTGGGGTCACGGCGGGGTCATGGGCGTTCCTAACACCGGTGTGGTCTGTGGTGCTTTCCTTCGCCGCGCCTGCACTTGGCTGAGATCCCAAGCTGTTCCTTGCTACGTAGCATGTTCGGCACTCTTATGTGTTACCGGTATCTGGGCAAAAAGAGCCGCTCCCATGAACCGCTGGACTACCTGTGGACACATGCCAGTTGCCTGCCGCCGGCCCGGCCGCTCGCTGCAACCCACGCACGGACTCTGTCCACTCCCTAACGTTGTCCTATCCTCAACACGGCGGCACCCTCGCAACCCCCCAGCACAGTACCGCGGCTCAGTTACCGGTACTCCCAGGTAACGGGACTTCCTATGGTCACGGTCGGTGTTTCCCCGCGGCTCACTTAGCACCTAATCTCCCAGTTCGCACACACCGCACCTGTATCGCATGGCCGCACCAGGGAACACTGGGGCAGAAGTTGACCTTTGCGTTATCCTCCACATACGACAACGCCAGGCTGTTGGTGTACTTGTCGAGCGCCTCCGCCGCCTCGGCGCATGTCCTGCAGCCGCCGCTGCCGCTGCCGCCAGCGCTGCTGCTGCCGCTGCTGCCGTCGCTGGGTGCTGCGCCGTTGGAAGGCCCCGCACCGCCGGCGCTGCTGCTGGCCCCTGCCTGCCCCCCGCCGCCGCCTTGGTCACCTCTCAGCAAGGCACATACCTTCTCCTCGTCACACACCACACCACACTTGTGCGACATGCATCTAGGGGTTGGGTGGGGAAGGCGAGGGGCGAGTGGGTGGTATAGGAAATGGGATACCTCTGGATGGGGAGAGGTACCCGTTTGGTACAAGTACCGGGCTGCTGGTTTAGCAGTGCGCCCAGGTCTGCATGTACAATACTGTAATGACCTGCTGCGTCCTTCAGCAACGTTCTGCATGCATGTGAGAGGTGTTCTGCAGGGCAGCCCGGGTTACCCCACGCACGCGCAGTGATCTGGGTCATGCTCCAACCTGCTCCGCGACCCATGTTGACCATGCATCCTCACCTGATGGTCCGCGCCTGCCCCTCCCGAATCTGGACCTTGATGTGCTGCCGCCAGCAGTCGTTGCAAAACGTATGCCCACAGTCCATTGTCGTGGCCTCAGAAGGCCCCACGTCAGCAAAGCAAACTTGGCATGTTATGGATGAACACGATGGCGTGTCGGCATCTGTGGGATGAAACAACAGCATCAGAGAGGTGACAGCGGATGCTGTGAAGGTATGCAGGGGGAGCGCGCTACTAGATGGGGGCCGGAGGCGAGCGTGTCAATGGCTCAGCCACGGAGCAACAGTCCTCACCTAGGGTGTCAACGGCCACGCCCGCTTGCTTCAGGACCGTCTCCGGATCACGCTCTGCAACCTTGGCTGCAATATGTGTATGGTAGACGAGCTGTTAGAACAGGATTCGCCGCGGTGGCGTGAACTGCAAGAGTAACTTACTCAGCAGTTGTTCTTTGTCCCATCTGAAGAACATAAGCACTATCTTTGCCACAGATGGTTTCACGCCCAAGATCGATACAACTTCGTGCACTGCCTCAGCCTGCGGGCAGGAGGGTTCGCCATTAGAGCAGTTCCCCAAACCAACGGCTCCACCAGCAAGATATCGGAAAGCCCACAACCCACCTGCAAGCGAACGATTGCCTCTGCAGCACAGCACGAGAAAGTGGGAGCGTGGGCAGTTAACCGTCTGCAAGAAGCGCATACCGCGCATTCCTCGCTTCTTACCTTGGTTCAGCACCGTCCAGCCTGGCCCCCCTGAAGTTGATGGTCCAGCCTCGTCTCCATGGTGGTCGACATGCATGCCGCTGTCGCTGCTCTCATACTCGTAGCCATCGTCGCTCGCATCGTAGTCGCTGACCTCTTGCTGGCTGTCCTCGTCGACGTCTCTCATCGGTAAACTCTTGTTGCTACTCATTAGGGGCCAACCTGCTTGGCGAGCAACTATGCCAAGGATTTGCTGGAAGCGTACAATGAGCCTTGGAGCTTGGTAAAGGGTCGTTTGGGGGAAATAGGACAATTGTGCAATGGATCTGGGCAGTATGTCGAACAATGGAGAAACAAAACTGCACAAAGGTTATTGTTCTCGGCCCACTCCCGTCATGCTGTGGAATACGGCAGCAGACGGCAGCATCCGTGCAGCACCTGTCTACGGCAGCATCCGTGCAGCACCTGTCTTGCCCATCTCCTTCCCGACCCACACCTTCCCCAGCCCCGTTCACGGCAACAATCCAAGCTGCTGCCGTCTCTACTCCTAATGACTTCCTCCCCACTAATTGCACCATCCTTGGGTTTAGGACTATCCTCAGGCTCCCTGGGGCTACTGCAGTGCAACCGTCACTCTTCCAGGGGCATGCTTGACACCTAGTAGGCGGACCCCTTTCGAGGTATTTGCAGGGGAGCGCACACACGAGGAGAATGTGCTTCGGGCGTTTCGCACTTGCCCATTGCCCTGCTCGAGCACCTGCGGCAAAAGCCCTTCCATCCTGACTCCTACCATCAACCTTGTCCTCATGGACCCTACTAGTCTGCGTCCTGAGCCCTCTCCTGCTCATGTTCACTGCTAGCCCTGCCATCTTGATCCTTTGTTCCCGGGTCTCCTTTCCTGGACAGTTTCCCCGCTTTGCAAGGCGTTGCAGGGTGGGCTGTTGTAGATGAACGGAAGATCACTCACTGGATCCCCAGCCCCACTGTACGAATCGGGGCCCCGCTGTGCCACCACGTCGTATTGCCGTACTCCCCCCCCAGCCCTGCACCAGCAAGCAGAGAATGCATAACTGCTGCAAAAACACTGCAAATGCGCACGCGGTTGCCGGAACCGTGACCCTCCGAGCAGCTGGAGGTATGGCAGCGAGCTACCACTTGACGCCGATGCATGTGCACTTACACTAACACACCAGCACTCCTTTGCAGTAGACATAGCAAGGGACGACAGTCGTCTACCCATCCTCTGGCAATCACAGTACGTTCCGCCTCGCGGCCAGTTTTCTTAACTACCCATATTCAAACCCATTCTTCACGCGCGGTAAGGTACATAGCACGCGTTTCACGCCAGAGCGTACGACCTAGATCCGGCATCAGAACCGAATGCCAGGGCAAGATTGAACCATTACGTTCACATGCCACCTGCGATGCGATGCACATGTTCGCTTCTAGGGTTCGCCGCGCCTTCGGTTCATTCCAGACCTCCCATATGTTCTCCCATTAATTAATCCGGGAATATCCCTGACTGAACAGACGCTGCACCCTATTCTGGCCCTCACTTCGGGCCCCACCGCCGCAACAGGCCCCACCGCCCCACAGCTGTCATCCCTTCCTTTCCGCCCTCCGCCACACCCTCTTGCTTTCCTTCATCCCCGCCCTCCTTCTTCTGCTTACCCCCCACCTCAGCGACCGGAATCTCAACCAACCGCAACTGCATGGCCAACAGAAATGCCCCTGTGAGTACGGCGGAAAGCGCTGGTACGGCCATGCTGCCGTACGAATCTGCGGCTGCAGCTCCCAGGGCGGGTGCCAGCATGCGGACACCGCTGCTGAGAGACATGTCCAGGGAGAGGGCGGTACCGCGTTGCTGAGGAAGGACAGCCTGCAATGGAACATACAAAGAGGCGCCGGGAGGTCTTGTTCTGTAAAGTGACCCATGGGTCATAATCCGTTTAGAAGCTGCGGTTGCAGGGTTGCAGGGCGCACGACGTGAAGCCGGAGCACACATTTCTACGGCACAGCCCCCTGCAACGAAGAACACGCATACCTGGGAACGAAGGATACCCACATACGCGCCAAGCATGTCCCATGCAAGAACTACTACCACTAGCATGTACCTTGGTCAGCCGTGACGTGCTGGCATTGTTGTACAGCATGCCTGCCACACTGTACGGCACCATCAGCACCAGCAGCTGCCACAGAGACCCCCATGCTGCTGCCCCTGCTGCTGCCCCTGCTGCTACTCCTCCTGCTGCCCCTGCTGCTCCTACTCCTGCTGCAGCTGCTGATGATGACAAGGATGCCACAAGAGACGATGAGGAAGAGGAGGAGGCGGATGTGATGGACGCTGCCAGGGCCAGGAAGGTGGCGGCCAGTGCGGCCACACAGCTTCGCTCCGTGGCGGGTTCACCCAGGGTCGAGATGACGGGGCCCACCAGCAGCGCCTGACCTGCACCGCAATGCGGCCAGCATTGGGGGGGCGGGGGCGGGGGTGACATCGTTGTGACTTGTGACGTTGCGAGGGCTGGTGGAAGGGCTGTGTGAGGAGTTGGTGATCGGTTTGCTGGTGCGCTGGGACGCCCTACTTCCAGACCAGTGCAAACTCCGAAGAAGGACCCCTACAGAGGACCCCTACAGAGGACCCTTCTGCTCCCCCCCCCCAACTACCACCGCACCGCACCTGCCAGCAGCAGCCCCCCCACGTACGACATGACCAGTCCGTTGTGTCTTGGATCCAGGCCGTACTGCCGCTTGAGCAGCACGGGGAACATGGACTGGAACACCGCCGACCCCAGCCCCACCAGCAGCTTGCCCAGCAGCAGGGGGCGCACGCCGGGGCGGCGGGAAACCTGGGAGGGGCGGTGGGGTAAGGGGAAACGGGCCGTGGGATGGTGCGTATGGGCAGTATGGCATGTGACATTGGGCGGGTTTGCCTAGGACTACCGGTAGCGGCAACGTGACTCATAATGGCCTTAACGGGTGGCGGGATTGCCCGGACACGTTGCGAGTGGGTGATGGGCCTGGTGGCTGGGGTGGCGGGGTAGCGGGGCGAGCAAAGCGCCAAACACACGGTCCGGAGCATCAGGACGCAAATGACGATGGACGCATCTGCCCCCTGTCACCCCTTGTCCGCCAGCCCACCCACCTCCACAAACGCCAACATCATCTGCCGCGCCCCCACACCGCCCGCTGCCCGCTCGCGCGCCGCAGCACCCGCCTCCCTCTCCTTGCTGCCGCCGTCAGCGCCCGTCCCTTCCTCTTCCTGTGCAGTGGCTGCTGCCGCCGCTGCCTTCGCTGCTGCTGTCGCTGCCGTGTTCGGGTCCTCCGCTGCTCCAGAGCTGCAGCTGGCGGCGGTAGGGGCATCCCCAGCAGCACTATGATGAGGTGGGGGGTGTCCGGACGGGTGTGGGTGTGGGTGTGGCGAGCCCGGGGGAGGTAGGTCTGTGGATGTCAGGGTGGTCGAGGACACGGAGGGAGAGGGCAGAGGGCTCGCAACATTACTGGGGTGGAAGAATCGCGTGACAGTGTGTTGTGTACAGTATTGGTTGGGAGTAAGGAAGGAGTCTAGTCCGCTTGCGCAGTTCATAGATGTGAACCAGGGTGCTCCCGCAGCGCGCTGACTGGCAACAGCGCCACATGCCCAGTGCAGTACGCACCTCCTTCCCCGCTCCGCTCTACCGTAATCCGCATTCCATCTGCTGCTGTATAGTACACGCCTCCACCACCCAGCCCCTACCCCGCTCCCAGCCCCTTCCCCTCATCCTCATGCCTCACCTGGCAGCAGCAGCAGCACGCTAACCAGGCTCACAGCCGACCCCACCGCCGCAGCCACCGCGGGGCCTTGCAGCCACTCCCCGCCACCTCCGCCGCTGCCGCCACCCCCGCTGCCCCCCAGCCAGCCGCCCACCGCGGGTCCCAGTGTGAAACCCACACTGTACGACACAGCAACGAAACCCAGCACACGAGCGCGGTCGGAGTCGGAGGAGAGCTGAGTCACGATGGCACGTGCGGCGAGTACGGCGTGCTGTGCATTGGGGGCGGATGCGGGAGGGAGGGGACGGGTAGTGGGGCAATGGAGGGAAGTTGTGTGTGAGGAGCGTGTGGAGAAACCAGCCTTGATGGGGAATGAACCAGCGGCAGCGGTGCGGCCCTTTCCCCATTCCTCCCCTCCCTCTCGCTCCATCTATCCTTTATCCTGACCTCTCATCATGGTTCGTTAGAGATTCAAATAAGAGTAATCTGCTCTCTGCCCTCACCTCTCCGCCCCTTCCTACCTGCATGATGGTGGGCAGGCGCGCCAGGTAGAGCCCCCCCATGGAGGTGGCGGTGGCCGTGAGCGCGTAGCTGGACAGGCTGGCAGCGAAGGAGAGCGCGAACAGGAAGCGGGGGCCGTAGCGGTCCATGAGGGGGCCTGCGGGGGGCGGCAACGCGGCACTTGGGGCCGAGGGCAGCAGGAAGGGCGACAGGAATGAACTCCAATAGCTGCAGCAGTGCAGCTAGGCACGCGTAAGCTGCGTAGCGGCGGCGGAGCAAGCTGCTGGTTTCCTTCTGCTTTCCCATTGCTCACCCGAAATGAGGCCGCCGATGAATTGTAGGGCAGAGAAAGCGGTCTGCAGTCTGCCGTACTGTGTACTGCCCGCCGCTCCTAGCTTCTCGACGAGGTACGGCAGCACGGGCACCTGAGCCATCCAACAAATGGAGTAGAGCACCACATTGGTGTAGACCACTAGCTGATAGGCTGTGACGCTGTGAGAGGGCAAGGGGAACCCAAGGAAGCGCCTTCTCCGTTTGTCGCGCCCACTGCTCGCGTCGCTGTCATTGCTGTGGTGCACCATGTCTTAAGTACTTGAGGGCGTGCTCTGTATTGTAGGCGTGATGTGGAAAGGTAGCGGATTTAGGCATGTTTCATAGTGGGGAGGCATGGGGTTTGCCGTTGCATCTCGACGTGAACCTTGAAAAAGTGTTCAGGAACGTGACTTTTATAAGACCTGTCTTGCGAAATGATGTCTGTATGGCATTCCCGTGGTTGCTTGCTCGGTGCCCAGTTGCAGAGGGCACGAAATTAACTGTACTGTACGGAGGTATGGCAGTTGGTTATGAGTCGAAAAGTACATTGAGGAAAGACCAGCCGACCCGAAAGCGAAACGAATTTACTGACTAAGCTGTGTAAATAATGCGCAAGTACCTAGACCCGGCGTACCGGTATCCTGCCAAGCTGCCTCCAAGGCTAAGCCTGACCGGGCAGGGTTGCACGCAGTGTCGGCCTTGCGACCAACGATATATATTTAACGCCCTAAAGAATGTGTTTAGCTTGTAATATGGCGGTTTGGAGGCGCCTAGCATGATGTTCTTAAGACAGAACAAGCGACGTTACGCATACTGCCCCCCATCTAAGCAAAGGTAAATTTACAAGATCATTTTTAAATACCGTATACAATCGCTGAACTGCAGTGTCTTTAATCCAGGCGAGAGACAGACGCTTTCCTGCCTCGTACAGCATCCCAACGTACGTGTATCCGAACGTGGGCCAACTACTCCCGACTCGATGAAACTGGTAGCGCAAAGGCTCCGATAGACACGCTGCGTAGTCTCAGTTAAACATACAAAATGGAGCACAACGGCCGCCAGAAGCGAACGCCAGCTGCTGCGGGTGTTGGCCCGACACCCCTGGCGCTTAGGCCGGTGGGTTATGGCTTGGGAGCATGTTCAATAGCTTAGCAGCTGGAAACCTCATAATCAGACGTTATGTTTACACTGGGTCCTCGACTGACGCGTGTCTCGGCCGTTTTGCTTCTTATGCGCAGCGCGTCAACTTTGGGAAACTTGATATCGCATCCCTAAGAAGATATTCACGTATTCATAAGCTGGTGAGCAGCTCAGGGCGCAGTGACGGCGCTGTCGCAGCTTTAATATAGTCGCCATCTTGCTCACACCGAGGGAGCCCTACTTCTCGACTATTTCTTGCAGGTCGGCGTACCACCGGCTGCCACAAAGGACCAACTTGTGGCTGCTGTCACGCGCCATTTCGCTGCTCAGGTGCGCGCTGACCGCATGGCCGATAGAAGCCGGGACTCTGTGCAGGGAAAATGCGCAGCAGCTCCGGTTATAAATTATACAGGACTGCAGCAATAGGGTTTGTTCTCTGTGCTGTCCGGTATCATGCTGCGCAGGTTGTTAGGTGTATCTCGAAATGTATGAGCGGCGTTCACCCTTTCAGCCGTGCTTGCGCAACTGTGTCGTCAGGCTGTTCCTACGCGTGCTAACACGTACCGGTATTGTCCCTTGTGTACAGGTGGTAAATGATGAGCTCAAAGTAATCGCAGCCTTTGTCACAGCGGTCCAACGGCGTCAATCGCTTGCACAGCAGCCAGGGCGAAAATGAAGCATGGCAAGGACGCTTGACGTAGCGGCTATGGAGGGCGGCTGCTTTCAGTTGACCCATTGGGGAATAATGTCCTGGGTAGGGGTAGGGGCACACAGCTTAAGGGCACGGTGTTCCTTTGGTGTAATACCCTGACACAACAGGAACACGCGACCATGTAGGAAGTAGGAAACACGTTGGGACGTCTTGGGTATGTGGGGCAGATGAGGTTAGCGGGTAGGAAGTTGGATACTGCGGGAACTTGCAGGCGCGCGTTTGGCTTGGGAAGGACGTAAGCTACCGCGCTTCCCAAAGGCGGAGTTGCGCATGTCGTCCTTTGCATATTGCTGGGTGTCGGCAATCCGGTGTGGCTCGCCATTTACGTGCATGTTGGTTCAAGGTTCATAATCAATGTCCATTTTGTTGTATGTATCTATGCACTTAACTAAAACTTGGCGCAGATGCCTCTATCCAATGTATGGTAGTTGACAGTAGGTTGACCACACAACGGAGGCTGCATTGTTGACAGGCCTTCTGATATTGTAGCGGGGTGAAGTAGTACTTGGGTTCTGACGCTGTGACAGGCCCCGACTGCAGCCACCGAACGCGCTTGCTCTGCTTTGCCTATCCAAGCAGCGACAGGCGTGAACATTGGTTTGGGCAGCTGCGGGGCTATGCTTACTTGCAAGGACGTGTTATTGTGTTTGCTGTGGGCACTTCGGACAATGATGACGTCCTTCATCAGGCTATAACTGTCATGTGGGGAGGCATGGTGCTTGGTTACCCTGCGGTTTCCAAACCCTGTGCTTGGTAATCTGTGCTTAGGGCCTACTAAAGGCTGTTGCCTGTGGTTTTCGTTTCAATAGGGTCTGTGGACCATTAAGCGTTTAGGTGGCTTTGCCCCTGCTTCGTGCTGGAGTGGCTGGGGCGCTCCTCGCTCGCTGATTGCTTATGATGGCGGGCAGTTGTATGGGACGAAGATCATGGTTGGCATCGCAGGGTTTGGACCAGATTTTGTTATCGTTTCTTCATATATTAGTGCCATCCTTGCATGGATGGATGGCGCAGCACCCGCACAATCGCTCGTTTGATCCAAATTCGTACTCTGACGATAAGCCGTCAGATGGAGATGGTGAAATATACAAGTACGTATGTAAGCGCAGGCCTCCGGTAGGTATAAGATATTCACAATGATTTGACTGATGTCTTCCCGTTCATGAAATCGTACTGCAGCTGGAGACCATGAACTTTCAGGAGCTTCGTATCAGTAATAGGGAAAATTGTAACAGATGATTGGATGAGGTATTTGGCACAGGCATCTCCCAACCTAGTTCCCTACGGCTTTATGCATCGCTAGGCGGAAACGGTTTCCTCTGCAATTAGGCATTAGTCTTGGATGAAGAGAATTACGCTAGAGGGTTGGCTTAAAACTGGATCACTCGTCTTAACTACGGAATACCGGTAGCCATGGCGGGGTCGGAACTGTTCGAGCTTGACTTTGAAGGAGCTGCTGAAGCACAGCCAGCGCACTCGGCTGCAACATCGACGCCAAACGACAAGTACCTTCAACCGAATGAAACGCCCCCGTCTGCGGGCGTCGGTATGGCGCAACCCGTTCGCTCGCGGGCACCCCGACTTATCGCAGAGGTACAGACTAACAGCTCAGTACTATTCTGGATTATAGTGTGCGTGCGAACGCAATGTAACCATCTCACTTCGTTTGACTGCCTATCTACAACCCTTAACAAGGACCCGGAAAAAAGACGCATAGTAGGACGTCCAGCAGCTGCTGCTCACAGCGACAAACCACCCAGCGCTAATGCGCCTGAGGAATCAACGAGCGACGTCTCTGTCCCTGAGCAGTCGATCGCCCCGACACCTCCCGCACCGCCAGTGTTCGAAGGTGCCGGACTAGCAGAGGTGCGTTCCACGCGCCCTTGCTGCCATGGCCTTGGCCCCGGGTAGGCTTTGCATGCATGGGTCCGGGAGCCTTCTACCCTGTAGCCCATGATCATCTGGGCTCTTCACCCGTCTGTCCTAACAAGGCAACGAGTTGCGCGGGTGTTGTTGTTGCTGCTTGCTAAGTCGAACCCTCCTTGCAGGCGGGCACGCTCCGCAAACAGGCCCCGGGCCAGGAGGAGGAGGACGATGAGTTCAACTACGCCTTCGAGGGCGGGCAGCGCGAGGGCGGATTCCACAAGCAGGTAGGGGCAGCAGCAGTGACAACGCATGGTGGGGTTGCCGTACTTGGGCGGATGAGGAGCACATCTCCCGCAAGCAGCCGGTGCTCCCTCAGCCCCCATGCGCACTCCGCAGCGCAGCGGGGCTGCAGGGGGGGAAGTGCAGGGGGGTGCAGGGGGCTGCAGGGACGCCAGCATACGTGCGCTACGCTGGTGATACGGTAGCGCAAGGCGCATGACAGCAGCGACAGAAGCGGCTTGGAGGCGGACAGCAGGAACTCGCAGCAGCACCAGCAGCAGATGAGCCTGCAAGGCGATTAAGCTGATAAGGCGAAGTAGGATGTAGCCGCGAATCAGCAACCCATTATACCCTTAGCCTCTTGGCGCATCGGTAAAGGGCAGCAAACCAGCAAACCATTATGCTAGGGTGCACTCCCAAGGCATCGCACCTGGGAGCGCTGCGCGCTTACGAAGTAGAAACCGTGCGGGCCAAGGCTGCTGCTGCTGTTGCTGGATCGCAGGTGTTCCGACCCAAGGCCATGCCTGCGCACCTGGTTAGCAATGTGAAGCAGCGGCTGAACACGGAGGTCCTAGCAGAGGAAGAAGAGGAGGAGGAAGAAGAAGAGGAGGAGGAGGAGGGCTGCAGCGGTGCAGTGGGGGAGGCTGGGCGGGAGGAGGAGGAGGACGAAGGGCAACTGGAGGAGGAGGAAGAGGACAAACAGCAGTCCAGAAGCAGGGTGAGGAGCAGGGTGGAGGGCTGCATATGTCCCTTCATATGTCCCCATCACGTTCTGGGCGTGTTGATCCTCACAACGCAGCAGTTCTCATCGTATGTGCTTCCAGCAGGGGGGGCTCCGCCTGGTAAGGTTCCTCCCAGGCTCCAACTGACAACCCCATGTGACCATGTTAACTCCTCAGGATGCCGGCAAAATGAACTCCTGGACTACCTTTGCGGTTTCGGAGGGCAACATTGACACTCTGGGAGACGAAGCGGCGGCGGCGGTGGCGGCGGGAGCCGGCGGGTCGGGCTCTGTCACAGGTTCGGGCAGCGGGCTGGCGCATGGGTTGCGCGGGGAGCTGGTGGGGGCGGCTGGGAGCGCGACAGTTGAGGTGAGAGGGAGCGTGTGTACGGATCCACCATGGTGGTGCTACGGGTGTGGCAGGAGAGGTGACCGCAATCTCCTCAATGCAACGGTGGGGTTGGGTCGTACGTATCCGTCCTTGTACCGGTGCCGTGCCATGGGCCACTTTTAACTTTCGCACTGAATCGCCTTTCTTGATGCCTTGGGGACCAAGATGCCCTTCCTTAAAGACGTGTTGCGGTTTCTCCCCCCCCGCTGCCGCCAGGATCTTCCTTCGTACAAGGTCATACACGCGCTGCAAGGCGCCAGCAACCCAGGAGGGACGTCGGGGTCGGGGCGGCTGTCGGCCACTCACTCGGGTGAGCGTTAGCATGGCAGGACGTTAGTCACGGGTAGCAGGCGGATACCGGTAGTAGCAGCTATAGTTTCTGGTAGAGTCGTGGGAAGAAAATGGGTGTGCATGTGTGGTACATTGCGTTATGTGCCCTCTAAACCGTTTTGCTCTATTTACACCCATATTCTCCCTTCTCCCTGGCTTCTTGCTCCTGCTGCTGCCCCTGCTGTCGTTCCACAGCGGGTCCCTCCTCAAGTCGGGGCATGTCGGGGGCTCAGGTGGAGTCCCTCGGAGCCCCCGCGGACACCTCCCCCAGGCCCGGCAGCATCATCAGCACCGCACAGGTGCGACCCGCGGGTCACCGCGGGCGGGAGGCTGCACTGAGCCTCGGCCTGGGTCCGTGTATGCAGTATGGTTAGAGGGGCACGTGTCTTCCAAGGTGTTGTATGGGGTTCCAGGTTAATGCTTCGTATGCACCCGTTTGGCATGATGCCAAGCCCAATAGCCATGATACGCTACCGGTACCGGTTGGTTGGGTCTCGTCTCGCGCACTGCCTGCTCCGACCCAGGGGCTGACTCCCGAATCCGCCGGCGTCGGTTGTTCGTCTTGACCTGTTTCCCTCCCTGCGCAGTTGACAGGCCTCCTGGGCCAGGGCGCGCTCTCCCCTCGTACACACAACCTCGACCACTCTCCACCGCAAAACCAACAGCAACCGCAGCAGCACCAACCGCTCGCACTGGCAGCGGCAGCCCCCTGCAAGGGCACCCTCTCACCCTCGTCGCCACCACAAGTGAAGGACACACCCGCGCTGAGCGTCGTACCGCCCACGCCACCGCCGCTGCCATCCCCTAGCTCAGCTGCAGCAGCAGGAGTGGCAGCGGCTGCAACGCCTCGAAGCAGCGGCCCCTTGTCTCCCAGTACAATCCGTTTGGAGCCCACATCACCAGCACCGCCGCAACAGCAGCAGCAGCGGCTGCAGCTCTCACCCGCTGGCCGCACGGCAGCAGCGGCGGCGGCGGCACAGCCGTCACCGTCGGCTCGCTCTGCTGCCGCCACGGCAGGGGGTTCGGTGGCAGGAGGTGCGGCGGTGGATGACGAGTGGGAGGCGGCGAACAGGGAGCGCAGGATGGAGATGGAACGGCCGCAGGTGCGTGTGTTGGGAGAGGTTGGAAGCATCCACTGCTAGTGTAGTGAATGTGGTCACGGTGCAAGGTACAGGTGCTTGGCAAAGCTTTGTCTAATTGAGGCCTGGGTTTCGCTCGCGGCGGGCATGTTCATCCTCTCTAACATGTGCTTTCCTGGCATACCTGACATGCGCACACGCATGGATGGATGCAGCTTCTAGCCTGTTCTACTGCAGGTGCATGTCCCACCTCCTTGCGAAGGTACTTTTTTCCCACCTCCGCAGATGTCCTCAGGCGGTGGCGGCACGCCCCATGCCACCGCCAGCACCCTGCTGACCTACCCCGAGGCTATGATGTACTACATGTCCTTGGACACCTCGATGACCCGTGGGTCGGTCCTGGCCTCGCTGCCGCCGCCGCCCGGCTTCTTCGCGCGGCTGCTGTGTCTGGGGCCCCCGGACCTCAGACCGCCCTTGCTTCGAGAGCAGCTGCTGCAGCTGCTGTCTCTGGCGCGGGTGCCGTTTGACAACGAGGACTTGATGCACGTGCGGCTGCTCAACTCCCTGTATGCTGCGTTTACTGGTGAGCGATAAGGACATGTTGGTTTGTGGAGGTGTGCGTGCGAGGATGTTTTGGTGGTGAGGCAGCTGGCCGCGGAGGGGAGAGAGAGGATGGACGCCAAGTGACTGGGCAACAATTCGGAGCTGCTTTGGCTCAATGAGACTTTTGCGAGACTTGCTAACCTTTAGGCGGGAAGAGACAAGAGGGGTCAAAAGACCTGTCACGTGGTTCTGCAATCAGGTCCCGTGGCCTTCCCATTTCCCAAACCCAATACACGTGCCCAACCGACCCGAAACCCACAACCGCAACCCCACCCCCTCCAGGCAAGAGCCCCGACCAGCCTCGGTACGGCAGCCACTGGGCGGATGTGGGCTTCCAGGTAGGGCCGGTGTGGGCGCGGGAGGAGGAAGAGAGGAGAAGGGGATGGGGGCGGGGATGAGGAGAGGAGGACAGGAGAAGGGTGTGGGCCCGGGGATGAGGAGAGGAGGAAGAGGGGTAGCTCAGGGGTGGCGATTAGGGTGCAGGCGCTGCCTGAGCACCGCATGCCCGCAAGTGGCGGCAACCCCCCGGCAGCTCGGGAGGAATGGTGTTGCTGGAGAGGTACCGCACCGCCGTGTGCTTTTCTTGCACTCGGTGACCTCGGTGAGCCTCTCAGTCCTCTGTCCCCATTTCTTGCCCCCAACCCCTCTCGCCCGCCCCTCCGCCGGCCCCCCCGACCTGCCCAGGGCCAGGACCCCGCCACCGACCTCCGCGGCAGTGGGATGCTGGGGCTGCTGCAGCTGCACTTCCTGGCGCACTGGGACAGCGGCGCTGCCCAGAAGGTGAGGGGAAGGAGCGGGCGGTGCGGGAGGGAGAGGCGAGGAGAGAGCTGGAGTGATGGGGGGCATACACTTGCAGCCCAGCTTGTTCGTTCGTCGTCTTCACTAACAAAGAGTCTTAGTCGCGTGATGTTGGCTTTCGCTTAAGGCTCTCGTCTTGAATGCGCTCTTTACCCGGCCTGATACCTACCCCGTGACATGTCTCCGCCGAAGAGCCTACCCGCCTTACCACCCCGGAAGCCTCTTCCCCCTACCTTGCCTTGCCCTATATCCCTTGCGATTGGTTTCCCTCTTGACTTCCTTCCCACCCCACATGCACACAGATGTACGCCCTCTCTCGCCACCCGGTTCACGAGTTCCCGCTGGCCATTGTGTCCATCAACGTCACCCGCTGGACGCTGACGGTGGGGACCGGGGGGGGGGGTTCGAGCAGTAGAGGTTGGTGCAGTGGAGGGGGTACTGCAGTGGGTGTTGACTGTTGAGGTGCGGCCTTTGTCTGCGGGTGTCTTACGCAGTGAGCAAAGACTACGAAGATTACGCCGCCTTGCCCCCGCTTTCATACCCGCCCCGCCTTCCTGCCCTGCCCCCACCTTCCCGCCCTGCCCTGCCCGACAGGCTCTTCGCTCCGGCTCGCTGCACCGCGCCGCCAACAGCCGCGGCTCTAGCGTGGAGGCGGCGCAGCAGTTCTACGCGGGCGCCATGGTCACCTTTTACGAAACCTGGCAGGCGGGTGGGAAGACCATGGCGGACAGCGGGCATGTGCTGAAGGAGGTGGAGGTGGGGCGGCGGGGCTGGGGCTGCGTGGATGGGCGGTGGGGCAGCGTGCTTGGATGGGCAGGACACAGGCGGGAGAGGGAGAGCGCGGTTGGGCATTGTTTGGGGTTGCGGGGAGGGAAGGTATATGTACGGAACGCGTGTACCTGTCTTAATCTCTTTCTCTTTCAGCCCCGTTTCTATGACCGCATCCAACGGCCCTCGCTGCTCCCTCCCTACCATGTCCCACCCTTCCCCTCCGCCGCCCCCGCATGTTGCTGCCCCCCGGCCCCCTCAGGCCCTGGCGCTGAAGAGGCCGGGAGCAATGCTGGCGGCAGCGGAGCGGACTGACCTGCCCGACCCGCCGGTCGTTGCTTGAGCCGCCACCATCTGCCTCAAGGGAGGTGGAGGGGTGGCTCTTGGATACCGTACACAGCATCGACAGGGCACGGCAACAAGGGACGTGGCGATAAGGCCAATATGATGGTCGTTATGTAGAGGGGATGGCAACGTTTGGGGCGTCACGTTTGTTCGGTTCCCTTTATTGTTGGGTAAGGTACCGGTGCCCTCATCTTGGCGTTATACCACTCTCTTTTCAGGCCTCTTGCATCTTGTAGCGCGTTGGATATCCTATATGCTATGCTATCAAGTGGTTTCTTAAGTCCGTGTCATGTGGAGAGCCGGTGGGTTTAAACCGTTAACCGCTGTTGCACTCGAGTGGGAGAACAGTGTTGCAATGGGCAATGGACTGAATGCGACCAAACGAGTGAGTGGAGGCTGTGTTGGTGACGGCGTATGGTGCTCCAGCTGGATGATTGGAGACGGTGAGAGGGACGCCCATGCAATGGCCTTATGAGCGTTTTACATGTCCTTGTGGGGGGTGGCGACTTTGGCCGTTGACCGGGGCCAGAGGTCTGTGCTTGACTGTTGGTGAACTAACCTATCCAACTGATGTTTGCGGTAGCAGAAAAAGAGCCTTGCTGCCGAGCTCATGTCATGCCTCTTCACTCCCTCCATTGAGTGTGGGTTTGTTGTTAAGTTTTAGGTCAGTGACGACCGGGAATGCAGTTGTGCGCATGCACTTTGGACTTAAATTGACCGCATGTTGAGTGTTTTAGAAGCGTTGTGTACCGGTATCCCACCTTGCTCCTTGCGTGTGGTTGTGTAAGCGTGCCTACCGATTTCACAGTCGCTACATGCGCTTTTTACAGCGTGGTGAGGGCATGGGGTAGGGTAGTCTGCTGATAATCAGTGCCTTTGGGCAGTATGCGCGTGTTCTTGGTCGGAAATGTGACGCAAGAAGTTATGGCACCCTGCACCAGAGCTGGATGGCGGACGAAGCCGGGCCCATCCTTTAATACCGCTACCCTCGTCATACGTAAGCACACTAAGGACCGAAGGACGCGTGCGACGGTTTAGCTCCTGTTGGCGAAGTTGCAGAATGGCAGGTAATTGCAGGGTAGTTGACCCAAAAATATTGATCCCTTGTGGCAAGCCCGCATGACAGCAAAGACAACGTGTTGCCGTACACTTGCTATCGGGACTCGCTGGTTCCCTGGCAGCTCCATGGTCACGTCGTGCTAAGAATATTACGCAAACAACCACTGTGACTATAGTTGAATATGGCCTTGTAATTTTAGTGGCTATACTGCGAAAATGGTTACACTTCGAGAGTGGGCATCGAAATTGGTAAGCTTAAATGTACCAGCGCCTTGAAGTGCCAGTGTATCGTGCTTCCGGGAGGTGCGCATTCCGGCCGATGATGTGCAGGTGTCAAATGTCGCTATCCTTGCCGTCCTGGTGTACTAGGCCTGTGGATGCTTTTCGAAAGAAGGGACTTCTGGCCAGGACAACTTCGCTCAGCAACAACCAGCGGGTGTGCGCCAAGGATGGACTCAGGGTGCACCTCCCGTTACCGGCACAGGAAGACCCTCCACAAATGCGTCGCAGCCAGCTGCAACGCCACAGGCACCTGGCGTCGCTCTTGCCCCGTTAAACACGCGGGATCCAGAAACAATCACGTTAGGGCCATCCATGTCCTCAGCCCCTCCACCGGCAGCCCCCTTGACGTCCAGCTGGCCCAACCATCCTAATTATATTGCACCTGACTCTCGCGAGTCGCCGTCGGCCACCAGAGCAGATGGTAACACTTCTGATCCTGCTGCTCGAAGTCGTCCTGTCAGCGCATCCGGTGGCCGTTCCCCTGGCATTGAGTCATACAACTCATCACCCCGTGACGGGCCGGCTCCTCCTGCTGACAAGCCGGCGCCCTCTGGAGGCTCAAGCACATCACCAGCATCACCAGCATCCCCAGCTGCTCCGCCACCATTGGCTCCATCGCCAAGTGCCCGCAGGGCATGGCCGATCGGGAAGCTTCCGCCCCTACAACATTCGGACACGCCGCAGCAGGAGCAGCCCTCTCTTTCCAGAAATGAGACCCGGCCCACTGCCGAACTCACAGAGACGGCAGAGAGTGCTTCGACTCCCACACCTGCCGGTAGTGTGGTGAAGGTGAGCTTTTCAGGGTGGCTAAGGTCCTCCTCTATGTAATCACGGGTATCTTCTCATTGTTATATTTGGGTGAAATACCACTCTGTCTTGCCCTGAAACTGCAACAATATTTCTAGTCACGTATGCCTTTGACTTGCTCTGTGCTTCTTACCGGCTCTCCCCTTTGCCCCAAAAGTCGTTGGCCTACCTGGAGGCCCTTCTTCCCTCACTCCAAGCCTCTGACACCGCCGAGAGTGTACTGGAGCGCGTACGACAGGACCCAAGTCAGGTACTGGCTGGAGGCACGCGTGCCGCCGCGCCTGCTGGAAGCGCTGACGGCCCAGCGAGCAACCGCCAGTACTATTATGTCATCCATGGGAGCTCAAGACCGCTGAAGGAAACGGTGACAATGCTGCTCCAGCACTTCAGCCCTGCTGTGGCCCAGGGCGCCAGCACCAGTAAGCAAGCAGCGGCGACAGCGGCGGAGGATGTGTTTTTCTGGTTGGACGTCCTTTCTCTTGACCACACAGGGGAGCTGCAGGGCGAGGAGGACACGATAACTGATGCGCTCAAGGGTGCCAAGGCCGTGCTTCTGGTGCTAGATAAGTACTGCACCGTGCTGTCGGACATGCGGTACCTGTTCCAGATATGGCTGGCGATCAGGCTGGATTGTGTACAGCGCCTGCGGGTGATTTCGCGTGGCAGCGACTTTGTAGACCTGTGCAAGGTAAGTAAGCTGCTGTGCCACTGTCGGAACTGTAGACTCCTGTAGGCGGGGCTGTTTAATGAACACTCCAAGCGTGTTTGAGATGGAGGGTGTTAGCCTGGGCCCTAACGGGTTGCAGTGAGGGAGTGGGTTCGCCTCCTAGGGGTAGCAGTTGTGTCCATGGCTTGCCGCGCCAGCCGGCAACCCAAGGTCACGCTACTTACACATCCCCGTCCTGTACCCTCCATGTCCTAACATAGCACATCGTTGCGGAACTCAAGCCGGATTCCCCCAGCTGGATTGCCCTTGGACGCATCATCAGCAGCTACGATGCAGTCACTGGCGGACGTCCGGCTGCGGTGAAGAAAGCCTCAAGCGACCTACGTCACGCCCTAATCACAGGCGTCATGAATAGTGCGATCTTGGAGTTCCAGAGGGACGCAGGGCGGACGCAGTTCTACAGGTTCTACATTGACTGCGCTGCATGGCTGCTCACGAACGAGGGTTTTGGAAGGTGAAGGGAAATCTAGCCGGAAGGAAACTCTTTATAACGAATCTGATGCATGACTCTGCTGCCGTCGACGACCTCGTGAAGGACTCATTGGCACCCAGATGATTCTATTTGTAGCGGTCCCCAAACGGCCGTAGACCTGAACCAGGGTGGCTACGGATTGCCATGCGTGGCAGTGGGCTGTCCTTATCCTGCCTTGACTTGCACCCCCAAACTGCGGTTTGGAAAATCGATACGACGCGAAATGGAAATCTGCTGTCATCATTGCTGTTTGTGTTAAAAGCGCATCTCTTTCGCACTGTGCAGGTTGCCACCGAAGGGTGAAGCGGAGGAGGTCACGACGCCCTCTCTTGTGGTGAGTTCCAGCCGCTGCGTGGAAGGTGTTTTAGTATGTATTCAACTATCATCAGAGTATTAAGTGTAGTTGTGCATGTCCCCGCGCTTCTCCTTGACTGGGCAAGGTGTTCTACCCCGTGCGTGGCTGCCTTGTCCCAATGCCCGAAACACACCTGTCTGGCACGTGCCGGGCAAACTAGACTTGCCAATTGTTTCCCTCATTGGCGGAGAGGCACTGCTTCGTTCCTGTAACCCGCAAGGCGTTGGGGTCGTAATAAAAACTTCACATTTTGCTTCACGGCAAGCCTTAGTAAGATAGGAGGGGCCTTACAAGCAAATCGTGCATGCCCCCCCATGTGCGGTGTAGCGTTGAGGGGCTGCTGCCGTTGCATGCGGCGATCACCCTAACAATGTACCCTTCGTACCCTACTTATGCCACAGGAACGTGACCACCTAGGGGCCGCGGCACAGCGCTGCGTCAATGATGATGCGACACAACTGAAACTCATGCAGCGTATCTATAGGGGCGTCACCGAAGAAGGGCTGGAAGAAACGTCGAATAGCTTTGACAAGGGCTGGGTATACATGTACAAGTAAGTAGGTGTATTGGGAGCCTGGGGTGCTTGGAAGCGACCAAGCTGTCGACCCTTGGTACTCTCCTTGCAAACACAAGGAGAGTACTTGTCTTAAGCTCATGACCCACAGTCAAGCTGCGCGCTAGCAGCCATGACCTCACTCCGTCTGGTTTCCCCGTCATCTTACCGCAGGCACAAGGATTCGAATGAAGGTTTGTACAAAATTGGCAGGCACACGGGGACTTGTTCTGAGGAGCGCCTAAAGCAGTGGTGGAAGGACTGTGGTATTCCAATAGAGAAGGTTTACGATAGGGTGGTCAAGTTTCCAATAGCAGCTGAGGGGTTGATCCATGAGGAGCTGAAGGGTAGAGGAAAACACGCAAACAAATTGCCCAAGTGTAGAGGGTGCGGCAAGGTACACACTGAGTGGTTCTCTGGAACAAAGGAGGAGTTGATTGCTGTGATCGACCACTGGGCCGACTACGTCAACAAGAATGAGTGGCTGCTGATAGATGGCAGCATAAAGAACTACGGCCGCCGTCAGTAGTAGTCAGTAGTACTCGCCGTACTAGCACTTCGATTTTCCGAGCTTGGGCCGCTTGGTGCATGCGGATGCGTTACCTTCCACGGTTACCGTACATGTGCTTAGGAAAACTGGCCGCGAGTCGGAACGTATGTGTGCGAACGGTAGTGACCGCTCCTGTCAGGAATGCTGGTAATGGCCGTGCTTCCTTGCTTAGTGTGCGCAGGTTGGCGCGCATGTCCGCAAGCGCGCTTGTCCTATGTGGACCGCTTCAACCTAGTTGCCTCGTGTTTCCGCTGACTATCAGATGCGGTAGTTGAGCCTTATCCGAAGAGGTGAAGCACGATTCATGTCGGGGCGCGAGCGTGCTGGGATCTTTTGTTTCCGTGTTGTGCTGTTGCGTGCACCAGGTCCCAATGCGTGTGATGCTTGGGTAGTCTGTTAGGGCTGAACAAGCCAGGCGTGCTGCAGCAAAGCAACCGTAGGCAGGTTGCTTACACATACACAGGTGATTCATGTTGAAGTTTAAGTGAAAGTTGCATGGGTTGCTCAGTTGGAGGTGTGACCGACCTCAAGGTTATTGTTATCGCATCCTGTATGTCCCATGGGTCACTCTCGAGGGTGGTTGTGTCATCCGGGTCTGGAGTGCATGAACTGTTGTACGCACACAAGCTAGTAGCTTCTCTCGCGCCAATTGCGACTTTGACTCATGCACGGGGTGAACTTTACGTATTCAATCGCATATGCGTTCCATTGTAGCGTCATTATCGTACCAACCGTTTGCAATGTACACTCGTGACCACCTGAGTCGCTATGAGGGTGTGATTGGTCCGCCCATTGTTTAATTTCCTGAACGGGCTTACGTTGTTGTTTGCGATAGGCCCGTGGCGGCGGCCGTGATATGTCGTGAGCTCCATACTACACTAGGTGAAGTGTACCGGTAAAAACTAATTAGCTGTCGGAGTCCTCCGTCGACCTGCTTGAACGGACAAGGGATTCATCCCAACCTCTTTGGCCCGCGTGTTCTACTTGCAATGTCTGTTATGCGTGATGCTGGTGTCTGGGTTGGCTCGCCCCGATAAGGGGCGTAGTCTTAGCGTTCACTCAAAAACGTCCGGGCCGGGGCGTTATGTCCTTTTTATACCGTGTGCATGTCCTATGTTTTGTCCTTGTACATTCTACATGTACCTGCACCGAGGTCGCAGATTCGGTCGGACTCCAAAGCAGCCTGCACCGCCACATACTCGGCCAGCACTGTCTGCGTCTTTGTTTTCATAGGGGGCGAGCCTCGGTGTCTGCGAAGCTGACGGGTTTCTTACATGCCTTGTACGTTGCTTTTAAGGCTTCCAATAGGAGTGAATGCCCCATTGCAAAGGGCTACCAATTGTCCTTTCCGGAGGTAGTCTACTCTCAAGGGGCAGCCAGAAGATGGTTTCCGGGGTATGTTTTAGACAAAGCATTTTGCAAATAGGGCGTCAGTGGGCCCCCACAAAGCCTGGTGCCGTGTACGGCAGGCGGGTTCCAGACATATGTGCATGCGGCTGGTAGGCGGGCCCTCGTGCTCGGCATGCGCAGGATCAGGTGCATGTAATTTACCTTGGTCAACGGTGGAGTATTAACATGTAAAAATTATGCACGGTTGTTGATTAATGCGTACGGGGCAATGCATGGGGCCCACCACCCCACCAGTACGTCACATGGTAGGCATGGCTGGTCGGCATGGCTGCATGCCGTACATGCGGCAAAGCACAGCACGACAACAACCGCCACCCCCGAGATAGAGGCCCTCGGGCGACACGGATCCGGATAAGCTTGGCCTCATGTAAAGTTCTCAGCCCCCTAGACCGTACAGACATAGTACATATACCCTGCATATACGTACAAATTGTAACTGTAGCCCCCGCCCACGCGGTTAGGCAAGCTGAGCAGTAAGTCTATTACCACAGGGACAGCCATGTCTTCCCTGCCAGATAACAACGAAGCCCATGTCTCACGTTACAGCCTCACCGACCGTTGGTCCAGCTGGAAAAGATGCAACTAAACGACTTTCCAAACTGTATGCCGTCCATGTCTGCCCACGCACTTGCCAGTTACTTCATTATGTGATTACCGGCATGCACGCCAATCCACTTTGCAGTAGTTGTACAGTCTGTTCACGTACGGTAATATACACATGCTCCCAATGCACCCCGCCCACCTTCCTTTGTCGTCGCCCTTGCCCCCACAGCTTCACCCCCTTGTTGCCCTTCATTGCCAAACAAACACAACTCATACCCGCGCCCATCCCACTCGCGGGGTAACGAACTGGTCCAGCGTGCGTTTCAGGTCCCGCAGCCAGCCAGCCTCAGCCTCGCGCTCGCCAGTTACAAACCCAGAGCCGGCAGGCCTGGCTTTGACGGCCGTGTAAGCCCTGCGGTTGTTGCTGAAACCGTGGCGGTTGGTGTGCAACCCACTGAAAAGGTTGTCCGGGCTGTCTTGACTGTGCTGCTCCTCCTCCTCCTGCTGCTGTTGCCGCTGAGGACTGTGGATGTCCTCTTCTCCTTTCACGCAGCGCAGGTCGCAGCTTGCAGCAACCTTGCGGCCGCCCCGCGCACTTGCAACGTTGTCAGGCGCCGCCACATCGTCCGCAGCTGCCTCAATGCTGCCGCTTCGGGCCTGCTCGATCGCCTTACGGTGCCGCATGCTCAGGCGGCTCGGCTCCTGCCGCCGCTGCCGTACCTGTGGCTGCGGCTGCTGCTCCTCAGGCTGCTGGTCCTGTTGCTCCTGCGGTTGCAGGGATCTCCGCAGTGCCGCAGGCCACATGGGCCGCCTGCTCATAGGGCACTCGTCATCGAGGGCTTCCCCGTCGCCTCCATCGCGGCACCCTCCGCGGTCCTCTGCATGGGCGTGGGTGTTGTTGCCGTTCCTCACATCGCAGCTGGAGCTCGAGCAGTCCAGAATCCCACTGGCACTCAACCAGCCCGAAGACGTACTGCCGCGCATGCCTCGGAACCCGGCACCTTCGTCTTCTCCTCCTCTTCGCCGCCGCCCTGCTGCCTCCGCCTGCGCCAATGCAGCAGCAGCGGCGGCGGCTACCGCCGCCTCAAGTGCCAGGAACTCAGCATTCCCCTCCTCGTCCTCAAAGTCGTCTCCCTCGCCGCAGGCATCCATTGACTCCTCCTCCACCACACTCCAGGAGTAGCCCCCAGACGTCTCCCGGCGGCACACGCCTCCGCCTCTTCCTTGCTCAGAACCTGCCCCCAGTTCGTTGCTGCTACCGCCAGCGCTGCTGTTCCTGCTGCTGCCGCCTTCACGGCAATCGTAGTCCTGATTGCCGTACAAGTTGCATGCTGCTGGATCCTGCCGTACAAGTCCTACGTCATAGGCGTCCAAGCTCTGCATGTGGTTTATGCCGCTGACGCTGGGCTCCATCAGTTCGCAACACTGATGCGGCGGTGAAGCATGCATGACGACGCTGTTGTCGTATCCGTCAGGAGGCAGCTCCTGACTCGTGTCCGACACCTCCATCTCAACTGCGTCCCAGCTGTCGCCGCCGCTGAAGCTACCGAGTTCGTTGACGGCACCGGCAGCAGCAGCAGCAGCACCAGCCCCAAGAGCCACGTAAGCATCCGAGCATTCCCGTCGCACCTCATCCGCTTCCTGCTCACGCTCCCTGACACAATCACCACCGCTAGCTGCACCATCCTGCGCAGCACGTCTTTCCGCCAGAGCAGCCGGATCGGCAGCAGCAGGTGGTGCTGTAGCGGCTGGCGCAACCGGAGCGCATGTATCGCCGCCGCCGTCACAGCTGAGGGTTGCCGCCGCAGCATGCGACGCCTCCCCTACGTCATCAGGATGCCCTCCATAGCGCAGGTTGTGGTGCTGCGCAGATGCCGCCTGGCAGAACGAAGCACCGACAGAACGAAGCACCACTGAGGCAGCGACCCTCTCCCGGCCCGCTGCCGAGAAGGGCCGTGAGCCTGGCCCCACAGTCTCGCATGCATCCGCGGCCGCCGCTTGCATGGTTTCGAGGTGCATCAGACCGCTAGCAGGCCGCCCGCTGGCACGCATGCAGTGGGACCGCAACACGATTACGCGGCTTTCACGGCCGCTGCCGTCACCGTGACCTGCTGGTGGTGCAGGTGCCCCTGTAGCTTCGGCTGTTGCGGTTGCTGTTGCTGGGACTGCTACTGCCATTGTCGACGCCGACACAGCCGCAGCGTGCCCTTCGCCTTCTGCCGGCCCCTCACCAGCCCCCACTCCGCGCCGCCGTATCCCACGGAAGCATGCGCCGGCTCGGGCGGAAAGCGCCGCCGACTCAAACAGGGACCTATCCGGGCTCCAGAGCTCCTTGGACACGCAGCCCAGCCCAACTATTGGCGGCACCACTGCTGCTGCTGCTGTTGTTGCTGACGCCGCTGCTGCAAACGACGTCTTCCCGATCCTGTCAGCGCTCTCTGCCAGCTGGGGCCCAGCCGACGAACGTCGTTCAGCCGCATCCGCAGCCCTCGCCGTCTGCCTGTCTTCCGGTGCAGTCGCTGCCATGCAGATTCTGGGCTGGGCACTCTGCGCTCTAGGCCTCGTGAGGCTTGTTGGCCGGGCGCCGCCGCCGCCGCTGCTGATGCCTCCGGGCGCCCTGCTGACGTCACCGGCCACACCGCGATCAGCGGGGCTCAAGGAGCGCTGTGGCCTGGCACGGTACACGGCACCCGCGCTGCCATTGCCGCTGTTGTTGTTAATGGCGGGTAGCAGCCTCCGGGCACCCTGTCCCGCGCCCCATGCCGGTCTTGGTCGTTGGGGAGCCGCTGCACGCGAGGGGCTGCGAGTCGGACTCACGGACAGCCGCCGCGGCGCTGCTGCTGCTGCTGCTGCGCTAGCCGTCCGGGGCTCCCCCGCATCGACAGCAGCAGCATCAGCCGCAGCAGTGTTGGACTCCATGGCAGCAAACACAGCGGTAGCAGCCGCTGCGCTGGCAGGCCGGTAGCAGCGCCTGAAGGGCGCTTTCGTAGTTGCACAGGCGGGTACTGCCGGTGGCGCCGGGGCCCTCGCTGCCGGTCCTGCAGGTGCTGCGGCTGCTGCTGGTAAGGTTCCCGAAGCGGTCGTACCGGTAGTGTTCCGGCTGGGAGAAACCGCCGCACCGCAGGACCAAGGGCGCGAACGAGGCGCCCTGCTGCTGCGTCCGCCCCTCTCATTCCTCGCCACCGTTGCCGCCGCCACTGCTGCTGCTGCTGCTGGTGCCACACATGTCACCTTCGCCGGCGCGGTTTCCGATATGGGTGCTGCTGCGGACTTTGCGACACGCGGTGGCGGTGCTGCCTTCTGGCTGACACCGCTGTCTGCTGGCCGACGGGAAGGAGGACTGCAGGAGGCAGCTGCCCGCGTCCTGGGAGCACTGGCCGCACGAGGCCGCAGCGTGCTGCTGCCTCCGGAACCTCCAAAGGAACCAGCCTTAGCGCTGCTGCCGCGGCCGCGACTAATGCCGGGGCCGCCGGCGGCGCTAGCAGTAGCTGCTGGTGTTGAGTCAACCGCATGCCGCCGCCCTTCCCGACGGTGAGGCGATGTGGGTGAAGGCGAGCTGGGGCGTGACCGCGGCCGCGGCGCCCTTACATTCAGCTGTATCGACCGGGCCTGCGGCAGCAGCTCCTCACCTTCACCCTCACTGCTGCCACCATCACCACCACCGCCCCAGTAGAAGGAGCCGCTGCTTCCAATGCCGTACCATGCACCTAGACTGCTACACCCAGAGCCCCGGTACATGGCCCCAACGGATGCTTGCCACGGCAGGAGGGCACCGCGGCCGGGTGCAAACGCAGCAGTGCGACCGTTGCCAGCGCCGATGCTACTGCTGCTGCATGAGGCGACGCCCTTAGTGTTGGCATCGTACGACAGGCCCTGGCAGCTCCAAGGCCGCTGTCGTACAGCGGGATCCGGGCGAGGCTGCTGCCGGCGGCAGTTTGCTGCTGCTGGGGATGCAGGGGTGTCATCGCGAGCGCTGGTTGTTGCCGTTGTGGTTGTTACGACAGCCGTTTGCTGAAGCTGTTGTGCATGCTGCTGCTGCAGTGTACGGCTGCGGGCAGGGGAAGGCGGCGGCACCCGGCGGCCCCAGGCGGGCCTTGCATCGCCAGTAGCGGCTCCAGCTGTGACCCCGTTATCATCGGGCTTGGCAGTGGCTCCTGGACTGAGCGGCTGCTGCTGTTGATGCTGCTGGCCGCCTTGTCGGGGTGCGCCCCAGCGACCTGGTGACGAAGTTCTCTGCTGCTGCTCGTGGTGGTGGTGCTGCTGCTGCATGTGTTCTGTGCGACCGGGGCTCGATGCCCTGGGAAGGCAGCCGCCCAGCCGCCGCTGCGGCTGCCCCTGTCCCTGTCCCCGGCACCCTCCCTGCATGCATGTCGTCCCTCCAAAACTGCCCTCCCGTGCTACGTCCTCGTTGCCAGCACCAGCCCCCACATGCGCAGAAGCAGCATGGCTTGGCAGCTGCTGGGGTCTGCTGGACCGCTCCTGAGCAAGGGCGCCGCTTTGGGCTGTTGCGGCTGACGAGTGAGGTGTCGGCCCGTGTGCGGGCGCGTGCACCAGGTAAGTTGGCTTGAAGGCGAAGCTGACGGTGCGGTTGTGGCCGCTAAGCACACCCACACCCATGTTGACTGAGACCGGTTGCCCGGAACGAAGCGCCTGACCCAGCTGTTGGAGCAGCTGCCGAGAGCAGCTGTAGACAATGTCCTTGGTGAGGGACTGAGAGTGCCTGCAAGGCGTAAGGAACATCAGTTTACCGGTGTGGGATTGACGGATTGCGCGCGAATGGTTACAGGAAGTGTCGCAGCTTCTAGTTCGGCACAATGGACGCAATGCAATGAAGTTTACCCTGACATTGTCTCCTTACTTGAGAGCAACCCTTAGGGCATTGAAGTCTTCGCATGGTTCCAGCTCCAACTCCGCAACGTGCGACATGCGCAACACTCCCGACCCGGAGTTAAGTTGGTGCGAACGCACGTAAGCATCGCTTAGCACAAAAGAGGGACGTAAAGTAAACGAGCCGTCAGCGGCAACTCCAGCATGATGCCACGCGAAGCGCGCAAAGTTGGGGATGCTTCCGCCCCGGCATTTCGCGAACAGCGCCACCAGCCAGGCTCGCAGTGCCGACCATACAGCTGTAAATGTCTGCTCACTTCGTGCCTGCAGTGCATACGTTTTTGCTATTAGGCCCTCGAGCGAGGCTAGGATGGTACGTAACATGTCGGGCTACTGGCAGTAGTCGCTACCAACCTGCAACGGCACGACTTCGCTAGCGTTTTTGGCACATTGTCGGCATAAGTCAGTTTCAGTCCACATGCTGGATGGCCAGAGCAAAAGGGTTGTCTTCCAGCTTGGAGCGCTCGTTAGGATGGATTGGTTCACGCCAAAATTATCAAAATATTTTGCTATCTATCATGCTATTCAACATAACAAGGCAATCGTATGTGTCCCAAACAGCAGAATGTTTGTGGGTTGTAGTGGGCGACGTGCCGTACGACTATTGGGTTGCCGAAAAACATACTTCCCTGTTTGTGTACAGTACTCATGAGTACAATTCAGTCCCTTGCTAGCCAAAGTTGTGAACATTTGATGTGTGCGCAGGCTTCGGATGTGTAAGAAGCTGTAGTCGACTTTTGTTCGGCGTGTGCAGCACGGCACAATAACACGCTTTCAACAGTTAACGTTACATCTTCCGAACGAAACTGGCCTTGTCCCCTACTGAAGGGCCATGTGCTCTGGCTGCCCTTAAAACCTAACTAGCAATGTAGTACGGTACAAGCCCACTACGCGGCATAGTCTACGCCGTGCCCTGCAGTTGGGATAAGCAGCTTGATATCTCCGTCCATGTGACCCTCAACACACCACAACTCGAAGTCTGACGTCAGTCCGCTCCATGCTGTCAAACCATCCATGGCTCAACGTTTTTCGTACATGCCCTTAAACGCTTGGCAAGTGCTTTGCATCGACCTTCCTTGACCGCATATCCTGCACGTAACAGCAGACCACTTGTATTTCACACCAAAATCCGACAGGTGTCCGACATTCAGACTGGAACTTAACACGCATCAATGTCCCAACTTAGCCCTTGGCCCGTTATCCTTTTGTTAGGCAAGTTATGGTGTGTTGTTCAGCTGTATTGTACAGCAACGACACGGGCTCTTGCAGCAAATCGTGGTTTGGTGGCACCTAGTATATGGCAGTCGATGGTGACGATAGCTGTATGAGGGGGCTTCACCATTGGGTTCGTCATGATGGCTGTGGTTAGGGAAGGGGCCTTATTTTTCACCCTCCCCGTGCTTCTAGTACACCCGACAACGCGTCACGTAATTGTGCTGCCACTTACGGTTAGGGGAGGGGCTGGCCTGCACGGCCTCTCACGCACAGCGCGGATTGGGCGGGGGGGAGGGAGGTGGATGACTAAAGATGATGAGGCGCCTCCTGGTCTGGTCACATGATCGCCATTCATCATACTTCTAGCTCAATATTCGTTGGTGGGCTATGTTTTTCCGCATTGCATTCATTCCAGTGGTAACAATACGTTCCTGTACTGATGAGGAGGGGCTCCGCCCTTTTCCAGCGTTGAGGAAGCTGAACCCCCTTGTTAGTTTGCGAGAGGGCAGGTGGGTAGCGGATGGGGAATAAACAACATACCAACCCATAGGAAATTTCAGTAAGGGCAAAGCAAAGGGAATGGGAGGCGGTAGAGTGTCACAAACACAAAACGTTAAAAAAAGGACATCCGCAGCAGGCTACAGTTCATCGACCGTTACTATGTGCCGCACACCTAGCACTGCCTTCTCTTGCTTTAGCCCAGTATGGATTGCTAAGAAATGAACAGGCACCGTTTAGGGATCTGGTAAGCAGATGTTGGGAAAGAGGTCAGGGGCCTGAGGCTACAGTTGGTTGTATAACCGCTTTGCACTTGTGGCATCGCCTATTTTCCTACGCACAATTAGATTATGTTCTTCACCGCCGTTTTCTTCATGTGTTATTTGCCGCTGCGGCCCGTTCACAACACAGCGGCGTCTCCCACAATTGCGGTCCCTCCGTATTCCTCCGTCCAATCTGCAGTTAGTACGGTCTCTCCGTCTTCCTGCATCCTTCCGCGCTGCGGTTTCGCCCTGAACATCGATGATCAGCTTCCGTGCCTATTGCACCCGCACATTCCATGTCAGGCGCCTTGGCCGTGTTAAAAGTTTACGAGCTCTGACGTACACTAACGCGAGCTAGCGTGGTCCCTCCGTCTTCCAGCGTCCTTCGGCGCAGCGATTTTGTGCTTACCACAGGTGATCACGTTCCGTACCTAATGCACCCGCATTTTCATTGCCAGGCGCTCGGGCTGCGTCAAATGCTTATGAGCGACGCCCTGTTAGAATGTACGTCTGACGATGGTCTCAGCTACTGTCCTCCCGTGTAACTTCCGCTTCCTAACCGCTTCCTAACCACCTCAGCTACTGGTCTCAGCTACTGTCCTCCAGTGTAACTTCCGCTTCCTAACCACCTCACGTCCCTGAAATCAATCGACCATTGCCTCAACAAGCTAATTCAACCTGTAACCCTAACTTCCACGCTTACCTCACGCTCTCCCACCCTCCTATGTACACCAATCACCCCGATTGCCGGTTTCCCTCACCTCTCCAAGCTCACTCCCCCTGCCGTCCCGCCCGCTCCTTGCACACGTCCTTATGCCCCGCCCGCCAGTGCGCTCGCTGACACTCCGGCCCACAGTAGCTCACCGCCCCGCACCGCCCACACGCCCGCCGCGGCAGCTCCCCCTCACTCCCTCCCGACACGTTCACACACGCCGGGTTGCCGCAGCCGCTGTACGACAGCGGTCCCAGCAGCCGCCTGAACCCCTCCCTGGACTCCACCTCCGCCAGCAGCGCCCCCATGCTGCTGCTGGGCAAGCCGTTGGGGTAGATGACGTCGGAAACCCCGTCAGTGCAGCGGCCCTTCAAAGGCCCCGACACCGCCAAAACCATGTGCAGCCGCTGGGTCAATCTAAGTCGCAGGCCGAGGTCTAGCGGCACGCCTGCCACGCCGCGTGTACGGCAGGACATGAGCTTCTGCCCGTCTATGAGCTCGGACGGCAACGTCTCGTCTCGAAGCGCCGCCGCCACCTCATTGGGGAATGCCAGCACCAGGCACTCTAGAGCCTCGCAGGCGTCCTGCAGTAACCGAGCTTGCACGGTCTTGTACACATCGTCAGTTGCGGCATCTTCCGGCGTCGTCAGCAGCTGCCGTACCGTCACCCCCAGCAGCCGCATCACCTGCATGTCTTGCAGCAGCAGCTGCCGCCACCTGGCAGCCATACTCGCCACCTCTACCGTCGTCCCCTCCGGAACGGCCGCATGCACCAGCGCCGGCAGCATGACCACCACGCCGCATCGGAGCCACGTCAGCTGCTCCCGCGCAGCAGCCTCCGTCGCCGCATCCCAGCTGCGGCTGCTGCTGCTCCTGAAGGGCTCCTTGCACACCGCCACTCGCGCCGCGGCCGGCAGCCACTCCCGCAACGCCCGGGACAGCAACCCGACAACCTGCAGCGCCGGCGTGAGCGCACTGTCCTCACCCTCGCCGCCGCCGTTGCTGCCATCCCTGCCGCCTCGTTCAAGCAGCACCTCCTCACCCAAGCTGTCCACCAGTCGGCGAAGTGTGGGACACGTGCACAGCCACTCGCTCGCATCGTACAGCATCCGCCCAAGGTTGCCCCAGAACGCGCCGTCCCTAGGCGGCGCCTGGGCAGTGTCCGACGGACCCACGCCGCCGGATAGCACCCTGAGCATCTTGGAGATCGTGGTGATGAGCGCCGTCGCCTCATGCGGCTTGCCGTACGAGAGCAGCCGACCCGTCAGGCGCCAGATCAGCAGGCTTGTGGTGGACTTGCATACCGCTGCGGCCCGCACGTGGACCCGGTAGAAGCGCTCCAACATGGGGATGAGGCCGGCGGCAATTGCGGCAGCAAGGTCGGGCGGCGGCGTTGGGGGCAGCTCGACGCCTGTAGGGGTCAGCGCGATATGGGGAAAGGGACAGAGAAGGACATGTTGAGAGGCGCGCTTGGGGAGGCAGGGTGTTACGACATAGCGTGTTGCAAACAGTAAGCCTCTATTCACCCACGCATGGTAGCTGCTAGATCATGCATAACTTACAGCACGGCCCATGCCCTCATGCACTGCGGCAAGCGCATCCCAGTCTTCCGATCCTCGCACATGGTCCCTCACGCCTTCACATGCACGCATACGCAGTACTGCGACGTACCTTGCGTGTTTCCCAGGTCCAAGCTCAGAAGCAGGCCCGCATCCTCAGATACCGGAAGGCGGATGGCACCGATTCCCTCCTCCGCCTGCTTCAGCAGCATGTTGAACGCCGGCACCACCGCGCCCCACCATTCGGACATGGCAGCAGAGGCGGCGGCGTCGGAACCCCTCCCCTCGTCGCTTGGGAACCTCTTTGGCCGCATAATCAGGTTCGCACATCGCAGTGCATGCAGTGACACCGCTGAACACATGTCCTCCTGCAACAACAACGACAACGACTGGTGCTGCTGCTGCTCCTGCTGCTGTGCTGCATCCCGACCGCCGCCGCCACCTCCGCCAGCATTGCTGCCGGCGCAGCATCCACCTCCTCCTTGACGACTGGCAGCAGCAGCAGCCCCTCGCCCATGCCGGCGCCTCAGCGCCGCATGCTCCGCCGCCGACCGCGTCGCCAGTCGTACCATCCGCAAGCACAGCTCTTGTACGGCAGCCCGGCCGTACAACACCAGCGGCACTGGCGGCGACTGCAGCAGGCACCAGCCCCAAAAGTGCGCCACGGACATGAGCCCCATCGCGCTCAAGATCCGTCCGCCGTCGCTGCGTGTTCGCGACTGCACCTGCAGCTGCACTGCATGCGTCCTCAGGAGGTCCTGCGGCTCAATAGCCGCGGTGGAGTCGTCAGAGGAACCAATGAGCAGCGGCGGCAGGATCTGCTCCTCTGTCAGGCCGTATGTCGTACCGCCGTCCGCCGCCGCTAGCTGCGCTACGGCATGAGCCGCCAGGGCGTACTGCATGCAGCGGCCCGACAGCAATGTGCGGAGGCTGGACCGGAGAAAGCTGGCGGGGAACAGGGTGGTGTTGTCCGCTGCCGACACACTTTTCCGGCCCGCTTGGCGTTTGCAGCTGGACGTAGTCTCTAACTGCAGGCGTCGTTGCTCTTCTTCTACATCTTCCTCGGCGTCTAATCGCAATAAAAGGCTGGCGATGAAGTTAGACAAGATCACGGATAGGGTTGCCTCCAGGGACAGCGCAACACTCATCCTGCCGGGGCGAAGCCCAGGGTTGCTGCGCTTGCTGCTGCGGTTGCGCTTCTTGACGTTGCTGCTGCTGCCGCTGGCACCGGAACCAGGTCCGCTTGACGAGCTTGTTTGAAACGAAAGGCACCTCTGCGATCGCGTTTTTGCAATTCCGAGCAGTTCGGAAATCAGAAACTCCCAGAGTCCGTTACGGGTGAGGCGCTGCAGGATGTCCTTTGCAAGGAGCTGCACCCTCCGCCCGCATCTGGGTTCGCGGATTAGGGAGAGGGCAGAAGGAAAGCACATCAAGGTGTCATGGGTTGCCTGCGCTGCCGTATCCGGCAGCGTGGATACGGTTCCGGACCGGGCAGCAGCCAGCAATGCGCCGCAGGCCGGCAGGATGTCCAGACGCAGGGCCAAGGAGGCCGTTGCAAAGGCCGCGTTCTGGACGTCTTCTGGCACCCCAGTCGCCTCGTGAGGGACAAGAAACAGAACGCGTAGGGTCGCGCCGAGGTTGATTATCAGCGTTACCATGGATTCCTGCTTCGCTGGAACTGTGCTTGCGTTGGGGTCGGCAAGAGCGCGCAGGCAGGTTCGGTACAGTAGCAGCAGCGCTGCGCGGCTTCCGCGAGGCACCCATAGGAGCTGCAGCAGCGCAAGCCATTCCGGTGTGCGGCATACTGCTTCTGGCATCGTAGCTAGGTACACAACCATCTGGTTAGTAATAAGCTGCATGGCAGCATCTGCGGCATCGAGGAGCAGGTCGGAGGAAATTTGCTGCTTGCATGGGTCCGTCAGGAGCTTCGCGGCAATTGCTTGCAGACGATGAGCTGGCCCGCGAGCAGCATCCGTGCGGGCGCGGTGACGCGGAGACGACATTGCGGCGATGGTCGGAACACCTAGATGCAGGGACTAAGACTAACCGGTTATGTTGTTATTATACTAAGCTAGGGGTGAGCCAAAGTGGCTATGTTGCATTAAAGAGCATAAAGTGGTTCAAACTCGCGCCTAAAGAACATTACAGCGCAGGTTTAGTCCAACTACAATACTAGGACCAGATACAACTATGTACACAAGAAATTCCGTTTCAGTGCCTCCAGTTTTGCAGAACCCGCCAGTTGCTACGTAAGACGTACACAGTGGTCTCGGGGGCATATCCGGGTGACCAGGTCACTGGACGCCTTATGTAGCATAGCTTATACAAATAGCGGCACCATACCCCAAGCGCACGAAATGACAGAACGGCTTCCCTAATGTGTCGTTTCAACTTCCTGCCCACCTTCCAAGCGAACCCTGACCACAGCATACAAGAGGGGGTCGTCAGGGCTGGGTAACGCGCAAACCCTTGCAAAGGTGGAAAGGTCATACTAATGCCATCCCAAACCAACAATGTCCACAACGACGAAACTAATGCCGTATTACGCCTTCACACTGTGCAAAAGGGGTCACCGAGGAGCTGGATACATCTCGACAGCACCCGTACATTCAGATCACTGCGCGCAGATCACTGTTGAAATAAACACAAGTCCATTATTGCTTGCCGTACAGGTTGTGTACTAGTCAACAAGAGCTCCGTGTGCTAGAAAGTCCTGTCCTTATACCGTAAGCGCATGCATCCTATGCGTTGTTCTTCCCCTGCCGTCACCTCTCTTAACCTCCCAAACCATTTTTGGACACCTGCGGTAAAAGCTCACGCATGCAAACACAGTACATGTCAGTAAAACCCCCAAACCCTGCACAACCACATGCCTAGAGTCGCGTGGGTGTCATACACCGCTGTGCTCGGATACCTGCCTCGTAACATCACAAATACAACCGCCACCGGCACTTCGTTTCTACTCGCTAGCAATGCAACACCCCACTCTCCTCCTCCTGCTCCCCAGCTCCCTCAGCCACCGTACAGCTAGCCACCGCTCCCCCCATCCCTAACCCACTACGCACGTATGCATACCCACGGGAGCCAGCACGGCAATCACAGCACGTTTCCGACTCGCGACCAGATTTGTTGACACATGGCAGCCCTTTCCTATAACCCGGCTGAGGTCCGGGGATTCACTTGCACCGGGGTTACGGCTCTAGAGCCTGAGGGAGAGGGGAGAGGGATGGACAGCAGGGTAACATGTGGGGACGAAAGGACGGCGAAAAGATGGACGGAAGGGTGCGGCGAGGGGTAAAGAGGAAACTGACGAACTGTATGACAAGGCTTCACCATGGGGTGAAAACAGGGGAGAGCCAGCAGGGGAGGGGAGAGCCAGCAACACACGACAGATGGCAACTGAAGGGAGAAAACAGATATGGTAGGTTAGCGCAACAAGGGATGCCGCGGCATGCTGCACTCCGATACCAGTAACGCTGGAAGCCCCTCGGCACAAGCCAGCGACGTCCTCTGCCATTAACAATAACTGTCGTACCAACGGTTTTTCAATGCTTACCTACTTTCGACGTGTTCGGCGAAGCTGAGCTGGAGCCTGCCGAGCGCAGTTGATGCTGTGATACCGGCGCCGTCAGTACGGCAGGTGTCGTATACGCGCCGCCGCCGTACGCGGACTTCTCGGGCTGTACGGTGCCGGGCGAGGGGCGCCGGCTGCGCAGCGCGGAGAATGGCCAGCTGGAGCCCGAGTCGGGAGGTGGTGGGGGCATGGCGGGAGCGCCAGCGGCGCGGGGCGTCACGACTGGAGGTAGTAGGAGGGGAAGAGGAGGAGGAGGAGGGGTCAGTGTCGGGCAGTCACAGTCGTGCTGGTTGGCAGCATGTCATTCGCAAGGCGGCGCATGGCTGCCGAGCCAATGGCTGGTGGCATCGAGGTCGCCATACCGCAACCAGCAGAAGAACGGAAGAACGGTTCAAGATAAAGGAAGCAAACGCTTGCTGGGTAGGGGTGTTATGGGCGAAGGTGCCCAAGTACGAGGCGATACCATGCGAGACCAAACGGGACTCACCCGCTGACTTGCGCATGGGTGGTGCCCCCGCCGGCGGTCGGCCTCTGGAGGCCGCCTCCGTGTACCAGCGCTCCTGCTCTTGCGGCGTGAGGGCGGCCCACCACCACTGGGGGCGGGCGCGGGGCTCGCGGGGAGGGAAGCAGCCTGCGAGGGCGAGTGAAGGGGTGTGGGAGGCAGGAACGGGTTAGCGCTCATGCGAGGGAGTGGGGACATGGGGAAGCGTGGGGTTGTGGAGCAGTCGTGCCGGAAAAGGCCAGGAAGGCCGCAACACGGTGTGAGCAAAGAGACGCGTTTCAAGCCTGGAAAGGGTCGTCCCAGCTGCTGCTCCTTCTCTCGCCCTCACTCCCGTGGTCCCGCCACCCGCACCCACCCGGGAAGGCATCCTTGCCCAGCTGCTTCTCTCGCTCCAGCTGCGGCAGCGGCGCACCGCTCCTCGGCTCCCGGTGCTTGTCCTCCCGGAAGCCCGGGAAGGCCACCCTGAAGTAGATGTCCTGGTCCTCCGGTGGCAGATCACACACTCGAGCGTGCCTGCGCGGATGGACGCGCGGATGCATGGATGGATGGATGCATGGATGCATGGATGGGAGGAGGACGGGGAGAGCGTGGGGTTGAGTGGTAGTGCGCGAGGGCGGGTGAGGGAGGGCAGTGGTGGGGAGCATGCGCTCCACATGCGTCACCAGTCAACAGCGAAGAAGGCAATGAGCTCGTCTCAGCGCAGGTGATGGGAAAGGAGGTTATCCCCGGAAGCCAGCCAGCCCGCACGCGGAGCACACAGGTGGCAGTGCGTCTACAGGCCAAAACGCAAGGCCCAAGGAGAGGACCAGCCAACCAGCCAACCAGCCCTCGAGCAAGCAACCTCTCACCATGCCGCCCAAGACAGTCGGTCCACAGTGTGTATCCGCTCCATGAAGCGCTGCGAGGACAGCCATTTGAGCTGCGGCCGCGTCAGCCAGCTCACAAGCGGGGTCAGCCTGGCAGGGGAGGGAGCGGGAGGGGCCCAATGGGGTGTATTGGCGGAGTGATGAGAGAAGGAAGGGTTATGAGCTTTAAACCGCTTTTGACTGCTAGGGTTCTCAGTGTATGAAGTATGCGGCTGTGCACATTGCGACTTACCTCTGTAACATATGACAGGGAGTTATCGGGAAATGCAGCTCACCGGAAATCGCGGGGAATGTAGCGCGGCTCCTCGCCGTTCTTCAGGTCGTACTCGGGGCCCACTTCGTACGGCATGGCATCGTCCAACACATCGATAAGCTTGCACAGCAGCACCTGTCAGGACAGTACAACAGGGCGGCACACGATCAGGCGTACAACATCAATGCATAATGTCAAAGCTTCCAAGTCGAGGAAAAGCACAGCCACGTTTTAAACACCGATACGCAGCAGTACCCTGGGTACGTCAGTCTACAGCAGTCGCAACGCCCATGCAAAATGCTACCCACAACACACAAGCTACCCGCCGCCCCCCCCCACACACACACTCACCTGCAGGATGGTCATCCGCCGCCGGGGCGCCGAGTCGTTGTCCAAGCTCATCAGTTGATCCACGTGCTCCATTAGGGGTGACAGCGTTTCCTGAACAGGAAACGTAACGAGCAGGCAGTGCACTAAGTAAATGCACTCTCCCCTTCTGATGACACCGCTGTGCGCCAGCTGAACTGCTATATATACCCTGTACGACATGTGCTCACATGCTTCGCTTGTGTACGCTCGTCTATACGCGACAGACCCTCCGCCTCCTTCCCAGCCACAAAGCAGCACGCAGCTCTTCCACACACGACCGCTTTGCCACCCTTAGCAGTAACCAACCCCCAATGTCAGCTTAACCACGCGGCTCAGAAGCTTCGGTTTCTCCCAAAGAGCAGCCCACGCAGCCAATCCTCGAGCTAATCCTCACCCTAGTCCCCACAGCCCCACCACGCACCGCACCCACAACCGCACAACCGCGCACCCCCCACCTGCTGCAGCTTGTCCTTGCTGTTCCTCCACTCCGCCCACTCCTCCGGGGTGCCCTGCTCGCTGGGCGGCTCCGAATTGCACCGCCGCACGAATTCCGCATACCTGCATGAGTGCATGTGCATGCGCAGCACAGGGCACGGGGAGGTTAGAGCCCGCACACGAAAGTACAAAACACACGCACACCAAAACGGCACCCACAGCCCCTCAATCAGCGGCGGCGGCGGCACCCATCCAAACACACCTCATCCAAACATAGTGCCCACGCATGCACGCGCGCACGCACCCACCCACTCACCCAATGACAGCCAGGTCTGATGTGGTGCTGTCTTGGTCGCTGGTGCGTTCCATGATCATCACCTCACCGATAGCACGGAGTTCGCCTGGGGACAGCGGGCAGGTGAGGGGGTTACAGAATGGGCGTGCTGTGGGGGGGGGACGGGACTGCCATGCAACCGCGGACACAGAGCTGCTTCCAAAGTTGCTCAGCACGCCAGGATATTGCCAAGCTGCCGCGGTATTCCCAGCTTCCCGCCTTCCCAAGGTGACCCTGTCCCGCCACCTCCACCCCTCCCGCTCACGGAGTTTCCATCAGGGCTTGTCAGCTAGTTTACTATCACTATCACACCACACATTGGATATTCTTCTTTTCCCTCCCGCTCCGCCCACCTGCATACAGCTGCAGGATCTGCCAGTGCCTGTCGCTATCCGGATCGTTGGGGTTGCCGTGGCCTGACGGGAGGAACACAGACGAGCGCAAATACCACGAGCTCGTCAGGAGGTGGCCGAAGACACGAGGGAGGCGGGCAACAGGGAGCAGCCTCCGTACACGAGGGAGGCGGGCAACAGGGAGCAGCCTCCGTACACGAGGGAGGCGGGCAACAGGGAGCAGCCTCCGTACACGAGGGAGGCGGGCAACAGGGAGCAGCCTCCGTACACGAGGGAGGCGGGCAACAGGGAGCAGCCTCCGTACACGAGGGAGGCGGGCAACAGGGAGCAGCCTCCGTACACGAGGGAGGCGGGCAACAGGGAGCAGCCTCCGTACACGAGGGAGGCGGGCAACAGGGAGCAGCCTCCGTACACGAGGGAGGCGGGCAACAGGGAGCAGCCTCCGTACACGAGGGAGGCGGGCAACAGGGAGCAGCCTCCGTACACGAGGGAGGCGGGCAACAGGGAGCAGCCTCCGTACACGAGGGAGGCGGGCAACAGGGAGCAGCCTCCGTACACGAGGGAGGCGGGCAACAGGGAGCAGCCTCCGTAGACGAGGGAGGCGGGCAACAGGGAGCAGCCTCCGTACACGAGGGAGGCGGGCAACAGGGAGCAGCCTCCGTACACGAGGGAGGCGGGCAACAGGGAGCAGCCTCCGTACACGAGGGAGGCGGGCAACAGGGAGCAGCCTCCGTACACGAGGGAGGCGGGCAACAGGGAGCAGCCTCCGTAGACGAGGGAGGCGGGCAACAGGGAGCAGCCTCCGTACACGAGGGAGGCGGGCAACAGGGAGCAGCCTCCGTACACGAGGGAGGCGGGCAACAGGGAGCAGCCTCCGTAGACGAGGGAGGCGGGCAACAGGGAGCAGCCTCCGTACACGAGGGAGGCGGGCAACAGGGAGCAGCCTCCGTACACGAGGGAGGCGGGCAACACGCAACCGGACAACAGGTGCGAAAGGGGAGTGAGACAGCGTCCCGTGGCAGGTGCGCGCTGCTACCCTAGCCCATACATCCATACTGAAGACCACCTCGGTGCCCCGAACACAGTGGGTGGGTGGGTGGGTGGGGGGTATCCAGCGCTACGGTCTCTCCTGGTTCTTTCCGCTTGCTTGCGTCACAGGTACTTAGAGCCTGCAGCGCCTATGCCGCCTCCGTGATACCCCAACTTACCCTGCACAGGGGTCTCGCCTGGTGAAGTGAAAACGGGATACGTGGGGAGGGAAGCAGGGTGGACACAGGTAAGGGCACGTGGGTAAGAGAACGTAAGCGGGGGCAAACAGGACGTTGCTAACGCTGGTTTTCGTTGCCTTGCTAGCGGTTTGCATGCCCCTAACACCCAATATGGCAGTACCCTCATAGCAGCCTCCCGGGCGCCTAGGCCTCGCACGCGTGCAGCCACCCCAACATCCACCCACCCACCATCGTTCCCAGCATAATTCGACTCACCTACCCACCCAGCCGCTCACCCTCCCAGCCACCCAGCCACCCACCGGTGAATTGGAACTTGATTGCGTCAAGCACCAGGTTCAGGTCGGAGGTCCGGTTGCCCTCGCCCACGATAAACACAATTTCCTGTTGACCGGGTGGGAGGGCGTAAGAGTGTGAGGAAAGAAGGGTTCATGAGACGCTGAGATAGAAGCGATGCGAGAGCGCAGGACAGGACGTATCGTTATTGCATACTGCATGCTGCGAGGGCTGCTACCGTGTTGTGTTGCATGATGCATGCTGCGAGGTGTGAGAGGACTGTTGCTGCGGCTGCTGCTGCTGCTGCTGCGGTGTGACAAATGAATGTGCAGCCCGGCAGGTCGCGGGACTGATGACAGCAGCCTGGGTGACCGGCCGGATGCCTTCGCTCCCCCCTTGCTGCCTCGCTCTCACCTGGCGGATGACCTGTGCTCCCCGCCGCCCCGCCAGTCAGATGCCGCGGTCAGTCCCAGCATGCGCACGGCAGCAGGCGGAGGAGGGCAGGAGGAGGTGAGGTGGAGGGGTGGAGGGGGGCAGGCGTGTGGAGGTTGGGGTGGGTCGGGCAGTCAGGATCCGAAATGGAGGACAGCAGCACGCAGGGAACGGGCAAGGTTCTTGGTGCTGTAAGCCCATTTTCCTAAGTACCTCCTTCCCTTTTAACACATACAGCTAAACCCAACAACCCAACAACTCAACAACCCCAACAGCACAGCTCAACACACGCACCTCCAGCCATCCCAGGAACTCTGCAATGACATACGCCATGTTGAGACGTGCGTACTCTCGGTCTCGCTGATTGCCCTTGTTGGCAAACTGGTAAAGGAAGTTTGACCGTATCTGCAATGTCGGGCAGCAGGTTGGGCAGATAATGAAGTACGGCAGGACACTACAAGGCTGGGACCCAGCCCAGCCCAAAAGCACTCATGACCTGGCCTTGCGGGCTGCTGAACTGAGTTGTGGCAAAACCGGACACCCTGAGGTTACCCCTTCTTACCCCGTCAACTGGAGCGTATTGGTGGGTGGTCGACGACCGCACCGCACCCCAAGTCCACAATCCGCCCCTACGCCCCACTCCAGACTTCGCCGCATCATCCCAACCCCGCATCCCTCCCTACCGGCCGCACCCAATCCTCTGCATATCAAATCCAAGCCCCTCCCCGCAGGCCATTACCGCATCCAACAGTACGCCCCAAGTGCGAGGCCCCCTCCCTACCTGGTTGGCTAGGCGAGACTGCAGGTCAAACGCGGACTGCAGCAGCGGCTTCTTGTACTGCTTCATAAGCCTGTCGCAGCACCATCACCAGCCGTCATCAGCAGCCGCACGGCACGGAATGGGGCGGGGAGGGCATGCATGCGCTCAGCTTCTTGCGCATGGGTGCCATAGGGCATACGTGTCACAAAGCAGTACAAAGCCAAGCAGCCCGCTAGTTTGTGCGGCCCCGCGTGCCACATGGGGACATCAGCAGCGGGGCAGCGGGAGGCAGGACCCACGTCCTCCCTTGCATGCCAGCACTTCCGCGTGCCGTGTTGCCGCATGCATGTCTGAATGCAGCCTACCGCCCACCCCGCACTCACTCCTGCACGTTCTCAAACCGCACCAGTCGCCGCTGCTTGTCCTCGAGTTCTTTCTGTGAGGCCGCGGGGACAAGAGGGGCCCAACGAGAGAAACGTGTTTGCACAAACCTCGAATTCCTGCGAAGGCCCCGAGGCGGGGCGTGTAGATCTAGCTGGTCTACGCAGCCGGAATTGCAGTGTCAGGCGCTTCGCCAGTGCATCCCACACCCCTCACCCGCACCACGGACACGTGCACCCGGGGCCCTAGCTCCGCATTACCACTTGCGGCAGCTGCACTGGTTGGGCACATGTGCATAACCCTGTTTGCTCAAGCCCACCTTGAATGCCTCAAACCGGCGCTCCTGCGCTGCTAGCTCCTCCATGTGCTTCTTGTCTCGGAGGTAAGCCGCTATGGAATTCACGACGGCGACGATGAAGCCCACCGAGCTATGTTGCACGGGAAGAGGGTTGCGCAAGTGCGAATTCAGAGAGAGTTCATCTATTGTTGGGTGTCGCATAACTAGGATTCGCCAATGGATGCAATGTATCCAACGGCGATGACCGGCCATGCCTACAGGTCTTGGACATTCGAGTACCTGGCTAGGAGGGCGATGATAGTCTGCCATTTATTGGAACTTGAGTCCCCTCCTATTAGAGTGGTAATCTGCATTGTAAGGACGGGAACCACTTAAGTGCGCTGAATGGAACGCTCCAAAATGGCTGATTCCAGACCGCGCCCCTTACCACGCTGGTTCCCTCACTCATGGCTAGTATATTTCTAAATCAGGATATGGGTTTTTAATAGCTTAGGCTGCTGGTGGATGGTAATGTCCGGACCTCGGGTGCCAACGGTAAACCTATCCTAAATACATCTCAGCAGGGCGTGATAGCAGATGCAGTGCCCACGTCGCAATACCAAAACGAGTTCAGGTGTAACGTGCTGCAAGCGTGCATGCGTGCTACCCTAACATGTACGACACATGTACTGAGAACACCTGCTGCTGTCTTGCTAGCACCGCGAAGAAAACATGCATCAGTGAGGCTGAAAATCACGTGTTTTTCGCTATCCAGTGCGTCATCATTACTCGGCCTCTTATAAACCAGCTGTAAGTTCTGGCTCGTAGACGCCGCAGGGAAAACCTTGCGAGAAGGGGGGGCGTTGGCGCTAACAAGGTGGCAAAAGCACGGGGTCGTAGCAAGTCTCAACCACACGGGTATCAGCTAGACCGTCCTGATGATCCTGATCTAGACATCTAGTTGAGCGCCATGACACGTCAAAGCACGACAGTTGGCGCAACGAACATGCAAGGCGGCCAATGTATTAACAACATGCAAGATGCAACCCTCTATTCCATTTCACCACGTTAACAAGGTAGTTTGTTCATGTCACAGATCTTTCCAGCTCTAACCTCTTACTTTACGGTGTTACCGTTCTGTCTGAAGGTACAGGACGTCAGAGTCAGCAAAGCCTGATACGGGCAGCAGACTAAAGGACACACTGCATAAACGCCGCTGCCATAGCAAAATGGTTAGTCCCCTCACGCCAGCTCACACATTGGATTATGTTACCAGCACACAGTGTTGTCAAAGGAAGCAACAGCACATATGCAAAGCATAGGGAAAAGCAACACACACACAGGAAAACCTGCTGTGTAGGGGGGGCCCAGTCGCCATCTTAAATTCCCACTCTTGCAGCTGTGTTTTGCTCCAAGATCATCCATCCGCATCCTCCATTTAAACCACTCGCCATGCCCGCCTCTATAATACACTTCCGCCATGTCCCCATTAAACACCCAACATGCACATGCAACCATTCATTCCCACGCCAGCATGCAGGTTTCCGGACCCCTTACATGCCTCATACACACCCCCACACAGGCTACCTCACCACCCGGTCGCTGCCCTGCACAGCCCTCCCACGCCCTCACGACCCCGCCTTCCTCCTCAGCCCTGCTACGCTGCTGCATGTGCGGCCGCGTGCTTGGCTAGCCGCAGCATGGCCTCCAGGTCCACGTCCGTGACGCTCTCCACGCTGCCCCAGTGCGCCGTGCCGGCCAGGTTGGCGGTCACGATGTCGCTGGAAGGCTGGCCTGCAGGGGGGCGGCGGGGGGGGGGGAGAGGGAACAGGAGGGAACGGGAGCGAGGCAGGGATGTAGGGGCCAGGAAAGAAAGGGGAGAGGTGGGGTTTAAACTGGAGCGCTGGGACAGGATGAATGAGGAACGGCGAGGGAAAAAGTAGCTGGCAAGTGAGGGCGCAGAGATGCGAGTATCTCAGGGCGTTTCAAAGGACCCTGTGCATGCCTTGCAATCTCAGCCCTGCCCTACCCTCGCGCGCCGCATCCCCCCCCCCTCCTTCCAGCCCCCAGCATGCACCCTGTCTGTCACTCGGCACCATAGCAGATGTGTGCTGCTTCTCCCAGCCCCGGCCCCACTCCCTGGGCCCCGCAGCACTCACCGGGGTCCCGCAACACCAGCACCGCGGGGTCCTGCTCGCCCACCCACAGCTCCTGCCGCGCTAGCTGCATGGCCGGCGAGTCGCCCTGCCGGCCGTACAGCAGCATGGCGCAGAAGGCAACCCAGTCGAACGGCACGCACTTACCTGTCGCGATTGAGGTTGAGGAGAGGAAAAGGGAGGCACAGAGAGTTGTTAGCACATGGGCTGACTTGGTTGTATGGGTTTATAGCGGACATGGGGTTCCGCGGGGGGGGGGGGCAAAGACAGGCAGACAGCGGCCCCCTGCCGTACTGAGCGACAGAGCACCGAGCAACCCCGAGCAGCCCTCCTAGCCGTCTTCCCTTCCTTCCTACCCACTGCACCCACCCACCAACCCACCCACCCACCCACCCACCCACCCTGCAGGTGTGGCATGCTGAACCAGGTGTCGCTGACCCGCCGCAGCAGCCCCGCCAGCCCCAGCCGCTGCGCCACCTCCTCCGCATCCTGGAAGCGCAGCACCTTGTTGCACACGTTGTTGGTCACGAACAGCAGCGGGATGGAGTGCGCGGCGGCCAGGCGCAGCAGCACGCGCACGGCGTCCGGGTAGTAGATGGCGTTCTTGGTGGCCCGTGGGTCTCTGGGGGAGGCCATGACAGGGTGGGGTGGAGGGCGCAGGCTATGCGGGTGACAGTTCACCTTCCAAGAGCATGGAAAGCAGCAGGTTGGGCTCTCTTTCAAAGTTTCAAACACAAGTTCCCCTAAGTCTTGCCTTTCCTTGCGCCCCATCCTCTCCACTATGCCTACATCCTCCCGCCCCGCCCCGCCCCACCCACCTCCCGGGCAGCGGCAGCGTCTGCGTCTGCACCTCCGCCTGCACCCCCGCCATCACGATCAGCGGCAGCCCCGCAGCCTTCAGCTTGGCCCCCAGCAGCTGCTCCCCCTCCGGCCCCAGCAGCGCCACCAGCCGGTCCAGGTAGCCCATGGAGCCGTTCATGTCGATCACAACCGACTGCAGCTGCAGGGCGGAAAAGCAGGAGGAGGAGAAGAAGAAGAGGAGGAGGAGAAAGATAAGAAGAGGAGATGGAGGTTTGTAAGAGCAGTGGTACTATGCTATGGAGAATGGACTCAGTGCTGTTGCGATCCGTGATTTAGCAAGGGGTGCGCCACATGGGGGCGCCGTGGGCTTGGATTTGGGGGTTGTGGAATGCCCATGGCCCCCCGGGCCCGCCCCCACCCCCCACCAGCAACGCGGTGTGTCAACTTTTCATCAGCAACGCGGACCCGGTATCGATAGGGAATACTAACCAAACCTTTGTCTTGTGGCACCCTGCCAACTCCTACCCCCATTGTTTTGCCCTAACTTGTGGTCTCCTATGGTTTGGTATGGTCTTTGACCCCCCCACCCCCATCCGCACGCGCTCTCACCTCGGGACTCCGGATGCGCTCCGCTAGCTCATCCACGGACGTCCATTTGGGATCCACTGTACGGCAGCAGGGCACGGCAAAACTCTGGCAGTTAACGCATCTAGAGCCAAGTCATACGGGCATGGCGGTTGGTACGGCAGTGGTGCGGATCCAAGGGCACATGGGACGCAAGGTCGCGGGCCGCCGTCCATGCTGCTGCTGACCATTGAGCCGTGCCAGGGCACTCAGGTAACCCTGTGCTGTTGCGGACTCTGTGTGCAGGTGTCACCCCAGTACGTACGCCCCGTGTGCCCCGTTGCGGCCCCTGCTGCCCACCTTGCGGCAGCTCCCGTATGAGAGGCCCGTACTTCTCCGGCTCATTGAACATCATGCGCCAGGGAATGAGGTTGCGCTGATTGAGTGGACCCCTGCAGCAGCAGCAGCCGCAGCGGCGGGAAGGAGGGAGCGTTAGGAAGCCGGTGGTGACTGCTCAAAGCTTCACCTGCGTCCCAGGCAAGGCCGTGCGCCATCCTCCGTCCGGGCTGCGCCGTACGTTTGATGGTCACTCTTCCAAATGTGGACATCCACCTATCTAGCGGCAAAATCGATTGCCGCTCTGAGAGTTCTACTGCGTCTGTGACTCCTTGCCTGCATCCCACTCCCACTCCCCACCCAGCCATCGGCTGTGTGTTCCTCTAGCCGCATGTCCCATGCCTCAACCCGTCAGCCCACCTGACCAGCAGCGCTGTGGGGCAGAGGTGCCGCAGCAGCTGCCCCGATGTGGCCAGCACCTCCTCCGAGTAGCTGGGGTCGTGCTTGGTGGTGTCGGGCTCCTCCTTGTCACGCCAGGCTCGCCGCTCCGGAACCTGGCAGGGCAGGAGGTCCCAAGCAAAGCACATGCACGTGAAATGCAGACAAAAGCAGTACAAAAGCATGCATGCTCGGTAGGGGTGTGGCCACGAGTCGGAATTTGTCTGTGATTGCCGGAAGATGTCCGGGAATGATGCTCCCTGGGACGCGTGTGTGTTCAGAAAACTGGCCGCGAGTCGGAACGTACTGTGATTGCCGGAAGATCCTCACAAAAACGCATAGGAGCCGAGGAGTATGATGGCGTACGTAGAAATGATGTACAGTACTGGTGTTGGTAGTAAGTAGGACGTAAGAATGTGTGTGTGTCTATGTTCATGGCTTCGCAGGTCTGTATCATTAACGCATTGCATGGATTGTGCCTGTGGTAAGGGGTCAGCTGATTCTCGGCCCAGTGTCATTTCAGCAACCTTCACCCCTGGTTTCTGCAGATACCATACCGCTGCGCATTTACGCCCAATCCCCCCCTCCAAAACTCCTCAAGCTGCCGAATCTGCACTCACCGCGACCACGTATTCGAATTGTCGGGTTTCCTTTTGGATGACATGTCCCGCTGAGGCAATGAGATAGCCTGGAGAGCCGTTTGCAGAAACGACGCGTGTATTAGCATCATACCTTAGAGCAGTTTAGACGAAGCGCAACCCACCATCGAAGTCGCTTGTGTCACCAGACTGTATATACATGCATACTCCATTAGGAAGCGAACCACCACGCCGCAGATCAAACAACTGCACATCTTCGCCCCAATTCACGTCGCCATTTACAGCTGTAGTTGGTGGTATTACAGGTTCTGCGGCCACGGGCGCGGCCGCTGCGCCTGCTGAAGCCACAGGTAGTTCAGGTCGACTGGTAGGGGAGTGGCAATCTACGTCCTTACGCCTTCTACAAAGACCGCTAAACATGATAAATGTAGGTTTGGGCAGAATCCCAACGCGTAACCACTCTCCAAGAGGGACGCGGACTTGCAAAAATACTGGCGACTCGGTTACCTGCACCGGGAAACACAGATTGAAGTAGACATGTATGGCGTTAGTACTATGGCTAGTGAGTACAGTAAGGCCATGTACTGTTATTCCGACGGTTGAAACATCAGAAGTGCAACGAAGGGCTGGCGGACCCCAACGCGTAACATTCTTTTATACATCAAAAAAGAATTGTCGTGCTTGCATGGTAGCGGCATGCCTCGACGTCGCGGGTTTTACTTCGAACCTGGGTGACTGTCCGGGCTCTCCCTCAAGCTAGCCGTAAAGCCGTGTTGACGTGCTTGTCAACCCAAGCGTGGTATTCCACAGCCCGTGCCAGCTAGACTGGGTCCATTGCCACATGACCAGCCTCCAGCAGATTGATGGATGGTTGGCATGAGGGTTCAGCACACTTCTACCCTTGCTTAGCAACGCCCGCAAACTGCTTTCATAGAGTAGCCCCAGATATACGGCCAATCGCAGCTTCCTTGTTTTTCCTCTCCCCTATTCAAATGTTACAACAAGGCACGGCGCCCACCTTAGACTCGCCACAGCAAAGTTGCAAAACCCAATGTGTCTTGATTGGCCTATTGACAACGATATCCTGCTACATGGCACACCCTTTCGCCCCGCACTTGCCACTACATACCCTTATGATGGTACAGAAGGGGTTATAACGGCCAAAATCAAAAGAGAATACTCTCGACTACCGGTAGATGACAAGGGGCTCCTGTCTAGCTCCACACGCCTTACCAAAAAACATGGTGTTATTGGGGTAACTTTACAAGTAAGGTACAAAAAGTAAATGAAAAGTCATGGCCCCTTGGCAATGACCTTCCCTAGCACAATGTTGGCGGCGAAGATGCTTCCCAATGGGGCAGAAAAGCGAAATCGCAACCGTATGGAAGTGGAGTACAAGGGACATTCGTACAGCTCCCCTCCAAAACGATGCCATCTGCTGCTACTAGTACACATTCATCCTGCTCCATCCGCTGCCGGCGCTCAACTCTCGCTGCCCACAGCTTTAGTTCCTTGCCCCGCTCCCAGAACTTGCCATCAGGACTGACCCAGATCAAATCTCAAGTATGAGGCCTAAATAAACATCTGCATCTCGGTCAGACATCCCGCACGGCCTTTAGGAGGCTCCTGCGGTCATACTCCTGCGGTCACTCCCTCTCCCTCAAGCTCACGCCTGCCATGCAAACGCCGACCGCCGCCTGACTGCCCCTCCGGGCCCCTCATTGTCCGCCTGCGGGTCAAGGTCGCCCCTCTGCCCCTCTGCCGCCCCTTCTGCCGCCAGCGCCGCTGCCTTGCCGGCGTCACGATGGCCGCGAGCCTCCTGCTCTCCCGCCGGCCCTTCATCCTCGGTATAATCACCCTCAGCCTCCTCGTCCTCCTCACCTCCATGTCCCTCCTCCGATGCGCCCGCATCGCTGCCCTCGATGTCATCCTCCCCGCCCTCTTCCTCATGCCCCTCCTCGACGGAACGGTGCTCATGCCTCTCCCAACCGCCTTCCTCAGAAGCGTTGACGTCATCACGACGCTTCGCACTGGCGGGGACGTCGACGTCTAGCTCGTCCTCTGCTGAGGGTGCCTTTGCTGCCGTCGCAGCAGGCTGTGGCGTCTCACCGTTCACGGCGGCAGCACGCCCGGAAGAGGCCGCCGCCGCAGTGCCGGTGCTCTGACGGGAGAAAGAGCCCTTGCCGCCAGGGTAGCCGCCGGCAGCGCCGCCGACAGGCGTGTAGGCGTTGCTCTCGGTGCTACCCGACCATGCGGGCGAGCCTTCATGAGTTAGACGACGAGGTACGGCGTCGTGTGCGAAGGTGGACTCTTCGTCCCCAACCAAGGTAGAGTCGACGGGATGCGTCTGGGAGAAGCCACTGCCCTGCCGATGCGCTTCGCCGTGTGGATGGTGATAATACGGCTGACTATCCTCATCCGCCGCCGCACCATTGCCATTTCCGCCGCCGCGAAAGTAGGCAGCATTTGCAAGGCTGTAGGACAAGGCATCATCGCGATTGCCGTACGGCGGCCCGCCATTGTGCGTATGCTTCCGCCGCTGTTGCTGCGCCGCTGCAATGGGCCATGCGTCGCCATAGCCGCCGTCTCCCTTGCCGTACCCCTTGCCGGTGCCGGCGGTTGCCCAACGTCTTAACATGCACACGAGTACGGTGAGGCCCAGGGCGGCGGTAGTCCCGCCCATGGACATGGTCAAACCGGCTAGGAGGAGCAGCACGCTGGTTGCCAAGCCGGGTCGCAGCCAAAACAGCATCGACTTGAACCAGCCTGCAACGCAATTGTAGTTTGGCACGCGCACGGTGTGGTATGACAGAGGTTGGTCCTCTCAACGAAATAGAGGAGTGCAAAACATTTACGGGGGGGTGAGGAACGATACGCCGTCGATGAAGCAGAGCGCAAGGTGACGTGCTTCGCGGGTCAAGACAATGCATGCGACTAGCTAGCCAGTATCACGCTACGAAGGACGACCCACAGGAAGCCAGTGCGACCCATCTGCACCCGCAGGAGCCAGGCGCGAGGACACGGCACCAAGGCCCTGGACGCACCTAGCTTCAGTCGCACATGCACCTCCGCCTGGTGCACCGGCGGGGGCGGCAGGGCGCCCATGGAGGAGTTGCGGCTGGCCAGACGCGCTCGGAAGGTGTCCACGGGCGCGTCCTCCACCTCCTCGTACTCGTCAAAGAGCGGCAGGTCGACACGCGCCCAGTTGCCGTGGCCCAAGCCCAGCACGTGCAGGGGAAGCCAAAAGAGCTGCCTGCAGAGGTGCGAAAACATGAGAGAAAGGGTCACAAACTCACAATGTGGAGTACGCACACGTGGTGCTAGTCAAGCGATCTGGGTCAGCCGGGCTAGGAAGGAGTACGATTGCATGCATGGTTTACCATCAGGGTCAGGCAGCTTTCAACACGTCGCGAACCGGTAAGTTGAGTAACAATACGGCCATTACAAGGGTCGCTAAAAATGCATCTAGACATGGCAAACTAAAACAGAATCTGGATCCTGGCAAGGAATATCCAGGACATCGTAAAGGTGCACAAAACGGTCCCCAGTGAGCATATTCCCACGTCACAAGGCCCCATCCTCTTCATCCGCCTCCAACTCACCTCGCCATGCGGTAGGCATACGGTTGTGGCGTGTTGATGTGGGTCCGTGCGGAACGTGCTGCGGTGTGGGAGCCGTTGCTCAGCAGCTCGCCAGTCACCTGAGGCAGGGTGAATGGGCGGGGCCCTCTTCAGCATGTCACTACCGGTCGTACGGTTTGTTCCGGTGATGTCAAGCGCTACGTGATGTCCCAGGACTGCAGCTCGACAGCAGAAGGAGAAGGGACCTAGGCGGACGGTAGGCAGACGGTTGGCAACCCCCGGTGCAAAGCAGCCCACCTGGAACAAGTCGTGGTGATGACTGGGTATGACTAACTGCACGTGTACGGAGACCTGCATAGGGGAAGAGAGAGACTTGTTCTGTACATCGGTAATGTGCCAGGACTTCCTATAAGCCTAAGCAAACCGGCGGACGCCCAAGTGAGGAGACAAGCACCAACATATACGTCAGGTCTTTGCAATTGCGGCACGACACCACAGTTCAGCCCAGGGCCCCTCCACAAGGCGCGGAGCGGTTTTATTCCCTACCTGGCTTCCGGATGGAAGGAACCGTGACTTAGGAAGCAGCGCAACCGCTGTGCTGGTAAGCGGCTTGTTGCTGACCATGGGCGATTGCTCTCGGAGGTTGGGGGAAAGGGACGTGACGGCTTCGGCCACGTAACCAGTGTAGTCAAAGTGCAGAGGACGCACGTAGTAGTGGGAAGCTGGCAGATAGTACCTGAGGCGATGCACCAAGAAAATCAACAACAGCTCAGCCAGTTAAGGCGAGGCTGCTCCTTGGAGGACAAGACACGTTCGGCACAGGATGCAACAGCATTACCAAGCGGCCACCTGTTAAGGCAAGCATGACCCAGATGTCGCCAGGCAGCACGCGCGCAAACACTATACCATGTTCCCCCACCGGGTCAGGAAAAGGAAGGCGAGCAAAGCGTAGCCCGTCACCGCAATGCAGGCGCTTAGCATCGCCCCGCAGGTGGCAAACGCTGGCGCTGCAGATCCACAGCAGACCCTCAGAAGACCCGTCGCTCGACGTAGAAGAAACATCTTTAAGAAGCCGCCGCAAAACGAGTTCCGCCAACGGGGCAAGGGCCCCGTTGCAACTTTCAAAATGGTTTTTGGAACAGGGCTATTAAGCGCAGTTCTTTATTGCCAGGTATAGCTAAAAGTAAGCTAGCACCAAAGCCACGTCATGGTAAGCAAGATGTCAGTCTATGCGCGGCAACGCCTCGTAGCAACGTAGCCCTCAGCCTACTAAGTCGGGCTTTACACAGCACCTTGCGACGTAGATGCGAGGTGTGTGAAAACGCCTTCTAACAAAATAGAAGCCATCCAAGGTTATGTGCACTGACCAGTACGAGAGGCGGTTATGAGTTGGCATGGCCGCTGCCCTGCCATGCATTGTTTCATCGTTCTAGTTAGACATGAAGGATACATCGCTACATTCCTTGCAGATTTGGAAACATCATAAGGAGCCGGGTCAACCGCTCGTCACCGACTCTGCAGCAACGGTCCCTTGCACATATGTACGACCCGCCGTTGGTGAGAGCTGCCCGCACCTCGGGGTACGGAGCTGGTATATGAGTAGAATTGGGATACGGCACATGGCCGCAATAGTGCAGCCAGCATATGCGGGTAGCAAGCATACGGCCCGAGGAGGCTATTGAACATGCAGTATGTGATGGCGTGTGGGTAGTGGAGTGCGATACCCTGATCACCGCATGTTATACCCCTTCTTGCACAGGGCCCTAACCCATCTCGGCGCTCCCACCCTACGCACGTAGCCTTTCTGTAGCCGTTTCCTCTACTAGCCGTCATGTGCCTATACTTTCCGCGCCCAAGGCTTCCCTGCTTTCATCCCCATCCAATTATTATTTAGTGGGCAGAGCCCTGGCCTACGCTGCATCTGTCTCCCGCTGCTCTTCTGCGTTTACTTTTCATTACTCTGGCGGCGCCTTCATTATAGTGACCTGTACGTCCACTGTGGTGCCGACCTTTCTATGCCCATCCCAATGCGGCGCGTGTCTGCCTCTGCCTTCTCCCGGCAGCGCATTCCTCCCCGGGCCCTTCCCTGGCATGGTGTCGGCACCCCCGTTGCCCTTCCCCGTGAGGTGCCTGCGTGCATCCCCCAGCGCAGGCATCCCCGCACTGCCCGAGTGCTGGCGCTCATGCGCATGTGCGCATGCAGTACCTTGCACTGATGAACTGCTGGCGCCTGTGCGCTATCACATATCTTATCCTACTAACACCGTTCTACTACACCTTTCTTTTGCAATGTAGGGTTGGGTTCATCACCCGTGTTCCCTTTTAGGGCACCATTGTAACGGTCATTCATTCACCTCTTCCCGTCGTCGCCAGTCGCCCACATAGGAACCGCCAGGCCAAGCATCTCTCCTCAGTCGACAGCTATGGTCAGTACATACGGTACATTAACGGGCATATCCACACGCTTTACTACTACCGGCGCCAGTAGGCGCAGAAAGAAGAACTGAAGTCTTTGCTCGACCACCTGCGCCCACGCGCCCAGCCCTAAGCCCGACGCTCATGTAGTCCCCATACTGGCCGATAACAAACATGCATGCGTGCAGGCATTCCCACACGCCCGCCGCGCCCCGATGGCCGTCCCCTGCCCCACCCATGTCGGCCATGTGTCGCCTCCACTGCCACCCGCCTGACGCCGTCTGTGCCGCCGCCACCTCTTCAGTTGGTGTTGCTGCCGCTGGTGTGGCATGCCCTGTCCCCACTGACCCGACTCTCGGCAGCTAGGGCACACTGACTGCCGCCTCGGCTATCCCCGCAACATGTGTTGCACCCGTCGCACAGCAGCATCGTACTGTCGCCCCAGATCTGGTACTGCAGGTCCCGCGCGGGGTGGAGCGACTGAAGCAATATCCCTTTAACATGGTAGCAGCTGCTCTATTGCGTAGTAGTGGTGATTCTGGTTGGCAGCCCGGGAAGGGCGGCCGCACAGGGAAGGGCATGCCCAAGGCGGCTGTACTGAAAATGGCAGTGGGAGGCATGTGAAGCTCGAGGTACGGCATGGGGAGGCAACCGATATACGGGGGAGGGCAGATGGAGGCAGGCGAAGGACGGGAAAGGGAGCATGGAGCCACAGCCTTTACGTAGTCTGGCTGTTGCCAAGCATAAGTGCATGCCATTGGAAATGTCGTGCATACGTTTGCCCTGTCTTGTCTGCAGTTGTTACATTATGTATGCATACATCTGCGCTGAGGGCTCCCGATAGAGAGTTAGATAATGCGTATGGGCGGTATAGCCAATTAAGTATTACCCTGGCACAAATAATTATTATATGGAAGAGCGTCTCACGGCCTGCACACAGATTGTGATGAGAAGCTGCTGACATCACAGCATCACATCCTGGTCTCACACATGGCACGCGATGTAGACGAGAGGATCGCTGACATTTTGAACCCCTAACACGTCGACCACCCAATGACCAAGTTACGGGATTGACAACAACTACGGACCTTGAAACTAACAGTGTTCATCGAGATACATTACGACATGTATTATTAAGGGAATCCTTCCATGCTGCTCAGTTGCCACGCCACAGTGTGCTTCACGCCAGCAACATCAGGCCTAAGATGCCACTATAAAATGTTGTGCATGTGGCACCGTCTCAAGCACTGCAACATCATGGCAGCAATCAATTCATCTTAAGCTGACACAGCCTTTGCCGTCGCAGCCTGCACCTTTGGATCGGTGTCAGCGCGAGTGCCCGCCAGGCTCAACAGGATGGCAAGGAAGAAGTTCATCGTCGCGCTCGCAACCTGACCGCACGCCAGCGCACGAAGGAACGGCAAGGGGTCCCAAGGGCCGGACGAACCGGGGATCTTGATGGAGTCAAAAATGTCGGTGGAGTCAGAGCTGTCGGTGAAGTTGGTTGGCAGGCCGAGCAGGATTCCCGAGCTGGAAGCGTCGTCCTGGATAATGTTGATTTGGGTGATACGCTCCGTAGCACGCAAGATGAGGAGAGCGGTGTTGACAGCCAGGAACATGTTCAGGAGGGAGTGGACTCGGTGGAGGCGGCCCGAAAAGGCTGTGATGGCGATGATGAGTAGGTTGATAAGTTGGGCACCCAGCACGTACCACTCAAGCTGCGTAGCAGGAAGAAGGGGCAAGCAGGGTTGGAATGTTGGTTGTGGCGACAATGGGAAACACTTGCAGTTACAGTCTGACCTGAGCATCGGGCTATGCCGGGTGCTAGGTTACAATGATGACCGTTACCATGGATTGTCTCAACCAACTTTGTGTATTGTGACCGTTGTTACATGGCGGAAATGGTTGTAAACGAGTTGGTAGACTGGGCCGCGGCCTAGTTGGGACGCGCATAGCAACTACAAGAGACTCCTTACCATGATAATAACTTGTTTAGACGCTTGGGAGAAGTGGAAACCGGTGAGCTCATTGGTCAATTTCCCCAGGCCACCCTGCGAATGGCGAATGTTACTTCGAACAGTTCAAACGCGATAATGCGCCGACGTCAACTTCGTGGCTTCTAAAGCTTAGGTGCTATAATTTTGTTCACAATTAGCAAAAGCTAGTAGCCAATAATCATCATTCTCGGCGCGGCCTATGAACAGTTCCAGCTGTCATATGTGAGATAAGTGCGTAGTTCATCCACAGACTTACCAGATAGACGGCCCATGGTGCAAGTGAGAGAATGGCGAGTATGCCAGTTGAAATGTTGAGTCCCTTCCCCATTATTCAATTTGCTGGAGAGGGTTAAGATGCCACGAAAAGAAAGAGGTGAAGGATAAAGCGATGTTTAACTTATAAACAATTGTTGCATACGTGTATTCTATGATCTGTCGCGGAAGGGGCTACGGGGTCATATATCCCTGAGCCGTGTACGAAAACCCGTACACACTGTTTCAAGCACCTTCCCCCCTTCTTAAGCGGTTGCACTTCGGTGTCAAATTTTCATATCGTTTTCTTTTAACATTGGTGCTATTCATTACCATTTCAAGTGAGAAGCTTTTCAACTTAAAGTTTCCGATATACTAAGAGATCCGAGAATGGGCTCGAAAGGCTGGACAATTGCTACTGCAATCGCCGCAATCATAGCGTTTGCCCCTTGGGCAATTTACCTGGTAAGTCGGCTCTGTTTCAGCTCATATGGAGCCATTCAGCCGCGGGAGATATGACCCTTGTCATTCCTTGTCATTTAAAGTTGACAACGACCGCAAAACGAAAAGGCCACTGCATAACCTGCCTTGTTTTGTTGCGGGTCTTTTTCGTCAAGGACATTCTGGCGAAATCAAAGCACCGCGCTGACACTCCAACCATGTTTCTTTTACACACTATCCACTTATGTAATTGGCACGTTCGGACTCGATTTGGTCATCTCCTCCCTTGCCCAGGCTGGTCTCGGAAAGCTGACCGATGTCCTAACACATCGGAGCTTTACCGGGGCCCTGAAGCAGGTCATTGTTATGGTGAGCAAAGAAGGTTGCGGCTTTAGCCACAACATTCACCAATACACCAGCTCCTCCCCATTCATTCTACTTTTCTGACGGCCATTGCCTGAACTCGTCGTGGACTTGCAGCTCGAGTGGTACACTGTGAGCGCACAGTTCATCAACCTTGTCCTGATCATCATTGCTTGCCTGGCCAGGAGCCTTCGCAGGACCCACAGGTGGGTTGGTTTGGAAATGTTGTCCTACAATGCTAGTGAAGTACCCTAGTAGCATTAGGGCTAGATTTGCTCCACGCTTTAGTTGTTTCCTTCACTGAGATGTGCCTTACATTCCTCCCCGTCTGCAGCATGTTCGTCATGTTCTTGGCCGTAAACTCTGCCTTGATCATCGTACGTGCTACGGAGCGCATCAGCCAGATCAACCTGATTGACGACGGCCAGGATGCCGCCACGGTGCTAGGTGTTCCAGGGACGACCCTTGCCGGGAAGCCCCTGCAATACCTGCGCGCTGAGGCTTGTGGCCAGGTTGCCTCTGCCACTTTCAACTTCTTGTTGGCCATCCTGATCGGATTTGCTGGCACTGTCCCAGAGGAGCAAGGCCAGCTAAGCTACCAGCCCCCTGTTACGGTGTAGCATTTACCCGTATTATTGATTCGATGTAAAGCATGCCCGTAAGCCTCTTCAGCGTTGGAGGCGTGGTTGCTTGTGATCACTTAAATGCAAATTTGTGCGTTAAGCAGCTTCAAGTATGTTTTGCAATCTGTTTCGGACAATTGTACATAGCTCGTTGACCTCTTGTTCAATATTCTCACTCCCATTTGGAGGTGTTTTGGTTTTAGTTACCTGACTTGACCAAGCTGATAATACGTTTTATCTCGGAGTTGTACTGTTATCGGACATTTGGCTATCTGTTCAATGGGACCACGGTGACATGCGTGACACACTTGTGGCCACACCTTGGAGGCGTGTTTCTGTACAAAACTTATGTAGTCGTATAACAAGGTGGACAACTGGTGCGGCAAGAACCAGGACAAATGGTTTACCGGTAATTTCACGTATACGAATGCACCCCGCAAAGAAGTTTGGTGAACAGGGAAAATCACGTAGCACCTGCATGTCCTGCATGGAAAGTAGTTGGCCAGTACGAAAACATGCATCTCTGGCTACATTGCACAGACGGTTGCCGCGTTTCGCCTTGATGGCTTGCCGTCCCCTTTCAAAGGCACAGGCATGAGCTTGCTAATCGCGCATGTACGATAGACCGCAGGGTACAAATGCTTTGCTACTCCTGTTGGTCATTTACTCATACAGTGTGTCGCGCAGATACCACCAGCAGGTAGTAAGAACGTTTGCATGATGATCCTAGCCTGCACAAGATTGGATAAAAGCACGTATATGACTGCATGTCTACACCCGTACACGGGTCCTGAGCACAGGCAATGCCATGAAGGTACCGTGGAAATGCCGTCAGTACCTTGGTGGCTAATGCGCGCGAACTTTGCTGTTGGCAGCAGGGGGAAAACGTCTTTAAACTCTTTCGCTGCAGTGTGAACAAAGGAGCGTGCGCGTGACAAGGCCCCCAGCGCGAAGCTCCCCGTTTCCGCATAGCCTGGAAAGCTTTCCGGACCTATTAAAACATATATTGTAACCCTCGGACTCTGCTTGCATTTGCCAATGCAATTTCAGTATTCCCGCTTGCAATGGCTGCAGGGAGCATGGCACATTTTTGTTTGGCATGGCCTTTGGACTGATACATTTGGCACGCTTCACAGTGTACACCCAAACCATCCGTTGTTCCGTCTACCCAAGTTCCATAGGGCTCCGGAGCGGGCTAAGTGTACGGCAATTGACACGCCAGCGCAACCGCTCCAAACACTTAACTGCCGCTGGACCCGATGCAGATATATGGGCACCATCATACGGTCACCAAGATCTTGTGATTACACCAAGCGGCTTGTCATAGAACTTAGTAGGAATACCGCATCGTCCACAAGAAAATGGAGAGCTCCGCAGCCCAGGCACGCCTGGCAGTTCTCACCAAGCAGTTTTACCCGGTAGGATATCAGTTGTTAGTTTCTGGCATAAAGCTAATTGGCTTGTACGCGTTATGCGGACAAATTGTCAGTTTTTGCCACGTTGGCCGCCAGTACCTTCCACAGAAGCTAAATTTCAGGGCTTTTACTTCGATCCACAGGTTTCAGACGACATGCACAACCTCTCTCTTCAGGTTTGCTGCGGCATCTGTCATTCCTTTAGCATAGTTGCAGGCGTGTCACCCATCTTTTCTCTTATAGGGTTGTGCTGCCGGTGATTCGGCAGCTTACGAGCGCCGAAACGTTGCGGACGATGATGTTGTAATTGTCGCGGCTCTCCGCACTCCGTTGACAAAGGTGCGATGCTCTGGTGTTGCGCCCGCTGGCTGCATAGCGGAATGACGGATGCTGCCCAATTTCACCCCATTATGTGAACTCATAGCACGTTGTTTTCCAGAAGCGTGGCATACGTATCTCCGTCTCTGGCATGGTTCGCTTTGTCACATGTACTCCCACAACCTCTTTTGGTGCCCTATGGGTACTTCACCCTTTCTCCACATCTGAGGAAACACCATTGCCCACTTCACCCACATTGGATCCCCTTGTTGAAACTCTTCCCAGGCCAAGCGCGGCGGCCTCAAGGACACGGACGCTGTCGACCTGCTAGCCACAGTCTTCAAGGCCGTGCTGGAGCGTACACGTGTCGAGCCTGAGGTACGTCAAGTTCGGCTGCGAGCCGTTCATTCTGTCTAGGGGCTTGTGCGGCCCAGCTGTCGTCTAGCTAGTTTTGCCCGCTTTATGGTTGGCGGAGGGTATTCGAAGTTCACGGTAGCGCACTGTCTACTCTGATCATGTTGGATGATCTGTGGAAGGCTGGAACGGCTATACCGTAGTCGGCTTCCTCAGTACTTGCCGTAAAAGCACCTATCTTTCTCATACCCCTCCAGGCACTTGGTGATATCGTCATTGGCTCCGTACTGGGCCCATCATCCCAGCGTGCCAACGAGTGCCGCATTGCATCGTTCTTTGCGGGCATCCCCGAGGTGGTGCCTGTGCGCACCGTCAACCGGCAGTGCTCGTCAGGGCTGCAAGCCATTGCTGATGTGGCTGCTGCTATCAAGGCTGGCTTCTACACGGTGAGTGCTTGCGGTTGGTGAGCGCCTGCGGTTGCAAACAGAAACCACATGGACACCCCCACGCTCAGCACGTCGTCTTACCAGTGCATCTTGGCAGTTTCAGCGCTAAGGAAAGCGAGTGGGCATGACCCACAAGCGCCAGGGTTTGCTACTTCGAGTTGGCAACTATTTCCTGGCCTTCCAATCCTGCCCTTGTTGCCGTGCAGGTGGGCCTGGCCGGTGGTGTGGAGACCATGTCTTCCAACCCCATGGCTTGGGAGGGTGGCATCAACCCCCGCATTGGCGAGTTTCCGAGCGCGCAGGGCTGCATGTTGCCCATGGGCGTCACTTCGGAGAACGTGGCAGCCAAGTTCGGTGTCAACCGCAAGACGCAGGTGCGCTTTTCCTCGAAGATTATGACAGTTTGCTTGCTGCTTTGGCCTTGCTGCCTGATGACGCTGATCGTCTTATGTTCATGGCTGTCTACTTTTGCAGGACGAGTTCGCGGCTCGCTCTCACCGCAAGGCGGCTGCCGCCAAGGCCGCCGGCAAGTTCCGCGACGAGATTGTGCCCGTCGCCACCAAGGTGAAGGATCCCAAGACCAACACAGAGACCCCTGTTGTCATTTCGGAGGACGACGGAGTGCGCGGCAACGCGACTGTGGAGTCCCTCGGCACCCTGCCTGCCGTGTTCAAGAAGAACGGCACCACCACCGCTGGCAACTCGTCGCAGGTACGCGAGGTTATTCCTCAGGAGTCGGGCTTGCCTGCTTATGGCGTATGCATGTCCCTACTGCGCTCGGATCTGTTTCCTAGCAAGAGGCGTGATTGTATACGCCGTTTCGGTAACGTGTATCCCCGTCGTGTCCTTTTTCTTTCGAAGGTGACGGACGGTGCTGCTGCGGTTCTGATGATGACGCGTGCGGAGGCCCGCCGCCGCGGCCTGCCGGTGCTGGGCGTCTTCCGCTCGTTTGCGGCTGTGGGTGTGGACCCCTCTATCATGGGCATCGGCCCCGCCGTCGCCATCCCGGCCGCTGTGGCACGTGCCGGCCTGCAGCTGGACGACATTGACGTCTTTGAGATCAATGAGGCGTTTGCTTCGCAGGTCTGTGTCCTGGGTTTACGGCGTTGCAGCCTTAATGTACAGTTCATCGTGATGCAATGCGATGCATGCTGTTTACTTCCCTTTTGGTCATTCATAAGCACCACTATTAACTTCTGTGTACGCTATGGTTTGTAAAGGGAGTTCGTGGGTATACATGGTGAGAGCCCAGCTGTGATTGACATCCTTGTTCTGCGTGCAGGCTTACTACTCCGTGAACAAGCTGGGCATCGACGAGGCCAAGGTCAACCCCAACGGCGGTGCCATTGCCCTCGGACACCCCCTGGGTGCCACCGGTGCTCGCTGCACCGCTACGCTACTGCACGAGATGCGCCGCCGCGGCCGCGCCGCTCGCTTTGGTGTCGTCTCCATGTGCATTGGCAGCGGCATGGGTGCTGCGGCGGTGTTCGAGACCGGCGGTGAGGTCGACCCAGTCAACGTGCGCGCTGTGAAGGGTCAAACCCTGCTGTCCAAGGACGCCGTGGTGTAAAGAGACATCCGTGCAGGCATGGCGATTCGGAGATGCGGGGATGGGCCGCCATGTAGGTGCGGTTGTGGGGGCATGTTGCCCTCAATGTATACAGATTGTTTGTCAGGTGCGTGCCTTGTATAGCAGTGTGCACATTCTTTGCTTCTCGGCATGTGGTTTGTCGCGTATGATAGAAACAGTAGCGCGGCAAAAGCAGAGCATGGTGCACACCGTGTGTGTGTTAGTATAGGCGGCGATGTGAGAGTGGCGTGGTTTCGTGTGCAATTGTAAAGTGTTCCGTAGCAGTATGCTTCCATGTTGGCTGTATTCCGGATACGGATGTATGCACAGGCGGAAGTTCCGGTACATTAAGCCGGGCCTTGGAACCAAATCGTCGGTTGCACATCTGTCATTTGTCATCATCCTTGCTGTGCTCGTTTTCGTCAATCACAAACATGGGAAGTTCAGGACGGAAGGAATGTTTGGGTATGGCATGCCATTTTCCACATGCTTTGCCAATTGCTTGACAATATTGTTCCTTCCCCTGCTAGAACGTAACCATGGACTTCGTATTCTTTGTTGGCGCTTCTTTCTAATGTACTGGTGCAGCATTTGCGTGCATTGTGGGTGGCCTACGTGCCCCTTGACCCGCCAAACATAAATCTGATGCCGGCGGTCAGATGTATGGTGCTTTGCTTGCTATGGCAACGCCGCGGCTTGTTTGCAGCGGTGTGAACATTGTAACCAGCCAATTACTGTGGTGCAAGCGAATGCTATAGCATGACGGGTTTATAGGGATTGGCTTTGGGTACATGCTGAGACGGGCAGGGGCCTCCCATTACCGTGCCCACAATAGAAACGATCAGGATCAATACTTCGTATATAGGTAACAGGAGTGACATTGGACACGCACCAAGAGGGTATACCAACAACTATGAACAGAGGGGATGTGGATTTCACGTCGTATCATCGTATCGTAGCATGTGACCCCGGGGTCACCGGTATACGAAGAGACGCCGATGTCCGCCTGGCAAATACTTGCAGCATTTCAAGCAAAGATGGCCATTAGCAATACTTCTAAGCGAAACGTCATACTGGCGAGACCTAGCCTGCTCTTGTTGAGCGTAGTACCCTGCGACACAGGACATTTTGCTGACACATGATCCATGCGGTAATCCCAAATTGCCATTTAAGACTACACTGTAATTTAGGAAAGGTATCCTTAACCATGACGTCCGGGGCGACCGTGCTTCAGTTGCCGTACGTTCTAACTCTGCGCTAGCCCAATAGGCAGAAAAATGTATCTTTTCACGACTATAACTCAACTTTGCGTTTTTGATTTGCTATCGAACACCTGCAGTTGTTAAAGGATCATCTCTGAGCAACAAACAAGGAAAAGCCATATCTTAACCCTATTATTCATATCAATATTTAGCTAACGTCGTTTACCCAGTAGAAGTCAACACTTTACCACAACTGAGCAGTTCTGATAGTAGGGAACGAAAATGGGCGACGTTTCATACATTGTCGACAGCCTTGGGCTGCCGCCCTTTTCTTACCAGATGTCGCTGCTTAACTTCACGTAAGCGTACCTTACAACGTCGCTGTTATGGGCCGTTCGGCTTTTGACCCGCCTGCACCGCGGCTTCTCTATACAGTGAAAAAGGACCACAGGAGTTGCTGCAGCTGTTGAGTGATGTTTTTAGCACGATCAGCCCAAAGCATCAGGTAGGCGCTCGGGGAATGCTTCCATGGCATGTCACCCGTCAGTAGTTAACTCCTGGACTGCTCGGGCTGCAGAAAGTAGACATCACGAAAGAGACGCCCGACCAGACAGCTGATCGCCTGATTGGCTTCCTAAAGATAATCAAGTATCGACCGAACGTGCAAGACCCGTAAGTGCAATCCAGCGGGTACGGGAAGTCACAGTTGGGAGGGTGGGCTCAGGAACAAACTTGGAGGATGACAGGCACTCCGGATCACCTAGCTGAACTCCGCACAGCCCATACTGCCCTCCGTGCCCCGCAAGTTTATCCCACGTCCCCACTTCCATCCCCGGAACTTCCAGGCTCCTCTTCCGCCAACTGGTGGCCTCGGGTGACCGAGAGACGCTGTACCAGATCCTACGATGGGTTGTTCCGCAGCCGCAGCTCCTGGAGAAGCGTGCCTTCGTGGGCTACTACCTGAGCTTCCCAGACGTGAGCGCGGCTGGGCAGGGCCGGGCTGGGCATAGCGTGTATGGCCGGGACAAAGCCGGAGCATGTGGCCGTAGCCCTGATGAGGGGCTGGAAGCCACCCTGTAGGAAAGGGAGGGGGCGTTGCAATGGAGAGGGACGCCATTCTAAGAAGGGGTGTGGAAGGGGACACGCTTAGGGTGCCGGAATGGCTGTAGTTAAGGAGGGGGGCCGGATGAGCGGGTAAAGGCGCGTGCGCTATCGTTTATTTATGCACCTCCTGGCATAAGTTGCATGGCGTTGTATGGCAAGGGTGAGATAATGTGCCAGAGCGAATGGCGACTGCTACCGTATCTTCGGCCGCATACTAGCAGGCACGAAGGTGGTCTCATGGGTTGCAGTGGTGAAGGTTCTTTCGTCAACGCGTACAAAACTATGGATCACCGCACTCTACCTGACTCCATGTGGCTTCGTGGTGCGTTCTTCACGCCGTGCAGCTACAAGGCCGCGTATCGTTCAAGTGCGGTATTCCATCCCTTGGCCGCCTAGTCCCCTGAATGCCCCTCATGCCATCTCCCCTCATGCCCTTCTCGCCCCGTGCCCCCTCAGATGCCGGAGGAGTTCAACTTCGACCCGGACATCATGGAGCTCAAGGAGGAGATCAAGGGCATGCAGCAGGAGTTCATCGAGCTGCACAAGAGCAGCGATGCAATCAAGAACCTCTCCAAGTAAGCTCCCGTGCCGCACGTCCGCTCTACGGAACGCCATGCCTTCCCTCCTTGCTCCCGGCCTGCGCGCATGCAGCCACACGTCGCCACCTCCATCCTTGACCTCTGCATGCGCCAGCTTGGTTTGGACTGCTCCTCGCTCTATCCCACTCCATGTGACCTCCTCGCTGTGCCCCTGTGCTGCCACGCAGGGACACGCTGGCGTTGAAGAACAAGATCAAAAGCCTGGAGGAGGAGAGGGAGCGGCTGGGCGAGAAGGTGGAGCGCGCCAAGGCGGCGGTGGACAAGCTGCCTGACCGGAGCAGCTACATGGAGGTCTGCACCAACCTGCGCAAGCAGCAGGACGAGGAGGTCAACCTGTCCACAGCTATCCAGGTAGGGCTGTGGGGCTGGTGGGATGTAATGGGCGGCGGGGACTCAGCTGAGGAGATCTGGGTTGAGTGGCGGACCTTTGTGGCGAGCAGGCAATGGGGAAGCAAGGCTTATGCACGGTTTCGCTAATGTGCAAACTGCATCAATTAATGATGCTTCCGGCCTGACGCCAAAACTGCTCCTATATGCAGCAGAGCCCGCCCCTCCTTCCTCGACCCCGTGCATGTCAAGCGCAATCCCACCCATCCCGGCTTCCTCTCCCAACATCCCTGCACCCCCGCCCCGCCCCAATCCCACCCCCACCTCGCACAGACCCAGAAGGGCCTGCTTGAGAAGGCGGAGGGCAACTACCACCGCGCCGCCGCCCGCCTGCGGGAGCTGCAGCTGTCGTACCAGGAGGGCTCGGCGGCCAAGCTGCTGGAGACGCTGAATGAGGACGTGAAGAACCTGCGGGCACAGGTGGGTGGGTGGGTGCCTAGAGCACGAACCCACCAAACGCAGCCAGGGCGCATTGCCGCGGGGTTACGAACGGCCAGGGAGGTTTTAGAGGTTCCAGGCACCACTGACTGCCACCGCAGGGGTTGTATGCCGTCCCTAGTTTAGTTGGCGACGACTCCTGCATGCAGCCACTTACACCCCTATTCTCACGTCTCACCTCACCACCTCTGCCGTCCCGCCCTCCCTGCTGCTGCCCAGGTGAACGAGCGCTACCCCAAGGACGTGGAGAAGCGGCAGAAGCGGCTGGGTGCGCTGTCGGAGGCGCTGGCGTCCGGCATCTCCACGGAGATGGACCTGCAGCGGCTGCAGCAGCAGGCCACCACGCTGCACAACCAGATCCAGGAGATCCAGGAGCGCAAGGTGGCGCAGGACAAGGCGCGGCAGGTGGGCGTCGTACAGCATGGAGCTGGGACTGGGGAGCTAGAGGGGGCTAGTGAGGGAAAGTATGGTGCGAAGGTGGTTCTAGAAGTGAAAGGATGAGGGCGAAAAGGTTGGGGTTTAGCTCATTTTTGCCGTTAGGAAGCACGAGGGGGGCAAGATACCGGAAAGGGTTGCCTTTGCCCGCCACCCTACCTTGCCAACCCTCCGCCGCTGCTGCTGCTGCTGCTCCGCTCCCTGCAGGGCGACAAGGCCTACCTGCAGCTGCGTCAGGCGCAGCAGATGGCCACCGTGTCGGCGCGCAAGAAGGAGGAGCTGGCGGCCAAGCAGGAGCGGCTGCAGGAGAAGAAGACGGCGCTCACGGCGCAACTGGACAAGCTCAATGTGGATGGTGGGTGCAAGTACGGAGTGGGGAAACGATGCACTGAACCGCTGATGTTTGAGAGCAGGGTTTGGCGCACATGGGTCTAACAACCCATACCAATGACTCCTTTGCCTGCATCTCCTTGCTCGCATGATAATTTTGCCTGGCTGCGGGACCAACTTCAGGCGGCGGCTCGGGTACGGTATTCAGCGAGGAGGAGTGGCGCAACAAGTACGAGAGCATGAAGAGCAAGCTGCCCATGTAAGTGTCGCGCCGCGTCCCATGCTGCGGTATTCACGTGCCTCGCACTTCTGCACTACACTAGCTGCTGCACTGCACACAACACCTCCCGGGCTTGATTTCTACCAGCCAACATTCTTCTCCCATGTCATCTTACACCGCTTGCTTTTCCTAAACTCCATCCCTGCCTTCCCCCCTAACCATTCTTTTTCCACCGTACTCCCCCAACCCGCTGCCGCTGCTGCGCTGCACCCATCCCTGCCACATCCGTCCCTGCCGTACCCCCTCCTCAGCTACAAGAAGATGAAGAAGGAGCTGGGCGACCTGGAGGCGGAGGTGTTTGTGTTGGCGCACACGGAGGAGCTGCTGGCGGCGCAGGAGGCGGCCATGCTGGAGAAGGTCAAGAAGGTGGAGAAGCAGCAGGGCATCTCGGTGAGTGCAGCCGGTGCCCGTGTGGACTTGTCTTGTAACTAAAGAAGGAGATGTGGTAGGCTGAATGGCCGTGGAGGGAACGAGCGGCTTGGTGAGCGGTAAGGGGCGGGGCGGCTTACCAGCTGACCGCACACCTACATGGCGGCCAAGCGGGCGAACGCCTGCAGCACTCTCTGGATGCGAGGTTCAGGGCATGTGAGGTTGACCTAGACCGCCGGTGTTCCCTCCCTGGCATGTCTGGAACAGGGTTTCACGGACGTGGCTCAGCATCTGGAGAAGGTTTCAGAGGCGAAGAGCCAGATGGACGAGGAGAAGGGCATGACGCTGATCGAGATCTCTCGTACCGTTGAGGAGATCAACAACGCCATCAACCAGCGCAAGCAGCAGTTGGCGCCGCAGATCAAGAAGCTGCGATCCGTACGGCAGGACTTTGCGGTAAGAGCGAGCTGGGGGGAGCTGAGGGGCTGGCTGGGTGGTTGCTGCTGCCTGCTCCTGCGCGCGTGCGGCGGGGGTTCTCGGCGGCATGCTGGAAGGAGTTCCATGTAGATGTGCAGCTGGAACTAGCGGATTTACTTTCGCCGTATGTTTGCTCCTTTCCCGGTTCTTCTCCGAGCAAAGCAGTCACCAGATACCGTATCATGACTACAAATACATCTTACCATGTGCCGGCTGCATGGCGCGTCCAACTGCAGGAGTTTGAGGCCAAGTACAACGAGAAGAAGACGGCGTACGACAATGTGGTAGCGACGTTTGAGGCGCGTACGGCAGCGCTGGAGTCGGAGGTGGCCGGCCTCAAGGTACGTAGCAGTTCCGAGGGTGCAAGGATAAGTGCCGTATGGTCGAGGCGTCGCCGTTCTCCATGCCAGTGTGTTCTATCGTCCCATTCGGGCGGCCTGCTGTGAAACTGCTCGTGAACAAGCGCAACCTGCGATCCTTCTCGCTGCTCCCACCTACACCATTTGACCCCTTTTTCGCTACCCCTGCCGCTGCCCCCGTTTTGCTTGCAGGCTGAGGTGGCTGAGGACGAGTCCCGCTACCACCTGCTTCACTGCCAGCTGCACACCACCGACCAGAACATCAAGAAGGTCACCAGCGGCCCGGCGGCGGAGCGCCTCCGCGAAAAGTAAGAGCAGGGGGCAGCGCTTACGCTAAATGGGGTTCAGTTGGAATGTGGGTTTCGGCACTTCACTTACCAAGCTTTAATCACCTTCATTTCGTTCCACCGCTCCTGTTACACGCATTGACGTGAGGCCATTCTCGGCCTTCGCACTCCTATCCATCTCTTGTACCCACATACCTCTCCTCCTCTCCTGAACCACCCCCCCCCCTCCCCCGGCCCCCAGGTACGAGACCAAGCTGAAGGAGGCGGAGGAGGCCACCAAGGCCCTGCGCGAGCGGCAACGCGAGATCAAGGACACGCACACCACCGGGCTCAGCCAGATCGACATCATGAACGACATGATTCGCCTGCTGCAGCTCAAACTCAACCTGGCTCGCGGCATCGCCGGAGGCGGCCTGGAGGGCATGATGGGCGGCATGAGCGGCGGCGGGGCGTCGGTGGGCGGCCAGACGTTCGACACCGGGTCCGCCAACGTGCTTCAGTTGTGAGCGGGAGGTGGTTGAGGAAATGGAGCAGGTCAACCGGGACGCTTGGGGTGTTAGCGTGCGCGCGCGCCAATCCTAGCAACGCTTTGGTGGCGACAACCATGTTTGGCTTGCGGCCGTGCGCGTTACTGACATTTTCCGCATCAATTTGCACATAGAATGGGTCTGGGGTCATGCGACATGGACTGTATTTGTCTGTATGTGGTCTTGTGGTGGCGTTACAGCACAATGGAGCGAGTTGCGAGCTGCGAGCTCACAAAACGGGCGCTGTGAGGATGCATGCATGTGATTGTGCGATAGGGCTAGGCAGTCGGTTGCCTGGTAGGGCTTGCCATTAGCACGCTAGGTCCCAAGGGGTGGATGCTCCGTGCAGCTTGGCATGTAGTACTGTACATACGGGGTCTGCAGGGGAAATGTGACCTTTTGACGCACAGCTATTACAGTGCATGTGTCGACATATGACATAGCGCTTGCTTGTACCACGGCTATTGGCCAGCAGTATTATCAGATTGACGAACCAGCGGCGAGGGCGGTGTTGCTTGCTGTGTCGTACGTGCTCTGCAAAGAGCGTTAACAGCAACACCATTGATTACTGTTATCCGCGCCTTAGGGCGCTATGTTAACCAACTGTAAAAGACATGTTCTGGGTTGTTGAATGGGGAACCCGAGTAATGAGGCCGAAGGCTGTCACAGTGCCACGCTTATAGTATGTCACGAATCACTCTCCTTTGGGGACGTGTGGTATTGGGAAACCGCTCGTGGAGGTGATATCGCGTGCTTACTCGGCACTATGCGGCCGTCCGGCTGTCATCGTCGCGCAGCCGCGCTTGTACGGCATTAGTGTGTAATGTGGACGACAGGCATAATCTGCGTTTCTGTAGCAACAGTACGAAGTTGCTTCGTTTCCAAATTGTGCGCTGAAAGGGGTTGTGCAGGCCACACTGGCCTCGGTTCTACCTGCTGCGATGAGGGCTAATTTGCTGACAAGGTAGCTATACCTCTGTCGTCGATAACAGGGCTTTTTGCATTCGTGTATAGACTTAAACTGGTATATTCTTTTAACCTGAGTCGCCGCGCCGATGGTGTCGCGTATACAGGAGTTGCCGAGCGACGGCCAGTCGCGCAGCGAGGCTTTGGCAACAACCAAGGGCCACAGTGCGCCCTGTGACAACTATGGCACTGCCATCAGACTTCAAGGATTCATATGTTGACCTCGCGCACCAGCTTGCAGATGCCGCTGCGCAAGTCACGCGCAAGTACTTCCGGTGAGAATGCATGATGTTCACATAATAGTGATCGGAAATCATTTACCAAACGTATGGCTAAAATACATTGACAGGACGACTTTCGACGTCGAGTCAAAAGGCGACACCAGCCCGGTGACGATTGCGGACCGCCAAGCTGAAATTGCTATGCGGGAACTGATTGAGCGTACTTTCCCAGAGCACGGCATCTTTGGGGAAGAGCACGGGATTAAACATGGCAGCGGGGAGGGCTCCAAGTACATGTGGGTGTTGGACCCCATTGATGGAACAAAGAGCTTTATCACAGGTGAGGATGCCGTATTCGCCAGCTGCTAAGGAGTACAGGGATAAGAATATAGGGGAGCTGGTTTTCAATGACTTAGTAGATACGTGAGGGGTAGGTTGTAAGCCACGGACATCCGGTGTTCACACCTACCGGGGCAGCACCCTCGCCTGTCCAGGTGGTCAGAGTGAGGTTTTGACCTCTTAGGCAGGTCACCCGTCCTTGTCCTTGTCCTGTCTGGTGTATTGTCTGTTGCAGTTCCTTTCTCCTCTGTCAGGTGGGCTTGCAGGTGGTGTTTTCCAGGGGTGCTTCCCTGGTATCCAGTGGGTTTTTTCTCCGCTGGTTTTCTTGGTGGTCTTCCTGTCCTTCCTCTGTAACAGTCCACATCGGAAAAAAAAACCACCAAGTTGTCATGTTCCTCCCGACATGGCTTTTGGGCCAGAGAACTTACCACTTGCCGGATTCCTCGTGTCTCAAGGGCTTCTGCCCCGCTGCTCAACCAGCCCTCCCGCCCATGGGCTCCTGCCTGTCGTACCCTGGGCTGCTCACTTCGCCTCACGTGCTCCCCTTCTCCCCGTCTAGGCAAGCCGCTGTTCGGGACGCTCATATCGCTGGTGTACGAGGGGTCTCCCGTCCTGGGCATCATTGACCAGCCCATCACCAAGGTACTTGACTCCCTGCTTCCAAGCTTTGCTGTGACATGAGGCGTGAGAGCATTGGCCGCATTTGTTTGATCCCATAACAGGGTCATATAATGAGTTCGTTATGGGGATAATGAAGAAGTCTTAACCTGAGTGCAGGAACGGTGGCTGGGCGTGGTTGGCCGGCCCACCACCCTCAACGGAGAAACCCTACAGACCCGGCCCTGCTCGGACGTCAGCCTCGCCTTCCTGTACGCCACAACCCCTCACATGTTCTCAGGTGCGCGCCTGCTCACACCGCCTTACACTGCCTTGCCCCTGCTACAAGGCATGGGCTTTGGGCCCTTCACCTCGGACGGATTCCGGGGTGGACACCCTACCACCTGCCACCGCACCCTCCTCCTCCCTCTTCCCTCCCAACTTCGCAACTTCCCCACTCCCCATGCGACCACCCTTCCACTACCCTAACCGTGCTAACCCACACAGGCGACAACGAGGTCGCCTTCAACCGTCTGCGCGACAGCGTACGGATCCCCATGTACGGCTGCGATTGCTACGCGTACGGCCTTCTAGCAGCGGGGCACTGCGACCTGGTGGTGGAGGCGGATCTCAAGCCGTACGACTACATGGCGCTCGTACCTGTCGTACAGGTGGGGCTCGCAGTGTGGCCTGTTTACAGCTTGTGTGGTCTGCTATGCCCCGTAGCCTGCCCCCGCAACAAACATGTTTAGGGCTAAGAGCAGCCCGCACGACATACACCGCATGTTGGCCCCGAACCCCTCCCTGCCCCACCCAACCCCGCCCGACCCACCGCCCGCCTGCCCCCCAGGGCGCTGGCGGTGTCATGACTGACTGGAGCGGCCGGCCGCTGGTGTGGCAGCCCGCCCCGGGGGCCGCTGACCTCAAGTCGGGGTGGCCGGGTGAGGTGTGCGCGGCGGGCAGCCAGGAGCTGCACCGACAGGCGCTACAGCTGCTGGACTGGAAGCAGTAGAGGGCGTGATGGGGGGAGAGGGGCTTGGTGGATGGGGGGTTGGGGGGTGGGGGGGGCCCTGCGGCGTGCATGGGGCCGTGGTTCGGTAGTTAGCGAAGGGTGGGGTAGTGGGAGGCAGCTTTGGAAAGGGAAAGGAAGACGTGTGGAGCGCCCAAGCCTTCCGTTAGAAGGCGGAGGGTAGGAGCAGCAGCAGCAGCAGCGGCGGCGGGAGTGCAAAGAGGCAGTTGTGGGCAGCCGTTGCTGCGGTCAGGCTTGGAGAGCGGCGGCAAAAGCATTAGCAGGCGGCAGCGGCGGGTGCTTCGGTGTCACTGGTGTCACTGATACCTCCAGTTAGCTCACGTTGCGTGCTTGCTGCTGCGCGGCTGTGAAGGAGGTCGCAGCAGCATGAGCGGCAAGCAGGTGCCGAGGAGCGGGGGCGACAACTGAGGCGGCTTGGGCGGCTGGCTGGCTGGCTTGCTGACACTGTGTACGAGTGCCTGCCTGGGCGGGGCTGTAGTGCAGTAGTGCAGCGGCTGTGAGCTGTGGGCTGACAGTACCGCTGTGCACTACATGGTGGCTTCGGGAAGCTGTTGAGCTGTGGAGGTAAGATGCGGCGTGGGCCGGTTATGATACCGGTATAAGGGAAGACGTCTGTAGGGCGTCTTAATGCCTTAGGATTGTCATCATCTTGGGTGACGTTGGCTTGTGCTGCGAGTCTCTCTTCTTGGCGAGCTGCTGTGAGCGATTTCTGAGACATGCTTACGTGCGAACCATGGGTGATGTCCTTGACATGGCACCTTGAGCGCCCGATGTTGTAGTGGGGCGACGAGGAAGCGAAGGCGCAGGGGTCCGTGAGGTGTGTATGCGTGCGGTAGCTTCTAATGGAAGCAAAAGGAAGGCGTGTGCGCAGAGGGCCCAGCTGGACACGGCCGAAGGAGATGCAGGAGATGAGTTGCACGCGCAAGGGAATGTGACCCAGCACGTGCTTCGTTGCGACTGGCGAGTAACATTACACTCATGCAAGGAATGCAGGTCGGAGAGAACTGTATGATTGCTATCTCTCGTAAAACCCCGGAAGGCTAACAGAAACGCAACTCCTTACCCCGCTAGGATGCCCAACACACCCCGCACAACGTTGCCCAACATGTGGAGTGCATGGACTAGCATGGACTAGCCACTGACTTTGATCCGTTGCAGCGCATAACTGCTGGCTGGTTACCCTTTGTCTTCCAGCGCTGAACTAGTGTCATTGTTGTTGCTAGTCAAAACACCCAACTGACAAACCTTCAACGGCAGAAGGCGTCGTTGCCGAACTGTGTGCCCTACTCTTGTGCGTGCTACAGTGCCAAGCCCCAAACATAGACGCGTCACAGCGTGCTACAGTACAAATCCCCATAACATTAACGTTTTAGTCATTTTAGCAGCTACCCGCTCGGTTGCATAGTGCGCACAACCAGTGAGCTCAGGATTACTACGCTCTCTCCGTACAGCTCACATAGCAAGGACCTCGCTGGTATAAAACAGGGGTAAAGCTCTCCTTTTCAGTGCCGCGTCGGCATTGTAACCCCTTATAGTGCCGCCGCCTCAACCGCCGCCGTTCCAGACCCGTTTGTGCAGTTCTTGACACCCGTCTTGTCACCATCACCGCAAGCGCCCGCGGCGACCCCAGCTGTGACGCCGCCAGCCTTGCGAGGGCCTGTAGCGCCCTCCTCGGCGCCGCCGACCACACCAATCTTCTCCGTTGCCGTCACCGCTGTCGGCGGCCCCGCCGGTGAGTTGTCCTCAACGCCGGCGGCTAGACCGTCCACCCGAACCGCCTCCTCACCGCTGCTGGCGTGGATGCCACCGCCACCACCGCCGTTGATGCGGTCTCCGTCTGCAGCAGCAGCAGAAGAAGAAGCAGCGGCAGGTCGGGAAGCGCTCTTCCCCTCCTGGACCTGCTCCTGCTTCTCCTGCTGCTGCTTCTCCTGGTTCTGCTCCGGCGACGACAGCGGCTTCCACCACTTGGTGTTCGGGTCGCCCTCCATGTTGTCCGGGTACTGGTCGAACCAGGTGCGGAACTCCACCCAGCGGTCGTAGATCTCGGTGGATGACAGACCCGCGGGTCGCGAGGCCTCGCGGATGGACGCCAGGCCGCAGTTCTCGGCGGAGATCGCCTGGCAGCGTGTGGCCCTTATTTTGGGGAGGGGTACGGAAAGAAGGTTAACAGCGGAATGGTTAGAAGGAACATGGAGGGGTCTGTAAAAAGCAAACGGATTTCAGTATGGTATGTTACGCCCGTATGTGCCCCCCCTGCCCCCCTCACCTCACGATCCTGGCCCGCTGGTACCTGTCCAGCGCTTCCGGCACGTCCGGCCACAGCTCCGCCAGCGCCAGGGTCAGCTGGTGCGCGTCCTCGAACGCCGACCGTGCCCCCTGCCCCGGCCCCGGGTGCATGGCGTGCGCCGCGTCCCCCAGCAGCACCACGCGCCCGCCCGCAGCGGCCCAGCGCGACAGCGGCAGCCGGTCGTACAGCGCGCGCTCGAACAGGGCGGACTCGGGGGTGGCGGACACCAGCGGCAGCAGCCAGTGCCAACCCGCGGACTGAGGGAGGGGGAGGGCGGGAGAGGACGGCGAGGAGTGGAATGCTTAGACGGCCAGCTGTAGGAGGACAGTGACAACAACGTTGCGGCGCCCGCCACTTGGCCCCCGCCAAGCAGGCCCCTCTCCGCCCCTCTCCACACCTTGATCTTCTCCATCACTCGTGCCTTGCTGCCAGGCACTCCCTGACCTCCGCGACCCTTCCAGTCGCTGCAGTGCCTGCCGCCACCCTTGGCAGCCCCGCTGTCCCTGCCCTGACCGCTGGCGGATCCGACTCCATCCGCTGTCTCCGTAGCCGCCGGCTCCGCAGCAGTAGCAGCAGCAGCAGAGTTGCCGGGAGCCGTTGCATCGGCCTTCTCCCCGTTGCGGTCCACAGCAGCCGCATCAGGAGCAGCAGCATCAGCGGTAGTTGCCCCGGCAGGCTTGCTCACTTGGGTTGTGAAGGAGGGCTCATCGAATTGCGCGCGGCACTGCGGGCAGCAGGCAAGGAGAAGGACGGGAGGAGGGAGAGAGTTGGGGTCATCATGACAAGAGGACCAACCAAGGCTCCCACGAATAAAACCCGTGCGGGGCCTTCTCCTGTGGGGTTTCTCCTGATGCAGACACCTTTCGAATGGATGCCTGGATGTCCTTTTTTTGCATGAGCTCGCATGCATGGGGAAGCACAACAGCTACCCCCCCCCTCCCGCCCTGCTCCCACCTGCCAGAAGGTGTAGCCGGCGCCGGCATCGCACACGATCATGGCCAGAGAGGCATACGTCAGCACCTCCCCCACCGACCCGTCCATGGTAATCTGCAGCTGGCCTGTGCGGGCGTGCGGTTGGGCGGTTGGGGGTTTACTAAGAAGGCGCTGGCTCAGGGGAGCATGCCGGCATGTATTGCGTGCATGCATGCGTGCATGCATGCATGTCCGATTGTCCTACATGCGCATACGGAGCCACATCCAGGCCCAGGCCCCCAGTCCCTGCCCCCAGCCCCGCCACCCCATCCCCCTCACCCGGCTTGTGCGCCTCCACCACCGTGTTTCCCCCCGGGTTGTGCAGCAGGCAGTTCCAGTTCATGTGGCCCAAGTAGCTGCAGGGGGGGAGGGGCAGAGGGTAAGTGAAGGAACCAAGGAAGTTCGTACGTCGTACGAATGCTCATGGACGGCCGAGGATGTCCATTCGCGAGGCAGAAAGGGAGCTGGCATGGTCCTAGGTGTCAGGGCGGCTTAGACGTGTGCGAGCTTGTGCGTACAAGCTGGCAGCATGTTACCCCTCCTTGCTGCCAAATTCCCTTGCCCATACTCCGCACTCAGTCCGCCCTCTCCGCCCTCCCCGCCCTCACCCCCCCCTCACCGCGGCCCCGGGTCATCCGGATACATGGCTGCCCGAATGGCCGAGAACACTCCGTCCGCCCCCACCACCAGCCGCGCACTGACGCTGGGCTGGCCGCGGAAGTGGACCACAGCGCGAACCGCGTGTCGGCTGCCGTCCGCCGCTCGCGTCCCCTCGTCTTCCTCCCACACCTCCTCGTACCCCGTGGCGGCGTGGTTGCAGTGCACGACATCAGGGGGCACCAGCCGGGCCAGAGCGGCCTGGGCCTGAGGGACGGGGATTGCAAAGCAGCACGAGTCAGAAACAAAGCATGGAACAATGCCTATGAATGGGACAAACAGAAAAAGAACACGACAAACGCTGGACACGTGCAAAGAGCTTTGTTTAGCATGTCTGGGCTGTCTGAGGAAAAAAGTAGCAAGACCTGTTGAATCGCAAGCATATTGCGTGGGCGTTAGCCCCCTAGGTCCCATCCGCTCTCCTAACGAACACCATGTTTCCAAAGAAAGCGCCGATGATAACAACGACCGGTAATAATAACATCCACTGAGTCGTTTTCCACGTCCCATGCATGCAGTAACCCCACAGCAGCCCGCCAACCAGCAAGCAACCGCCACCCACCCACCTCAGCCCACCGAAGGGTGTACAGACGGGTGTGTGATGAGGGGCGATCGATGGTGTACGGCTCCCTGCCCGGCGGCAGATAGTGGTACAGCGCCTGGCTGTTCACCACACCACGGCGCCTGCATGGGGGCGGCATGCGATCGGACGTCTTGGAGGTTAGGCTGGTTAGAACAGTAAGTGTGAAGGCGGGATTAGTTACAGGCGCAAGCACGCAGCTTTGGCAGGAAGCAGGTGTGTGTTGGTGGCAGAGGGGCACGGCTGCGAAAGCAAGTACTCCAGTTCACTCCTCGCGCAATGCGGCGCTGCAGTGGGGGCTGCAATCCGCAGCCTGTCATGTGTCGTTATCTTGCGTTCGCGCTGCTACCGGCGGATCTGAATGAATGGCTGTTACCTCTCGGTGCGAAGGAAACATACCGGTCAACAGAACGTACCACCCGCAGATCCACCCACCCAGCAACTCACCAGCCACCACCGTTTGACACCGGCCCAACCACCAAACAACTACCAACCAACCACCAAGGATATGCACTCTTACACCCACCGCATGTCCTCCGGCAGTTCCGGGTGCAAGTCGCCCAGCGCTGCGAATGCGTTGGGTCCCAGTCCGATCATGGTGCTGGTCTCATGGCGCAGCTGGGGAGAGGCCTCGAACACGTGCGCGTCCAGACCGCGCCGGCGGAGACCTGCGTGCAGGCGGGGCAGGGGAATGACGATGGCAGGGTGCGGGGCAGCAGGGGCAGCGTTGGGAAGCGTTGGGAAGAAGTATGGTACGGCGGTGGTTGGAAGTCAAGAGGACGCTTGAAACAAGCGCACAGTGCCGTGAGGATGAGGTCCAGATGCCGGGATAGGTTTAGCAGCAGGCACGTTTGGTCTGCTTGTTGGCTGGTCTGCCTCCCGCTGTGACATATGCTCAGGGCAGGGTGGGCTGGTATCCGCGCTGCACCATGCAATTTGTAACGTTCTCAAACTGCCGAAGGTGATGCTCTTGTGCGGAGCGGAAGCAATCCTGCACGTGTGGACAGGACTACGGTGCAACACGCAACTAGCCAACTACGGAAAGTCCACAGCAGACGAAGATCTGGAAAGAGGCTTGCAAGAACCAACGCCGTGACAACTTCGGCGTTGCTTTGGCGCAAGCTACGAGAATTGCGGCGGTGCTTTGCATCTGCTGCTGTGGCTTCCGGTTGCACATGAGCGAGGGGCACGAGCGATGCTACACCGCGGGCCGCGAGCGAGCGAGCGCCTTCGAGCGACTCACCGACTGCAAGCGCCAGGCCACCTAGCCCTCCACCAACGATGGCGACGTCGACTTCTCGGGGTGTTGGGCTCATTTTATGTTGTTGGTTGGGTTCTCTATGAGGAGTGGACTACGCTATGAACGGTTACAAGTTAAGAGGAAGGTTGCGGGGCTCCATGCAAAGGCGTGATGCATACAACGGCAATTATGGTACCTTGCTAACCTTAACCCGGCCCTGACGGCATTGCGGTGCGGCTTAGATCCATGACCA